TCACAGTAGGGGAGATAGGTTTCAGTTTTGTTACAGGTTGCTGCGGTGGTGACTGTTTTAACAAGTGGTGACTGTCACAGTGGGGGAGATAGGTTTCAGTTTTGTTACAGGTTGCTGCGGTGGTGACTGTTTTAACAAGTGGTGACTGTCACAGTAGGGGAGATAGGTTTCAGTTTTGTTACAGGTTTCTGTGGTGGTGACTGTTTTAACTAGTGGTGACTGGTTGTGTAACAAATTTTTACGTGGGGAGAAAGGTGGTGTGACACTTGTAACGGGGACAGTTGGTGACGTTTTAACTAAACGGTGGTGGCTGAAATAAGTTGTGACAGAAACGTATGTGATGGATTATTATGCATATGATTAGATGACTGACAACGAGTGGTGACAACATTAACAGATGGTGACATAGACGGGAAATAACTGAGGCTGATTTTTTAAATATATAATGAAGACGACTCATGATTTATGCTTTGAACGATAATGATGTGATGGGACTATAACTCTGTTAATCAATCAATAGTGACTGTAGGATGTTGAATGGTGGCTGTCAGATGTTGAATGTGGCTGTCTGATGTTGAATGGTGTCTGTCAGATGTTGAATGGTGGCTGTCAGATGGTGACTGGTGGCTGTCAGATGTTGAATGATGGCTGTCAGATGGTGACTGGTGGCTGTCAGATGTTGAATGGTGGCTGTCAGATGGTGACTGGTGGCTGTCAGATGTTGAATGGTGGCTGTCAGATGGTGACTGGTGGCTGTCTGATGTTGACTGGTGGCTGTCAGATGTTGAATGTGGCTGTCTGATGTTGAATGTGTCTGTCAGATGTTGAATGTGGCTGTCTGATGTTGAATGGTGGCTGTCAGATGTTGAATGTGGCTGTCTGATGTTGAATGGTGGCTGTCAGATGTTGAATGTGGCTGTCTGATGTTGAATGTGGCTGTCTGATGTTGAATGTGGCTGTCTGATGTTGAATGTGTCTGTCAGATGTTGAACGGTGTCTGTCAGAAAACTGAATGGTGGCTGTCAGATGTTGAATGGGGGCTGTCAGATGTTGAATGGTGTTTGTCCAGTTGTTAAAATTTGTACCGAGTACACTAATAAAAAATTCCAAATATGATGGAAAAAGAAATGAATAATGAATGAATGATTCCAATGATGAAGACCAGGCACCAGAAGCAATGAGGCTACTACATTAAAAAAAATCTATACAGAAGCGACTAGACTAGATGAAAATAATAAAACCGTGACCAGAGCTAAATGTTTGTACATCGTGTTTATTACAGCGAACAATCAAATATACATTTACATAGGTGTTACAACTAAGAGAAGGGAGATAATCCAATATATTTTAAAATCAAGTCAGATGGACGGAGGAGAAATAAAAGGCACAAGTTTATAATGTTGGAATGGTGGATATCATACAATCCTAGCTGCTAGGCTAAAAGTTTTTTTAAGGGACATAACGCATATGACAAAGGTCAAAGACGAGAAAATTACAGTGTGATTTAGAACACAGTGGTGACATGTTTTAAGCTACACCATGAGTGGCCATTTACAGTACACTCGGGATGGTCGCAGCTAAACCAGAGATATTGAATTGACTTACATTGTTTTATACTTGGAAGCGACAACTTACTTAGCCTAAACCTCACTCCAGTTATCACCCCTTAAACCTTTGTCATCTTTAAGCTACACTTAAACCTAGTTAATTACCCCTTAACTAAATCTCACACCAGATATCACCTATAAACTTAAATCAAACTTAAACTAAACCTACTAGTTATTACCCCTAAGCTAAACCAAACACTAGAGCTAGTCTCTGGGTAAACCTTGCACCAAAGATTGCATCTAACACCAGAGCAAAACTCAGCAGATAGGGCAGTAGGGGAGAGAACAAAAACCATCAACTACAGCCAACAAGCATGCAATAAACTACATCATGCAACAAGAGTAACAGTGTAATAAAAAATCTGCACAGCCATTAACAATAAGTAAAATATATAAAAATATAAAAAATTTTTATAAATATCTCAACATGTTAAAAAAATAACCTCAACATCAATTCTGTCCACAGAATATTGTAGATTACTTTGTTCCTGGGTATTTATTTATATAAAGTTAAGTTCATTTTATATGATTATATTAGCACCATGGGTAACTTTTAAATGAGAAACCAACTAGCCTATGTGACTAACTCATTGCATCCAGTAGGTCAGTCCAGTCTATATTGCTATGTTAGCTCAGTCTTCAACAGCTACATTATCTGGTCTATACAGTTACAGCTTCCAATAATCTGTTTTACCTGCAGTAAACATTGGTGTGATCAAACATTAGGGCATGGGTTGATGTTAGGTTTTAATGTGAAGACATTCTTGGTTCCATCCAGCCAAAGACATCCATGGTTCCATCCAGCCAAAGACATTCTTGGTTCCATCAAGCCAAGACATTCTTGGTTCCATCCAGCCAAAGACATCCTTAGTTCCATATAGCCAAAGACATTCTTGGTTCCATCCAGCCAAAGACATTCTTGGTTCCATCCAGCCAAAGACATTCTTGGTTCCATCCAGCCAAAGACATTCTTGGTTCCATCCAGCCAAAGACATCCTTAGTTCCATATAGCCAAAGACATTCTTGGTTCCATCCAGCCAAAGACATTCTTGGTTCCATCCAGCCAAAGACATTCTTGGTTCCATCCAGCTAAAGACATTCTTGGTTCCATCCAGCCAAAGACATTCTTGGTTCCATCCAGCCAGAGAAATGTCTGGTTCCATCCAGCCAAAGACATTCTTGGTTCCATCCAGCCAAGACATTCATGGTTCCGTCCAAAAGACATTCTTGGTTCCATCCAGCCAAAGACATCCCTGGTTCCATCCAGTCAAAGACATTCCTGGTTCCATCCAGCCAGAGAAATGTCTGGTTCCATCCAGCCAAAGACATTCTTGGTTCCATCAAGCCAAGACATTCTTGGTTCCATCCAGCCAAGACATTCTTGGTTCCATCCAGTCAAAGACATCCCTGGTTCCATCCAGTCAAAGACATCCCTGGTTCCATCCAGTCAAAGACATCCCTGGTTCCATCCAGTCAAAGACATTCCTGGTTCCATCCAGCCAAAGACATCCATGGTTCCGTCCAAAAGACAATCTTGGTGCCATCCAGTTCAACCTGAAGACATCCCTGGATTCCTCTATCCCTAATCAAGGTGTAAAGAAGATTGGAAAAGTGGTGTCTGGGCAGTGCACAGGTCACACTTTTTACCCCATGTTGTGGCAGCAGTCAGATGAACTCTAGCTACTCATTATACACTGAACAGGCCATTAAGTACACTATTTTAAGCCTGGTCTGTACATGAGTAGATCAGTACAGTCCGTGGTGCTCCAGCTTAAACTGTAGGTTACACCAACCAAGCCTGTGTGTACTCTAGAAAGTTGGATAATGTCAAACCAGCCTATTTCCTCAAGGTTTGGCCTGCTCTGTGAACAGAGTGGAAGCTTGTTGATATTCTCGTCTTAGTTTGGCTCTTAATCTCTCCACAGCTTTTAAGTGTCGTAGATTCACTTCCTGGTCTTCACTGGTGACTCTACATGTCTTATCTGCCCACTGTCCAGCAGATAAATAATTGGTCTCCCCCAGAGGTTTGGCTTTCAACTCCTCCAGCAACTTGTTTTTCTCTTCTATAAGACTGTCTTCCCTTTCCTGCAGGTGAGATTCTATCTCAGAGATATGCTCCTCCATTAGACGCTTCTGCTTCATGAGCTGCATCTCTGTGAAATCTTTGAGTAGACACAGCTGCTCGAGGTGCCTTCTCTCTGCCTCACAGTGCTGCAGCTCTATCTGGCGCTGGGTCAGCACCTTGTACAGGTGGTCCAGCTCCTCTATCTTCTCTATCAACTTGTCCTGCTCCGCACACCCTGCCCTCACGCCCTCTTTCTCCTTCATCTGATTCATAAGCTCTGCTCGTTGGCTCTGAAGGCTTGTCAAATGGCTGCCCAGACAACTCTTCAGCTCCTGGGAGTAAAATTCTTTTTCCTGCAGCTTGAGACTGAGGTGAATGTTCTCAGCCTCCAGCTCCCTCACCTGAGATCTTAGACTTTTGTTTTCATCCTCCAGCATGGCAATCTGCTCAAGACAGATGGACAGCCTTTCATCTACTGGCTCCCGTCTCTGGAACTCACCTCCCTGCTCACCTTTCCCACACACACCTGCAGACTGCCTGCCTGAAGATGACACCCTGCTCAAGACTAGCTCCTTCTCCTTCTCATCTCTGACCAAAGCTTCTTTAATCAATTTGTTCTCTTGATAGTAGACAGCTTTGGTTTCTTTAAGATCTCTCCTCAGCTGTTTGATTTCCTCAGCTAGAACTTGGTCCACCTCACTGGCCCAGTTGGTCTCACCATCTGGACTCTCCTGCACACCCTGTGATGTGTGAGACCTGAACGACAGCTCCAGTGTAGACAGCTTGCTGCTGCTCACATCGATGCTCTCATCACAACTTGAGGACACTTCATCCAACACAGCTTCAGCTCCAACATCCCCATTAAACTGCTCTTGGCCAGATGTGGTGTCCAAACTTTGATTCTGATACCTAGTGGAATCTACACTTTGCTGTAAAGTATTTGTCAAGTCACCTGATTTAGCACCTGAAAAATTATCCCCGTTAGAAGGAATGGCCTCGCTACAAAAACCACCAGTAGTCACAAAGTCGATATCTCCCCCACCAGCCATCATAGGATCACTACCTGCAATACCATTCATGGGATCACTAACTTCCACACCAGTAGGGGTCACAGGGTCACTACCTTCCCCACCAGTGGGGGTCATGGGGTCACCTCCTGCACCACCAGCAGATAACAAGGGAACAATTTTATCTACATATCTTGTGGACAGGATTTCAACAAAATCATCAAAGCTCCCCATCTTTTGGATGTCATCATGATGAATGATGAGACCATCACCAGAAAGTTTAACAAGCCACTGGAACAACATGTGGAACCTGAGTCTCACCTCTTGGCAGTCCTGGCGCACACAGCGCCCATCAAACACCTCCCAGATGCTGCCCTGCTTCTCCTCAAAGACCCCCGTCTCAGTGCTGGTCAGCTCCCACTCCAGCGGCAGGTCCTGGTCAGACTGGTGAGACACGTCCTCAAACTCCTCCAAGAGACCATCCCGGCCTGAGCTGGCCTCACTTCTGGACAACTCCCCTCCATCCTTGCTGACGTCAAGTTTGTTGGTGATACGAGACTCCAGTTCCTGTTGCACTTGATCATGCAAGCCTCGAGCGTTGGAGATCTCAATTAGTCTCAACAGATCATCCCGGACCTCAGCAAGCTCCTGAAGGTCAAGATAAGAATGGCAAATTAGAAAAAATTAAACAAAGGCGATAAATATCTACTTCTAAGTTAAATGTTTAATTCAAGGTTTCAAATAAAAAAGAGAGCATCTTGGTTTAGATTTTTTTTAAATCTAATTTTTTAAGTTGTCCCAAAAATTATTTCGGATAGTTTTTTAAAATTTCTATGTATTGTGTAGAAACAAAAATGAGCACTGCTGGAGACTGACCTGATTCTCTTTATAGAGCTCCTCCACACCCAGCTGGTGTGCTGTCAGACCCCTCACCCCTTGAGCTTCACCCTCAACTTTATTGGAAGAATCCCCTCCACCAAACTGCTCTTTTAAGTCAGCTTTCTTTTCCATTTTCTTCTTAACTTTGCGCAAGGCTTTAGCAAACTTGTGCTCCCAGTCATATTTGACTGCCTGCAACTTCTGGGCATAGTGCTGCTCTCTCTCCTCTTCAAACTTCTGGAGCAGGCTTTCATAATGGAGCTTCAGCTCAAACTCTTGCTTCCTCAGCTTCATCACATACTCCTCCTCCAGGTCTTCTTTCATTTGCTCAACAGAGATTTCAGTTTCTGAAGACTGGGTCTCAAATCTCTGGCCAGACAACGGTTTGGATGTGTCAGCCCCATCTACCAAGTCAACTTTCTGTTGGTAGTGATGTTCATAGTCATCAATGCTGTCAAACTCAAAGAGCTTTTGCTGTCCTGGCAAGTGGGACGGTGACATGCCAACTGTTAGTTTACCTGGCCAAATGGTGGACTGGCTAGACTCTTCTGTGTCCATTAAAAATAGATCTGCCTTCTCTGGTTGGAAGCCTTCACAGATGCCCTCCTCTCTGATGGGATGGACGCTGCGCTGGCCCACGTCCATCACTCGTTCATGATCCATCTCTGGCTGGAACCTGTCATGCTCCTCCACAAAGTCTGGCTCCTGGTTCAGCAAATGTTCTGGGGCTTCAGCAACAAACCCTTCCTCTACACTAGGAGAGAAACAATCTCTATCAGCCAGTGTGGGCCGGGCTCCAGAATAGGGAGGGAAATTGTCCTCAGCCTTAGAGATGGGAGGCAACTCTCTTTCAGAGATCTGCTCACTGGACATCCTCCTCTTCAACCTGTTATTCTCCTCAGTTAGCCCAGCTACTTTCTTCTGTAGATCTGCAACACTGGACAGCCCACTGCCATTATGTGATAATGTGTTAACATGACTGTTTTTTAACTGTTTTATATGAGAATCATGTTCCTGTTTTAGTAAGCTCAACTCCTGTTTATGTTGAGCTGTAAGCTCTGATATTTGGAGTTTGAGCCTTGAGATTTCCTCCTCCATGTCCAAGAACTGCGACTCCTGCACTCCGTTATTGAGAATGATCTCCCTCTCCCTGTCTTGTATCTGCTCCCTCAGCTTGGCCACCTCATCCTCCAGGGACATGGTCCTCAGCTCAGCATCCCTGCGCTTGCCCTCCAACTCCTCAATCCTCAGATCTAAACGGTGCCTTTCTTCAGAGTAATCTCCTTCAGCACTGCAAGCCTTTCTCAGTTTGTGCAAATCATTGGTGGCTATGCAGTATTTATCTTCCAGCTCATAGAGCCGAGCTTCATAACTTTTCTCCAAGTTTTTCAACTCCACTTCATGATCTTGCTTCATGTCCTCCAGATATTTCTTCAACTTGGACACCTCAGTCTCGTACATTCGTCTTTTCTCTTCATTATCTGTCACCTGGAATTCAAGACTCTGCTCAAAGTTGTTTCTCTCCTTTCTAAACTGATTGTTGAGTTCATTCAACTGCCTCTTGAGCTGGGCATTGCTTCTCTCCAGGTTCATGCATGTGTCTTCAAGCTGCGTGGTTTGTATTTCTTGCAGCCTCTTCAGCCCTGCCACTTCACATTCGTGGTTGTTGATTAACTTGGCCATCTCATCCTTGACCCTGGCATGTTCAGCAGTGGCAGTCAGGACATTGAGCTCAAGCTCAGTCAGCTGAAGTTCATACATATCCTTGCTAGAGGCCAGTTTTTTCTTCATCTCCCCAACATCTTTCTCCAGCTGTTGGCAAAGTTTGTCTGAGGCCAGCAGCTTCTCCTCCAGCTCAATGACCTGATGCTCATACAGCTCCTTCATGTCGTCCTGGTCCTGAGCCTTCCATTTCTTGCCTTCCTTCAGCTGAGACTTGAGTGCCTGGATCTCACTCTCCTGCTCCCCTGCCCTCAGCTGCATGTCTTCCATACAGCTGTCAAAGTTGGACTTGAGCATTTCCTTTTCTTCTCTGTTCTTCTCCAGCAGAGAGGTCAGTGCTTCCAGTTCTTGCTTGATCCCACTCATTGCTGCATCCTTCTCCTCCAAGTCAGCCTTCAGTTCATGAATATCCTTCAGATAACTCTCTAGCTCAGCCTTCAGCTTCTCAAGGGTTCTATCCTTCTTGTCCCCATCATCACTGAGCTGTAGGATCCTCTGGGTCAGCTGGGCACACTCAAGCAGATGCTCCTCCCTGCCCCCAGACATCATCTGCTCCAGCTTGTCCTTGACCTCTGCCAGTCTCTGGTACTCTGCCAGCAGCCTGTCATGTTCTGTCCTGACAGCCATGACACTGGCATTCTCTTGTGAGAGGTCATTACACTGACTGGTCAAAGCCTGTACCTGGTCATCTCTTTCACTAATGATGCCTTGTAATTGCTCAATGTTAACATTCATAGCTTCAATCACCAGACTTTGTTCAACCAGCAGAGCCTCCTTTTGAGATAGCTCTTCAGCTCTCCATGACAATATGCCATTTAAAGTTTGATATTTCTTCTCTAACTGAGAAAACTTACTGGCACAATGTTCATGGGTGTCTGCACCTGATGCCAACCTCTCCTGACAACTCTGGCAATGTTTGCCAGCACCTAACTCTGATGTGACTTTATCAACAAACTGTCCAGCGCTATCATTCAGACTTAACACTGCCGTCTGCTCTTGTAGCTTAATTTCCTGTTGAACAAAGACAGCCTCAAGAGCTTGGGTTTCTTCCAATGTACAAGACAATAAACTCTGGAGTTGATTGTTTTTCCTCTTAACACAATCCAGATCATGAGCTGCTTTCAATGTGTCAACATCAGTTCCTGCAGTGATGTACTCAGCGCTCCTGTCCAAAGGATGTTGATGGTTAGGCTGGGCAGTGGTCTCCTCATGGTTGGCAGACTGCAACTTGTGTACAACTAAACTTTCTTCATTCTCTCTTAATTGTGTCTTCAATTCAGCAACTGTGGTTTGACTTTGCAGCAACTGTGTGTTTACTTCCACCAACCTTTCTGCTTGTTCTCTCATCTCTTGGTTTAACCTGCCAACTGTGGTTTGGCTTTGGACAAGCTGTTCATTAATTTCATCAAACTTTTCACTTTTTTCTCTTAGCTCTTGATTCAGTTTGGCCACTGTGGTTTGGCTTTGGCCAAGCTGTTCACTGATTTCATCAAACTTTTCAACTTTTTCTCTTAGCTCTTGATTCAGTTTGGCCACTGTGGTTTGGCTTTGGACAAGCTGTTCATTGATTTTATCAAACTTTTCATCTTTTTCTTTCAACAGATTGTTAACTTCATTAATTGTGTCTTGACCAGTGGCTGATTGCAAGTTGAGCTCAACTAACAATTCTTCCTTCTCTCTTAACTGATTATTAAGCTCAGTGATAATGTTTTGATTCTGTGCTAACTGGGAGTCAAGTTCACTATTAGCTTCAACTTTCTCTTGCAGCTGTTGGCTAAGCTCAGATATGGTGTCTTGATCCTTGGCCATCTTCAAACTAACTTCAGCTAATTCTTCTTCTTTCTCTAAGACTTGATGCTTAAGATCAGCAATAGTGTTTTCACACTGAACCAGCAGTACACTTACTTCATTCAACTTTTCAACTTTTTCTGTCAACTGTTGGTTAAGTTCTAACATGGTGTCTTGTATCTGTACCAACTGGGAGTCCATCTCACACATTCTTTCACCCTTTTCTTTCAACTGTTGCTCAAGTTCTTCAATGGTATCTTGGCTACTCACTTGTTGTGAATTTAATTTTTCTTCTGTTTCTTTCAACTGTTGCTCAAGTTTTTCAATGGTATCTTGGCTACTCGCTTGTTGTGAATTTAATTTTTCTTCTGTTTCTTTCAACTGTTGCTCAAGTTTTTCATTGGTATCTTGGCTACTCGCTTGTTGTGAATTTAATTTTTCTTCTGTTTCTTTCAACTGTTGCTCAAGTTTTTCAATGGTATCTTGGCTACTGGCCAGTTGTGAATTTAATTTTTCTTCTGTTTCTTTCAACTGTTGCTCAAGTTCTGCAATGGTATCTTGGCTACTGGCCAGTTGTGAATTTAATTTTTCTTCTGTTCCTTTCAACTGTTGCTGAAGTTCTTCAATGGTATCTTGACTACTGGTCAGTTGAGAATTTAATTTTTCTTCTGTTTCTATCAGCTGTTGGTCAAGTTTTTCAATGGTATCTTGGCTACTGGCCAGTTGTGAATTTAATTTTTCTTCTGTTTCTATCAGCTGTTGGTCAAGTTTTTCAATGGTATCTTGGCTACTGGCCAGTTGTGAATTTAATTTTTCTTCTGTTTCTTTCAACTGTTGCTCAAGTTTTTCAATGGTATCTTGGCTACTCGCTTGTTGTGAATTTAATTTTTCTTCTGTTTCTTTCAACTGTTGCTCAAGTTTTTCATTGGTATCTTGGCTACTCGCTTGTTGTGAATTTAATTTTTCTTCTGTTTCTTTCAACTGTTGCTCAAGTTTTTCAATGGTATCTTGGCTACTGGCCAGTTGTGAATTTAATTTTTCTTCTGTTTCTTTCAACTGTTGCTCAAGTTCTGCAATGGTATCTTGGCTACTGGCCAGTTGTGAATTTAATTTTTCTTCTGTTCCTTTCAACTGTTGCTGAAGTTCTTCAATGGTATCTTGACTACTGGTCAGTTGTGAATTTAATTTTTCTTCTGTTTCTATCAGCTGTTGGTCAAGTTTTTCAATGGTATCTTGGCTACTGGCCAGTTGTGAATTTAATTTTTCTTCTGTTTCTATCAGCTGTTGGTCAAGTTTTTCAATGGTATCTTGGCTACTGGCCAGTTGTGAATTTAATTTTTCTTCTGTTTCTATCAGCTGTTGGTCCAGCTCTGTGATGGTGACTTGACTTTGATTCACCTGTGAGTTTAGTTCGTAAATCTTTTCACCTTTTTCCATTAACTGTTGACGTAGCTCAGTAACAGTGTCTTGACTAGCTACCAGCTGCAAATTAAGCTCAACTAATTTTTCTTCATTCTCATTAAATTTTTGGCTAAGAGTCGCAATACTGTCTTTTTTATCTCCCAATAATGAATTAATTTCTTCAAGCTTTTCAGTTTTTTCCAGCAATTGTTTACTAAGCTCAGTAATGGTGTCTTGGTTCTTCACCAGCTGCAAGTTAAGCTCAGCTAATGTTTCTTCTTTTTCTGTGACATTTTGCTTAACTTCTGCAATGGTGTTTTGACTCTCTACCAACAAATAATTGAGCTCATCGCATTTTTCACTTTTTTCTTTCGACTGCAAGTTGAGCTCCTCCATTTGTTGGTTAAGATCGGCAATGGTGTTTTGACTTTGTACAAGCTGTGAGTTTATTTCATTATATCTTTCAGTTCTTTCCATCAACTGACTGCTTATCTCTGTAAAGGTGTTTTGGCTTTCTGAGTTTATTTCATTGATCTTCTTATCTTTATCTGTCACCTGTTGGCTTAGCTCCGCAACTGTCTCTTGACTCTGGGCCCACTGTAAGTGAACATCTACCAATGCTTCTTCTTTCTCTCTAAACTGTTGGTGAAGTTCAGAGATGACATTTTTACATTGAAGCAGCAGTAAATTCATTTCATCAGATTTTTTACCTTTGTCTATTAGGTTTTGGTTGAGCTCCACAATGGTGTATTGACTGTTGGTCAGCTGTGAGCTTAGCTCCCCAATGGTGTCTTGACTGTTGGTCAACTGTGAGCTTAGCTCCACAATGGTGTCTTGACGGTTGGTCAGCTGTGAGCTTAGCTCCCCAATGGTGTCTTGACTGTTGGTCAACTGTGAGCTTAGCTCCACAATGGTGTCTTGACTGTTGGTCAGCTGTGAGCTAAGTTCAGACAATTTTTCTTCTTTCTCTCTCAATTGTTGGTTCAGATCAGAAATTGTGTTTTGACATTGGAGTAATTGAGAATTTAGTTCATCCAAATTTTCAACCTTTTCTTTTAACTGCTGATTTTGCTCTGTGATGGAGTTTTGGCTCTTTACCAATTGTGAGTTTAGCTCAACAAATGTTTCTTTTTCTATTACATTTTGGCTAAGCTCAGCAATGGTTTCTTTATCTTTAGTCAACTGGAAGTTAAGTTCAACTATTGCTTCTGTCTTCTCTTTAAGTTGTTGATTAAGCTGCACATTAGCATCTTGACTGTTTATCAGTTGTGAGTTTAAGGCCAACAATTTTTCATCTTTTTCTGTTAACATTTGGTTAAGTTCTGTAATGGTGTTTTGACTGCCACCCAATAAAGAATTTATTTCATCACACTTTTTATCTTTTTCTCCTAACTGTTGGTTAAGTTCATTGATGATGTCTTGAGTGTTAACCAATTGTAAATTGACTTTAACTAAACCTTCTTCTTTTTCTTTCAATACGTTGCTAAGCTCGGTAATATTATCTTGACCTGTGGTCAATTTTAAGTTAAGATCCACAATTTGATGGTTTAGATCAGTGATGGTGTTTTGAGTTTGTATCAGCTGTGAGTTTATTTCATTATATCTTTCAGTTAGGTCAATCAACTGATTGTTAAGCTCTGTCATAGTATGTTGGTTTTGTGAGCTTATTTCAGTAATGTTTTTATCTTTATCTGTAATTTGTTGGTTTAGCTCTGTAATGGTATGTTGACTGTTTACAAAATTAGAATTTAGCTCATCATACAATTCCACTTTTTCTCTCAACTTTTGGTTAAGCTCTGCAATAATATCTTGGCTCTTGGCCATTTGTAAATTGAGCTCAGTTAAAATTTCTTCCTTGTCTGTCAACTGTTGATTAAGATCAGAAATCATGTTTTGACTCTGTATTAGCTGGGAGTTAAGTTCACTAACATTTTCAACAGCCTCTCGCAGTTGTTGGCTAAGCTCAGCAATTGTGTCTTTATCTTTGACCAACTGTGAATTTAGTCCAGTTAATGTTTCTTCTTTCTCTGTGAACTGTTGGTTAAGATCAGTTATTGTGTTTTCACTCTGAACTAGCTGTGAACTTAGCCCATCACAGAAATCACATTTTTCTTTCAACTGTTGAGTTAGTTCTGCAACAATGCCTTTGTACTTTACCAACTGTGCATCAAGTTCTGCTAATGTTTCAGTACTTACAACTTTTTGACTAAGCTCCGCAATGGTGTCTTGATTATTAGTCAAATGCAAATTAAGTGCAACCAATTTTTCCTCTTTTTCTTTTAATTGTTGAATTAACTCAGCATTAGAATTCTGACTCATTATTATTTGTACATTATTTTCTTTACATTCCTCATCTTTTTCTGTCAACTGTTGGGTTAGTTCTGCAATGGTGTCTTGACTGTTAACCAATAGTACATTAGCTTTAACCAATTCTTCTTCCTTATCTGAGACTAGTTGGCTAAGCTCAACAATGATGTCTTGGCCTTTGGTCACCTGCAAAGTAAGCTCAGCTAATTCTTCTTCTTTCTTTAAGACTTGTTGGCTAAGCTCAGCAATGGTGTCTTGGTCTTTGGTCACATGTAAATTAAGCTCAGCTAATTCTTCTTGTTTCTTTAAGACTTGTTGGCTAAGCTCAGCAATAGTGTTTTGACACTGAACAAGCTGTACATTTATTTCATTAAACTTTTCAACTTTTTCTGTCACCTGTTGACTTAGCTCTGCAACAGTCTCTTGACTCTGGGCCCACTGTAAGTGAACATCAACCAACGCTTCTTCTTTCTCTCTAAACTGTTGGTGAAGTTCAGAGATGACATTTTTACATTGAAGTAGCAGTAAATTCATTTCATCAGATTTTTTACCTTTGTCTATTAAGTTTTGGTTAAGCTCCACAACTATGTCTTGACTGTTGGTCAGCTGTGAGCTAAGCTCCACAATGGTGTCTTGACTGTTGGTCAGCTGTGAGCTTAGCTCAACAATGGTGTCTTGACTGTTGGTCAGCTGTGAGCTTAGCTCCCCAATGGTGTCTTGACTGTTGGTCAGTTGTGACCTTAGCTCCACAATGGTGTCTTGACTGTTGGTCAACTGTGAGCTTAGCTCCACAATGGTGTCTTGACTGTTGGTCAGCTGTGAGCTAAGTTCAGACAATTTTTCTTCTTTCTCTCTCAATTGTTGGTTCAGATCAGAAATTGTGTTTTGACATTGGAGTAATTGAGAATTTAGTTCATCCAAATTTTCAACCTTTTCTTTTAACTGCTGATTTAGCTCTGTGATGGAGTTTTGGCTCTTTACCAATTGTGAGTTTAGCTCAACAAATGTTTCTTTTTCTATTACATTTTGGCTAAGCTCAGCAATAGTTTCTTTATTTTTAGTCAATTGCGAGTTAAGTTCAACTATTGCTTCTGTTTTCTCTTTAAGTTGTTGATTAAGCTCCTCATTAGCTTCTTCTTTTTTAATGAATTGTGAATTTATTTCATACAATTTTTCATCTTTTTCTATTAAGTTTTGGCTAAGTTCTGCAATTGTGTTTTGGCTGTCTCCCAAAGATGAATTTATTTCATCCAACTTTTGATCTTTATCTCTCAACTGTTGCTGAAGCTCAGTGATGGTGTCCTGACTAGTGGCCAAATCTGAGTTGAGCTTAACCAATGTTTCACCTTTTTGTAACAACTGTTGATTTAGCTCATCAATTGTGCTTTGACTACTGGCCAACAACAAATTAAGATCAACTAATTTTTCATCTTTCTCTTTCAACTGTTGATTGATTTCTGCATTTATAGCTTGATTTCTAACCATTTGTGTGGTGAGTTCATTACATTTTTCATCTTTTTCTAGCAACTGTTGGTTTAGTTTTGTAATGGTGGTTTGAGTGTGCGCAAGGTCTGAGTTTAATTCATGAATTCTTTCATCTTTATCTTTTAACTGAAGACTAAGCTCTGCAATTAAGTCTTGCCTGCCACCCAAAAAGGAATTTATTTCATCAAACTTTTCATCTTTTTCTCTCAACTGTTGGTTAAGTTCTGCACAGGTGTCTTGACTACTGGTCAATTGCAGGTTAAGTTCCGTTATTTTTTCCTCTTCCTGACGTAACTGTTTTAAAATCTCTGCGTTAGCATCATCGCCATTAATCAGCTGTGAGTTGATTTCACGAATTCTTTGATCTTTTTCTTTCAACTGCTGGCTAAGCTCTGCAACTTCATCTTGACTGTGTTCAAATATCACATTCATTTCATCAAGCTTTTTACTTTTGTCTGCTAATTGCTGGTTAATCACAGCAAAGTCATCTTTACTCTTCACCAATAGCAAGTTAATTTCATCCAATTTTTCAGCTTTTTCTTTTAACTGCTGATTTAGCTGCCCAATGTTAGCCTGACTCTTGACAAGTTCTGAGTTAATGACATCAATCTTGTCAGTTTGTTCTGTTAACTGGAGGTTTAGCTCAGCAACAGTGCTGTGGCTGGCTTTCAATTGTGAGCCCACTTCATCAAGGAATTCTTCTTTCACTCTCAACTGTTGGCTCAACTCAGCAGTAATATTCTGACTGTGCACAAAATCAATGTTTAGTTTATTATAGCTTTCATCTTTTTCTATCAACTTTTGGTTAAGATCAGCAATACTTTCCATATATTTAACTATTTGAGAATCCTTATCATTAGTTTCTGACAATTGATTATCTGCAACAGTTGTTCTCTGATACAACTCATGAACAATATTCTTGTCAACTTTCTCTGCCAGAGCTTGCCTCAAGTTTACCACCTCCAGTTCTCTTGCTGCCAACTGAGCCCTTAACTCTACAACCTCGTCTTCTACATTTCTTACCGCAACACCCAGCACACCACTATGCTCTTGTATGTTCAACTGTTCCATCTCAACTTTTGTCAGCTGAAGTTTTTCCTCTATAATATTTAATTCCCTATCTTTTTCTATCACCAGGTTCCTTTGCTCTGATAATTCAAACAGAATGTTTTCCTTTTCATTTTCTAACTTCAGTACCACATTTTCCATTTTAGCCATGTCTTGGCCCTTCTTCTCCAGCTGAGAATTCAAGGCATCTATAGCAGAGTTAAACATTTCCCTGTCGTTCTCAAACCTTCTACTTAAAGCTGAGCTAGTGCGTGTGAGTTCCTCATGTTCCTCCCTGAGATTCTGCAGTCTGATCTCCTTCTCTTGAACAATCAGCTGAGATTTCTGCCATTGGCTGATGGTCTCCTCCAACTGGTTGTGAAGCTCCTCCTCCACTGAGTTTTCTTTCTCTGTTAGATTCATTTTCCTCTCATTCTCATAACAATTTAACCTCTCCACCAATACCTCATTTTCTTTCTTAATATTTACAAGTTCACTCTCAATGTGTTGAAAAGTTTGTTTACTTAAAAACGATTCATCCAAGTTTTTAAGTGAGTTTTTAATTTGTAGTTGCATATAAGCAATTTTATTTTTAATATCAAACTGCATGATTTGTAGAAGTTGTGAAATGTTTGGACTTGTTTCTGGAAGCTGATTGAGCTGAAGAGAACTAGTGTGGCTTAATGAGGGACTGCTATCCACACTACCTGCTGCAAATGTTTCCAGCCTTAAGATTTCAGTCTCCAGCTCTAAAATATTCTGGGCAAGTGAAGCAGATTCCCTAGAGAGCTGTGATAAGTCAGTTTCAGCCTGGGATCTCTGCTGTACCAGGTCCTGGTAGGCAGCCCTCAAGTTTTCTATCTCCTCTGTCTGCTGGACAAGCTTCATCTCACTGTCTCTCAGTCTCTGCATCAGGTCAGAGTTCAATGTCTTCACCTCCTCCAACTGTAGTTGACATTCAGAATGTTGCTGCTTTAAATGTTCATGCTGTGTATGTAATGAATCATACAAAGAGAGATAACTATCATGTTGATTGTCAGAGTTACTTCTCTTTATAAGCTCTATTTCAGCAATGTGTGTGGCCTGCAACTGTTCCAGTTGTAGCTCCAACTTTCTGATATTGTCATTGGGAACTTGCTGTAGCCGTGCTGCTGCCATGTCAAGGATCTCCCTATCTTTACTGCTGATGATTCCCTCTAGCTGTAAAATTTGTGACTTGGCTGACTGAAGAGCTGCCATGGATGACTCATGCAGTATGACCTGCTCCTCCAGATCTTCATCAGCCTGTAGACAATAACAGAATCTCATTAACTATGAACTAGGCGGATATTCAGTTACATTTCAAAATAGAAAATTTCAAGTATTTTTTATATTTAAACAACCAATTTAGCCATGGCAGATACTTAGCTTCACTCAACCATGGCCAGATAAAACATCCCCAGTCACCCAGCTGTGACTACAAGACCTCATGCAGTAATTGTTTAAATCACTACACTAGGCCTAATGGTATCAGCTGAACTTTACCACATGCAGTAAATACAAAATTTTATTTAACTAGCATGCAGCATTCTAATGATAAAAATAAAGAAAATAATCACCTTTAATTTTAAACACAAAATAAAACACAAGTGGCTCTTTGTAATCAGATAAACAGCAATCAGCTTTTACAGAACTGCTTCAAATCAAAATATGTACCGCTACAGGAAAGCACCTTCCCGTCACAAAATGCCAAACTGATTTCTTCTATGGCAATATTCATCACATCTTTCAACATTTATCAATCAAATCGTATAAAATAACCAGACTCATTTTCAAACAAACTACACACGATTTTCACAAACATTAATACAAGACAAGAAAATATTAATTTGTACCTAACACATCTTAGATACGCATAACAATTACTCACAAGAAAACTTAACCACCCCCCACACACATTTATCTCATGTGTATCAAACCAGACATTCAAATGATTTTGTGAATTGGATGCCATGAACAAATGTGAAATTGAACAAAGATAGTAAATAATGTTCATGAAATATTGTAATGTTTTAGAGTTTTAAATTTTTCAGGCTGTTTTTGGTGGTTATGCTTTCAGTTTTCTTTTAAAATAATGTTTCTCATTGCCTTATGGTGATTGATGTGCCATGTTTGATTGACAATGATACTGTTGTATGCCTGTGCTCATGTCAAGTGATTGTGACAGCGAAACAAAACCCAACAATCTTTAAAAGTCTTACTTGTATTAGCTGGGCTTGTAATGTGCAGATATGCTTTGCTAAAGTCTGAACTTGAGACATAAGGTCATGATCTGGAGCCACCTGCTCTGTAAATGACTGCAGAAATCCTGTAAGATGTCTCAAAATCTCATCCCTCTGTGACAGTGCTGCCTCTATATCAGACATCTGTTAATCCATTACAGACAAAAGTTGTAACAAAAGCCATTAACATTTAACTGCTAGTCAATAAAAGACATCAAACTAAACAACGAACAGTAAGAGTTTTACTGGTTCAATTATTATTTATAAATTATTAACAAGTAAACTAACTAAAAATCATTATAAAACTAGTAAACAAGCCATGAATTGTAAGAGCAAACAAGAAAGCTTACGTTGTGTGAAGTGGACTTTTCTAGAGCTGCTGTGATAGTTTCATTCCCAGTCTGTACAGTGACATTATCCTCCGCTGAAGGTTCTGTGGAGCTGTCTTCACTTGGTTTCTTTTTTGTTTTAGCTTTTTTTGTCTTAAATGCTGCTAGCTAAAACATTCATAAAGATATTCAATTAATAAACAGATATAAACAACATTTAATATTTAATAATTAAACTTTTTATATTATTGATCAATTGTATTGATTTAGTAAAACTAAAGCTTTTTCATTTTAAATAGGCCTAATGATAATTTTGTTGAACTTTTTATTTTACTCCATTGCTGCAAAATCACTGGCTTGTTAGTGAGGATATAAACTTATCTAGGAGAGAAAACTGCAAAATGAATAACAGTATGGAAGCAAGTACATAAAGTTAAAGAAAAGCAGGCGTGGTTTTCTCAGTTTCTGTCACTGTGTGACTCAGACTGACCTGCTAAATGTAATCAACTTCAACTGTAACTCTAGAATCTATATAATATATTATTAATTATATGGAAGTAGCCCACTACTACTGTCTGAATCAGAGAATAGAGACTTTAAAATGCAAAATGACTACGCAGAGCAAACTGCATCCAGCCAAGCCTACCCAAGGCCCTACCTAGGCTAGGTGGAGCAACTACGAATGTACATGTGCAAGTATATTTTGCACAAGACATTAAACTTTTTGACATTGTGATAGCTTGTATTCAATCATAGTGTGGTTCGATTTCATTTATGATTTTGGCTCTGAGTTTTAGTTTTGCTATTTTTTATTATTATTTTACTTTCTACAGGCATTTTCCTTCTGGAGGGGGGGGGGGGGGGCATTGAATTTTTTAGGATGGGCAGGGTGCTTCCCTAAAAAGAAGCTAAAGGAAACTCTTACTCTGGTTTAAGAAGGATTAGGGTTTTGTATTACGGTAAATATACATATATATATTCATACACAGTAGAACATAAAAAAATTGCCATGAAGTACGAAGGAAGGCATAGCTTTTTCCTGTTAGGATCTGCCAAGTCCAGTCAGTTCATATTCTACTATTCTACAACTACCCCTACTACAACAGTCTACAACTTCACAGTGACCGAGTGAGTAGGCCTATTCTCAGTATTCTAAGTCTAGAATTCTGAATCTAGTAGACAAGTACTAGATTTAGTAGTAGTAGTACTAGATCATGAGGTCTAGAATCTATATAAATGACGTCAAACTTTTTTTTTGACGATTTTTACCTCCCCACTCCCCTCAGTCAGACCCCCCTCCCTCAAAATTGCTGTTGAACTTTTCTTAAGACATCGATATTTTTCCAAAATCTTGTCAGAATTCTGTCAACATAGAGTATTTCGATCAATTCCTATAATAGCCTATTATTAGGCCTACAATTTATTAAAACCGTTTTCTAAAACGCAAAATAATGGCTAAAACTTGTTTTCTAACATATTGCTTTGGTTATAATGCAAAAGTGTGACGTCACACAACAATCTGAACCCCTCTCCTCCCTCCCCCCTACAATAGTGACGTGATTTATGGACGACCCCTGCCTGAGTGTACTGCAGGCCTAACGAAGAGAAGCGAATCTTCAGCTCGTGAGAAAACGGATCGGTTGAAGTTAGACTAGTTAGAGCAGTCTACCCTAGAGCCCTAGAGTAGTCTAGTAAGTAGGCCCTAGACAGACTGTAGGCCTAGAGTAGAGTGTACTGTAGTGTAGACTGTAGACTAGAGCTAAGAGATCTAGAATCTAGACTACTAAACCAGCATCGGAAAATTTTTAAGTCATTCCTAGAAATGAGTTAGATCTATTCTAGATCTAGATCTAGTCTAGCTACTTCTAGATTTTCAATGTGATCTAGATTTCTATATCTAGATTTCTAGCTCTAGAATCTAGAAAATCTAGATCTAGATTTCTAGATCTAGATTCTAGATATCTAGATCTAGATCTAGGGTAATCTATCGTTTTGGGTACGTAAAATCGCCCGCGACTAGTAATGTGAAAAACAGGTGACTCCTTAAATTTTCATAATTATTTCACATTTTGAGGAGGATTTGTGTTTTGAAAAATACAAAAATGTTTCCTTGTTTCATTTATGTACCTGTTTTCAAACAATTGAATTAAAACTTTTCAATAATAAATGAATACTAGCGATGTTTCCAACAGATGCAACTGTGCTCATTTACTATAGTAGCCATCTTGTTTAAGGTCTTTCTTTGTTAACTTATAGCGCGAGATCAGGGGAAGGCAACTCTATTTTACAAATGGCTGCTGTTTATATAGGAAATCCTGCTCGCAAACACTGCTGTTAAAAGTTAATTTCTGGTCTATATTGATATATTTAGCTATTGATTTAGGTTATTTATTCATTTATCTATAATATTTGACACAAAGATATCAAAATATACTTCTATTAAAGCCTTGACAATGAGGTAACTTTTTCGTACATTACTAGCCGCGGGCGATTTTACGTACCCAAAACGATAGATTACCAGATCTAGATCTAGTCTTAGTCTAGATTCTAGATTCTAGATCTAGATCTATGTCTATAAATACTAAATACCTTTTCTTTTCCAGCTTTCAGTTTTTGTTTGCGTTCTTCGTTTGTTAACTCCATGTTTGATCGAACCTAAATTTAATAAGTGAGTAGATCTATAGAATCTAGATTCTAGATCTAGTAGTATTCAATAATTTTGGAGAGAAACAAAAACATCAGCCGCCATCATTTATCCATAGCGGAAGTTGCTGGAATTTTTTTTATAGTGATCTAGCCTAGTCCCATTAATCAATGAATAAATCGCTCTTATAATATTAATGACTCAGTATGCTCCGTAAAGGAGGTTAAGCGTGCATTATTAAATAATAAATAGGGGCCTACCATGTTAGGCCTATATATTAAGTTGGCAAAATTTAAAATTGGTACTCCATAAATAAAATTTGGAGAAATTTCTTTTATGGAAAAATAGCCCCTAATTTAAACTAACTGTGCAGCCTAATGCCAATAGTTCTTTTAGTAGCCTACTATTCACTAATCCCCTTTAATGTTATTGTTTGAACTACTAGATCTAGAATCAATATTCTAAATTGTAGAATGGTTGGTGATCTGTGAGGATGGATCAGTTTTTACAGTCCAGTGGAGGAATCCAGTGGGAATGGAACATGTAACTTTTTAAAATTTCATAAGGTTGTATAGGATAATAGGATCAGAGAGTTTAGTAAATGTAAGGTGCTATCTCATCAGTTTTTATTCTCTCCCTCCCCCCCCCCCTCAAAATTGTATTTATTTACTGCATCAAATTTATGTGTGTAGGGCCTACCTACAACTTTATAACACCTTTTAAAGCGGGTTTGATACCAGAGCTTATCCCATTTTGATGTTATAGTGTGTAGCCTACTTTCCTCAGTTAAAAGATGAGTGATTAACAGAGCAATTAATATGGAAGCTTTTTAGACAGGTAAATGATTACTGGGCAAGAATGTGAATGATAGAACACAGTTAAGGGCCTGAAAGAAAGCAGCAGGGAATCAGAGAAGCTAATTTTGGGTAGAGCCACTCCAGACCAAAAAAATTGCTTGCTCTACTTTACCATAAAATTTTAAAACTTAACAGGAACAATAACATTGCCTAGACTCGCTATTTAAAATTTGGCTATTGAGTTTCGACTAATCAGGTTCAATTTATTTTCTCAGCTTTTACTCATTTTAATACTGAGAGTTAAGAAATAATGTTTAGGTATATTTAATATTTTGTTAAACAAAAAATTTCAATATTTCTCTCCATTACTGTTTTGTTTCCCACATTTTAGAACTCGCTTGAAAATTCCTATAATAAATTCCCATAAAAAGAGATAGCATAGATGAAAATGAAATGAGTCTGAAAGGTGAGACAATTGTTAAAATAATCATTGATAACTTATCTTTCCCTCTATAAAAAAATATGGAAAATAATTACAATAATTATTTTACTTTACTAGAGCAGTAGGCATACACATTTCTACCCACCCTAATTCTAGAATATTTAGAATAATACTGTTTTAAAAAAAAGAGTTCAACATCACAGGAACTAAAAAAAAAAAATCATGTTTATTCCTAATCCCTAGTCCAGAGTTGATTGGAATGATTATGAAGGGAACATAAAGCTCATTGAATGATGACTTCAATAAGCTTATTAACAATTCTTAACTTCAACAAATTTCTTTTAATGTATAACAGACTCATGAATGTGAATAACAAGAAATTATTTTTATTTATTGTGTAGTTAAATAAACATATAAGAAAAACATTTCTTATAAAATTATGTTTTAATCAGTTCTTTATTGCAACAAATAAAAATAAATGTCTTTATTTCTAGTGCTTACCCAACATTTTACAAATTACAAGGTTAAAATCAGATGTTTTTAAAAAAATACTGCATTGTGTACTGTCAACAATGTGGCAGTTTTTATTGACTAAATAAAAATGACCAGAGAGATTACTGAATTAACAAGAAATAAAGCTGTGTGTAAAGAATATACAAAAAATACAAAGTAAACAAATGAAAGAAATAAGACTGAAATATAAGTAGAAGTATCGCAATAGAAATTGGAATGAAGTATAGTGCTTATGGGGGCAACCATAGTGAAATGAAATATTTAATTGTAAAAATGTGCTGATTAGAGTTCTGGTAAAATGCAACTAGTTACACATTTTAAATAATTATGTTCTAGAAAGGTGCACTGATGTAAAAATATACCTTTAATTGAAAAAATGACAAACTTTGCAATACACATAAAATGGGCTTTAAAATTCCCTAATAATTATATATGTCATCCCCTAACAGGATGAGAGTACTGTAAAAAACCACCTTCACCAAAAGTAAAGGAAACAATGAGAGGTTCTACTTAACACTGGCCAGTAAAATAGTCTATATAGGGGACATATATACATTTACTTCAATAATTAAAATATATTTCTGACTTATCTTCACAACACAATACATGCAATAATTGAAAGACAGTATGAAACACACATTTGGTGATGTAGCTAATATGTATGCTTGCTGAATTTGTGTTTGACTTACTAGAGAAGCAACCATGGGTAAAACAATTGAATAGTATTGCAGCATCAAAACCAGATGCAAATATTGAAATCATTTTCTAGATATTTGATTTCAGCTCCAACAATATGATTCAACAAACAAGAGAATGTTTTCTTCTTTATATCTGACTCTGTACATGGAAGAAAACAGATGTTAGGTTAAAGTAGCTATTGAGCAAATGGGTTTATTAGAAATAGTCACATCATGATAATAGATTTTAAAACACATGAAATCTTGCAATGTTACCATCTAGAACAATGTGCTGAAAAAACTCTTAATTCATGGTCCTTTATGATCACAGCAGTTCAGAATAAGTCAAGTGGACCACACCACCAAATCACTGAGTTCCATTCAGAGATGTGCCAGGTTGTGTTGTTGTAGGGGTACTGGCAGTTGTAATACTTGAGGTTGTCTCAGTGGAGGTGGTGGTAGTTGCTGTGGTGGTAGTTGCTGTAGTGGTTGCGGTGGTCTGTGTTGTAGCCGGTGTGATGGGCGGGACTAAAGTGGAAGGGGGAGGTCCAGGTTCTGGGTGACAGCTGACAGTCTGGAATGTTGTTAGTGTGGCCTGCTCTGAGTGGCCCATGTAGCTGTAGTTGGCTGTCACTCTAGTAAAGAAACAACAAAGATGTAACATTGTGTAGATTATGTAGGTCAACAAATACACAAATAAAATTTATAACTGAGGTAGCTATTTTAAATTAAGTTGCTGTTTATTTATATGACATAAGTAAAAAATATAATTTTAAAATGCATTAGATAATTCTATAAAAATGTCTCTGTGAGTGCTAAAATTTCTAACAAGTTAATCAAAAGTACCAACTTGTATCCCATGATTACCAAAATGAATAGTAAAAAAGTGTTCAGGTAAAATTTTAGCCAACACTAAAACAACAATGCTGTATTGCCTGGTAATGTATGGGTGTAGTTTTATAACTTTATACTTTTCAAACCAACAAGCCCAAAAGTTCCATAGTACTTACTCAAACAATATTGGGAGGTTGTGGATCCATGACCAATTACTCATACAGTGTGACCTGATGGAGAAATAATTTAAAAGTATTTTATTAATAAAACACAAGCACTATAAATATTTTATAAGTTTAACTTATTAAGTGGGAAATACTCAACACTCAGAAACATTTCTCTACTAAAAAGAACTGAAATCTTACACTAAACTACCATGCTCCCCGCTGAGTATAAAGTCCATTGGAATAGTTAGCTCCTGTTCTGATCTGGCAGGTATACCAATGGGGTTATTGGTATATGCTGTAGACTGGGCAATAACTGCATTACTATACAGAGACTTCATGAAAACTCCAGATATTTTCACTGGGTAGAAATTATTATTCGATACATTGTAACGATTCTGCAGATAAGAAAACACAATCAGTGCATAATTTATAAGTCTTAGATGCAACATATTAAGGAAAAATCTTCTATAGCATGAAATAAAAACAGACAAGGATGACTTAGGGATGACATTTTTGTTATCAATACTAACTAAGTGAATGTCAAGTAAATAAATACCAATCCATTAGATAAAAGGGAAAATCTACTAACACTGACAGTAAAGTTGGCAAACTTGGCAGTGACATTGATATCAATGTGTTTTGGCTGCAGGAAAGGCCTGTTACTTGAAATAGTTATATCCCTTGGCATTAGGAAGAAGATCAGAAGGCCAGCTGTAACAGCACATAGTGTTACAGCTATCAATACATACAAAGTTCTGAAGAAAAAAAACGATAGTTTATTACAATATATTTGAAAAGCACTTTAAACAGAAACTTGGCAGCTTAAATCAATAGCCAATATGAATGAACGAAAATAAAGCATTTACGTTCTTCTTGGCTTTAGCCTTCCATCATGCATTGGGATCAGGGCTACCAACTGGTTTTCATACTCTAAAATAAAAAAGATGAGGTTTTTTTTTAAATCAACACAATGTCAATGGTATGCACATTCTAATAAAAACAATTCTGAAGCACCTTATTGTGTGGTTAATTTAACTTTTAAACTGTTGCTAAGGCAATTGCAAAGAGAATAAATTACACTCTGACCTTTAGGCACCCTGCCTAACCCTCTACAAGATGGACATGGTACGCTGTCTTTGAAAAGCTCCTCATATCCTTCGGCTGATGTTGAGCCATTTCCAGATAATCCATTCTGCGAGAGATTGCTATTTCTATTTGAAGCCAACAAGCGTGTGTTTTCTCCACCAGAATAACCAAAACTGGCTAAGCTCTTCAGCTATGAACAAAACACCTTAATCGTTGACGAGGCTAATCAATGTGCACACAAGTTCACAGTAAAAAAAAAAGGGGGATATGCAAGCTAAAAGCTATTGTATTAGTTTAGGTCTAGATTTATAATTGTATGTAATTTTCGGAGTGTTTGCTAAGAAAGTTAAGTAGGTAAGTAGATCTACTTGGGCCATGTAAATCTAGATTTCTAGATTAGATTTAGACTAGACTAGATCTAGATCTCTAGATTCTAGAATCTAGATCTACCGGGTGTGGGGAAATTGCGAGACGTGAAAAGCGAAATGGTGAGGCGGGAAAATGCGAGAAGGGCGCGAAAACGGTCGGTCACGTGACTTTTTTGTCTCGCATTTTACCACAAGCCGATACTTACGCTGGGTGGTGTTGAAATGCGAAGATTTCTGCGAAAAATTTACCGCACCCGATTTTCAGTGGTATTTGGTCCAGACTTCAAAGACGTTTCGTTTACATTGTTAAAACTTCCGATTTTTCCGTCGCTAGACATACTGATGATTTGTCAGCTCCCCCCATCTTTTGTGTCGAGTTAGAATACCACCTTGTTCGAAACCGACGGAAATACCGCCGATGATAGATCAACTTCTGTCTTTTGTGTGGAACGCCGAGGCCGCCTGATTTACCGTCTTTGAAGATCGCCGTGCCCGGATCCGCTGCCGCCGCAAACATATTTTCTATTGTTGCATAGAAATTTTGTATTATAGCCGCTGCCTACGATTTTTTTCTAGCTTTTTTTACCATATAAATCTAAGCACAAGGAAATGCCTATATCATTTGGATACAACAAAATAAAGTGACGTCACCGATATTATCAGTTGCTCGTGCTATATCGTAAGCTATGGGCCTACTTCAAATATTTTTAAAACCAAGTTGAACTTATCTGAATTTTTTGGTTTTGGTGGTGGTGTTATTTGGGGTCTTCCATAAATGACGTCACACTCGTAGGGGGGGGTCTGTAATTTTATAACAATGTTTGATGAGGGGGAGGAGGGGGGGGGGGGGTAGATGTGAAGTCACACTATAAAAAAGCAATGTTAGAAAAAGAATTTTAGACGTTTTTTCGCGTTTTAGAAAACTTTTTTAATACATTGTAATAGGAGCTGATTAAAATACTCTATTTTGACCTAAATTAGGCAAGATTTTGGGAAAATATCGATGTTTTAAAAAAAACTCAACTGCTGGTGACAACAATGAGCAAGACATTGCCAAAATTACAGAAATGATAAAAAATACAAATTATAAAAAACGGAAAACAGATGTTGAGCCTGCGGATGATGATGATGACTGAACATGGGTGCCAGTGTTGTTTGTGGGATGAACGAGGAGGTCAACTGTGATGAGAATGTGAAATGTTGTGAATGTGGATTGGAAGAAGTAGCAAAAGAAAAATGTATAAATTACTATAAATGGGAGTCTAATGAACTGGGTTGGATGTACTATGTGTGAAAGATGGTGTCACGAGGTGTGTTTGAGGACTGTTTCAGAAGATTTTGTTTGTAAATTTTGTTTGTAATTAAAATTACTTAATAAAAAAATAAATTGCACTTTTTAGAATTGTTTATACTTTTACATTTTTTGCAAGTACAAAAATCCAAAAATAGATGTTGCAAAATATCTCTCCTGCTGACAAGATTATACCAATTCACAATGACACAGCTCACGTTTGTATAAACATGAGCGGGCTAGATTTTTAAATTAATGCCGACTGAGACGGGATTTTCCTCTCGCTAACAAGAGCGGGCGATGACAGTAGCACAGCAACGATGTTACGATTTTTAAATAGATAGATATAGATCTATCTAGAAATCTATCTTCTTAGTATTTAGATAAAAAATAACAACATACAACACTCGTGTTAAAGGGTATGGTTAAATGCTTGTTTATTTTAAGAATATTTTAAAAAATAATTGAAATAAATAAAGATGGAAAGGTAAAATCTTAGTTTAGCGTCGTAAATTCCAACGTAGCTAGTAATGTGCGATGAAGGTAACTAATGAATATTTCTTTCATTTGGCCATATTTATGTCATATTTTACATAATATAACAGATAATTGAATAACAAATCACAATCCAAGACCAAACCAGTCATAAATATCCTGGAATAAACTTTAAACTACCCCGTTCGAGACAACAATGAGTAAATACAAGCAGCGGCCATGTTTTAAAAACAATAAATTGTCTATTCGCATGTCTTTTGTGTTGATTTTGTGGTTTAATATGATTGTTTTGTATTGTTTTAATATATGCCGGGGGTCGTCCATAAATGACGTCACACTCGTAGGGCGGTCCGTAATTTTGTGACGTTGTGTGATAAGGGGGGGGGGGGGGTTCAGATGGTGCGACGTCACACTTTTGCATTTTAAAAAAAGCAATGTTACACAACGAATTTTAGACGATATTTTGCGTTTTAAAAAACTGTTTTATTACATTGTAATAACAATTGATTAAAATACTCTATTTTGACAGAGTTCAGACAAGATTTTGGAAAAATATAGCTGTTTAAAAACAATTCAACTGCAATTTTGAGGGGGGGGGGGTTGTAGGCTGAGGTGTGACGTCATTTTATGGGGGGGGGTCTGGCTTTGTGTGACGGAGGGGAGGGGTGGGAGGTAAAAATCGTCAAAAAAGCGTGACATCATTTATGGATGACCCCCCTGTATAGTAATTTTTCTTTTTTTAATATAGTTGACATGAATGACTAATAGACCTTATCAGACTTAATAGTGTGCATCCAAGACCACAACAATTGTTGGGAGGTCGAACTTTTGAACACTTTATTTGCAGTAAGCAAATCAATTATTTTAGATCGCTCATAAATGACGTCGCTCTTAAGATAGTAATGACAGCGTGCATTATTACAGAGCAAACATATGAACATATTGTTTCAGATAGAAATTGTGATTTGTGGTGGGGAGAGGTTGAGTAGAACTCAGCGATGTGATTTTGGAGACGGGTCAGATTTTTTTTTCGTGAAAACGGGATGGTTGTGGGAGAAAGACCAGCTGTAGAAGTATGACGCGTCTTTCATTGGTGATCCATTTTCTCAGTGGGGACGAAAGAACTATTAAGAAGGGTCAAGAAATGTAAAAGGCTTGCAGAGTCGCATTTCTTGAACCCTACCTTTTTCATTCCCCCACTTAGCACATCGTCACCGAGTTAACGCTCGCACGTGACGTCATGTAGCAGTACCGCCGACCGTTAGCCTAATTTTATAGAAAAAACAACAACAAGCACTGCCTTTTTGACGCTTTTGCGACGTTTAGTTTGATTACATAAGTTGGTGTTCATTAAACAGCCCCTAACACACCTATCACTCGTCCATTTAAACGTACGTAGTTATTTCTGCAAGCTTGCTGTCTTGAGACTTTCGGCCCTTTAAAAATGTATTAAGCTCTCACCGTATAGAACTAGACTACCCATATTAAGCTCCAAAAGAAGCTTGGTGAAAACAGGATGGCCGTCCGATTTTGTAGCTGCTCTGCGCTTTATAAAAAGCACAATAAACGATAAGATGACACTTATATTAAAGTAAATTATAGTTCTGAATCTTGATACATTAAAAGTGATATTCGGAAATTATGAGCCAGACAGTCAACATGATATTTCAATTTAAGTCCAAGAAAATAAATTTCCTCAAACGATGGAACATTACTAAATTTTTGCGCAGTTTAGCGAAATTGAATTTAAGTATTTACGTCATCTTACAAAGCGCGATAGCCTACTGGTGCTCTAACGCGGCCCATGCTAATGGCCGTATTCCTAACGCCCGCATTAGACGCGGCTTACTCGTCGGCAGGCATTTGGTGGCAAGCCTTTTTGACGGGGATAATGTGTTAAGTTAAGGCCGTTTTGCCAAATGTCTTAAACTAGCAGGCTTGCAACATTTATGATAGTTCGTTTTAAGCAAGGTATACGTATTTTGTATTAGTCCTCTTTGCTCCTTATGGAGCATAGGGCCTCCACCATTTCCTTCCATTTCTTCCTATCCTCGGCTATTAATTTTGACATCTCCCAAGACATCCCTATTGGCTTCAGTTCTTCAAGAAGACTCCGCCTCCAGGTCTGTCTTGGGCGCCCTCTCTTCCGCTTTCCCTGGGGGTTCCACTCAAGCGCTTGGCGAGTAACATTTGTGTGATGTATACGTATACTAATGCTTATTTATCGTTATTTTGATTGAACAACACATTATAGAGGTTCTCCATCAACCACATAGGTATTTTTCCCCGTTCACCTCCTTTCATGAGACCGACACGTCATAAATTGCAAAGCCGCCTGAGTTGACGTCACAAATCTTCACTCACTCCCGTAGCAAATCATATGTGACATCATTTATGGACAACCCCATATCACTCACTTGGGTACTTGATATTGACAATTTGACAACAAAGGATAACCAAAATGTGTCTGGCAGGTGGAGACTTGCGATCGACCATAATGACAACACGCACTTAAGGGGTGGAGCGGCTCATTGTTTTTGATGATGTTTTACGAGGGAAGCTGGTGGATAATACATTTTGTCTCTCTGTATATATAAATGATGACGAACATTTATTGTTGTCAAAATTATGGCTAGAGATCTTAGATAAGGCAGAGCGAAGCGTAATTTTTTACATTAGGGGTCATCCATAAATGACGTCACGCTTTTTTGACGATTTTTACCTTCCCCCCCCCTCCCCTCCGTCACACGTCGTCACAAAAAGCCAGACCCCCCCCCCCTAAAATGACGTCACACCTCAACCTACAACCCCCCTCAAAATTGCAGTTGAATTTTTTTTAAACATCGATATTTTTCCAAAATCCTGTCTAAACTATTACAATTTATTAAAACTTTTTGCTTTTTTTATAATGCAAAAATGTGACGTCGCAACATCTGAACCCCCCCCCCCCTCATCACACATCGTTACAAAATTACGGACCCCCCCTCCCCCCTACGAGTGTGACGTCATTTATGGATGCCCCCTTATGACTTGTTGTGACATTGACAACAAAAATATGACGGAGGTTGGGGTTTAATTAAGGTAAAGAGAAGTAAAAAAAAAATGTCATACGTTACGATAGAATCACTAGATCTAACTGATGAAAAGAAAAACATGAAATGAAAATAGTGAACATTCAAACAATAAGAAAAAACTCAAACTATATAGTAATAGTAAGATCAAATAAACATTAGTAAAAAAAAAACGTGATTTAAAACATGGATACAAGTTGCATCTCACAATGCTTCTAGAAGTAATAAAGTTGTTTCTTAGGACATTCAGTTTTTAAAGAGCAGAATTTAAAAAAAAAAATGCTTTGTTATACGGACTATACAACAAGACAATCATATTTAAATACATTTTCATACGAATAGAAATGAAAGGGAAGCTACTCTAAATAACATTTTCTTAAGATGGCTGCTGTTTTTAATAGTAAATTTACTATCTCGAACAGGGTTGATAAAAATTAATTTCAGGATATTTAAATTGATTTAACCATAAATGGTGATCTATTATTCAATTATCTATAATATTTTATCAAAATATACGAAAATATACTCATATTTAATGACATATTCATTATTGCACTCTCTCCTACATTACTAGTTTTGGCCGAATTTACGACGCTAAACTAAGATTTTACCGATGGAAAAAAAGGAAATAACTTTTTTCGCAAAAAGTGTCTCGCTATTTACCCTTAATTCCGCAGGTATGTCTCGCATTACCTTCTCGCATTTTCCCGCCTCGCCATTTCGCAATTTCCCCACACCCAGATCTACCGTCGGGTTCGAAACTTAGAGATCTCTCTAGATCTAGTAACTAGTTATTAGTATTATGAAACACCTAGGTCTAATACTTAAGTAAGTAAGTAAGGGTGAAAACACCTACTTTCTGGTAGATATTCATTGGACAAATTTAAGAGAAATTTGTTTTAAAATTTAACTGGTCGTTTGTATGTTTTCAATGTTTTGTTTTCCAAGCATAATAAGAGAATACTAATTACCGAAACTTGATGGTCTATCTCTACTCTCTCGAAACAATGTTTAGTGTGGTAAATTATTAATTCGAGAAATGGAAATTAGACCTATGACAAAAAATATCAATAACATTCATGAACTCTGGAACAAAATTACACGGTGAAATACACGCCTTATTAGGTTTGTTCAAATTATCAGTCAATCTTATGATGATTTGAAAGTGTAAGTTTTTGCTGATGGGAAAGCAAGATTTGATGAGGGGGGGGGGGGGGCAAAAAGGTGTGTCGATACTCAAAGCATTGATCAGTTTTTTTAGGAATCATAGCCAAGCATCATATATGACGATTTGCATTTTCTGTTTCATAACTCTTGCCGGATAGCCTACCCCCTATTAGTTGTATTAATTCAGCTGAATATGTAGCATTGTTTGCACTCGTTCGTCTTGGTTCATCCTGAGATTGGAAGGCGACAGTATGTAAACAAATGTATATCTAAATGACTAAATGGTATACAATTTAACTAAAATGAATTAGAAAAAGCATTTATTGTACCGTAGAAAAAGCATTAATTGTTCCATCTATTTTGCTATTGTACACTCTTATGTCACCCCCCCCCCCTTCTCGCCCTGGTGTCACCCAGCAGTGCGTTCTGACTCATCCCTATTCGATAAGAGCAGGGGTCTCTACTTTTCAGCCCGAGGGCCGCATTAACTATCAAATATCAGTTCAGGGGCCAGTTTTTTCCGGCCATCTCTTTGGGGTGGCGGAGCACCCCCTCCCCACCGAAGAACATATACCCCCCTTTCCCTACCCCCCAACGAAATATAAATTATATATATATATATATATATATGATTGTAGGAAAAAAAGTCACAGGAAAAAAAAACACAGGAAAAAAAAACAGAAAAAAAGTCACAGGAAAAAAAGTCACAGGAAAAAAAGTCACAGGAAAAAAAGTCACAAATATATATTTGCAAGATATTTGTTATTACTTTTATGTATTAAATATTTAGAGAGTGCAAATTAACTTAGGATTAATTAAATGTAATGTAATGTGTGTAGGCTGTATACACATAGGAATTTTTATAATTCATCTAAAAATATTTAGTATAAAGTATGTAGATTGTAATTATAATAGATTGACGACAGAAGCCTGTGGTTGTATATAACACATTTATTGGGTCTAACTACATCACGATGGTAACACACCGAGAGGACGGAAGGAAGTACCAAGGGACATCACTCAAGATAACAATATTATAAATATAACTAATACAGAAGAGTGAGTTCCCTTGACCTCACAATTATTTCAATCTATTACATCCCTTTACCCTTAGAACACAATAACACATCTCTCAATAGAACAATTGATAGTATCCTAAAATCACCAATTATATTGTAACATGAACATTATGGTAGATTACATCCTTACAAACAATGCACAATATGCCACAACATAATCAAGATACAAAACAATGATGTCAAAGTCCTTTTGACCTTTAAAATCATAGGTCTAACTTATTTGGGACTTTGATTGTCCTGCTTGACCTTCTCAGTGGCTTTTGATTTGGTGACTCAAGATTCTGACCATCTGGATTCTCTATCTCAGGAGGTCTAGGATTTAAATCATTAACTCCAGAATTTACATTTTCTGACTCCAGACAACTTGGTTCACTCATATCAACAGTACTTGGTTGTGGAACAAACTGAGTTGGTGTGAACTGATCAGACTTGGTGGGATTGACAGATTCACACTTATTATCTGCACAAGTTATTTTTAACTGGTCTGCATGTCTACGGACAATAAGTCCATCATTTGTTTTTACTTTATAAGACACAGGTCCTGTACATTGAACAATTTGACCTGGTATCCATTTTTCCTTTCTCCCATAATTTCTTAGATACACATTCTTATTAACACCAAATTCTCTTTCAATGAATGTCTTGTCATGATTTAATGGAACTATTTTTGAATTGGCATCTGGAAGTATTATGCTGTTATTCAGATCCTTAATTGACATAGATTTCTTTGATTGATCAATTTTCTCAGGTAATCTGATAGTGCTTTCCTGGTAACCAAAAATACTGTTTAAAGTAATATTCTGGACCATATCACTTTGCAACTGTGATCCAGTATTTGAAGTGGGTGTATTAAATTGCAAAAATCTTTTTCTTTTCTTTTGATGTTACCCTTTTAGTTTCTGTAAGTGCTAATGATGTTAGCAAGGTTGTTTGATGATCACATTCCTTCTTACTAATGTATTTTCTTTAAAACATTTGAAATTGCCATATCACCATAATCATTTATTAAATTACAAGTACTTTGTTTAGGCAACTCTAACTGATAATGGACTGCATCTTCTCCATCTTTTATATTATCTTCACAAAGGGTTTTCATTTCTTATTTAATATGGCCTTAAGTCATCATTCACAGACTCTTCAGGCCAACCATTCTTACAGTACTCATATACTTTTATTAAGCACTCATCTTTTTGTGTTTCTCTTTTAACATCATTCACATTAACATCATTCACATTTATATTGGAGTTATCCATGATAGTGAAGAGAACAAATACATCTTCTGGTACATAGCTCAGGCTTTGGTTTTCTAAAGGTAATCTACTAAGACTATCTGCACTATTCTCAGATCCAGGTTTGTATTTCAATTCATAATTGTATGCAGTTAGTGTGATAGCCCATCTTTGAATTCTTGGTGAGGCATGCTCAGGTAGGGTTTTGTTTTCTCCAAATAAACCTAGCAATGGTTTATGATCTGTAAAGATGGTGAACTTCCTACCAAACAGAAACTTATGAAATTTCTTAACACCAAAAATGATGCCTAAGCCTTCCCTATCTAACTGAGAATAATTTTTCTCAGCCTGGTTCAAAGATCTACTGGCAAAAGCAATGGGTCTGTCACCCTTCTCATCCATGTGGGACAAGACTGCTCCTACACCATCTGGTGAAGCATCACATGTTAATATAAGTCTTTTCCCTGGGTCATAGTGAGTTAGTAAGGTGTCAGCAGACAAAGCCTCTTTTGCTGTATTAAAAGCAGCTTCTTGTTGTTTACCCCAGTGCCAAGTTGCATTTTTCTGTAGCAGCTTGTACAGTGGTGATAGTTTACCAGACAGATTCCCTATGAACTTTGCATAGTAATTTATCAAGCCCAAAAAAGCTCTTAGTTGTTGGGTATTTTCAGGTTTGGGTGCTTCTTTAATGGCTTTTGTTTTCTCAGGTTGAGGTCTGATGCCTTGCTTGCTTAATATATAACCAAGAAAACTAATTTCTGTCAGCATGAATTGACATTTATCTTTGTTTATCTTTAAACCTTTTTCACCAACAATTTTTAATACTTTATCAAGTGTTTTAAGATGTTCAGTGTCATTCTTACCAGTTATGTACACATTGTCAAAGTACACACAAACATTTGGAATATCCTTAAAAATACTGTCCATGACAGCTTGGAAAATTCCAGGACTAGATGATATGCCAAAACATAATCTTTCATATTGGTAGAGTCCTTTATGTGTGTTTATTGTCGTATAGACTTTTGAATCTGGATGCAGTTCTAGTTGAGTGTAAGCATGACTAAAGTCTAATTCAGTGAATTTGTCTCCTCCTGCCAAATTCAAAGAAATTTCCTCAATGTTAGGTATAGGGTACCTATTTAGCTCTATTTGCTTATTCAGTGTAGTTTTATAATCTCCACAAATTCTTATAGAACCATCCTTCTTTAACACTGGCACAATGGGTGTCGCCCAATCGGAATAGTCTACCTTCTTTATAATGCCATTAGATTCCAATCTACTTAGCTCATTTTCAATTTTGTTCCTCATTGCATAAGGTGGAACTCTAGCTTTGCAGTATCTTGGATTTGTGTCTTTAATGCTTAACTTCACTGTTCTATCATTTAGTAATCCAGAGTTACCAAAAACACATTTATTTTCAGATATAACTTTATCTAGTGAAGTAAGACTAGATTCTTTTACATTCTTCAATGAACAAATACTCTCCCAATTTAACTCAAGATCACTTAACCAGTTCCTACCTAGTAATGGCGGTCCATTTCCTTCAACCACAAGAAGAGGAAGTTTAACACTTTGACCATTATAACTTACATGAACCATACACTCTCCTATTACCGGAACATTGTCACCAGTGTATGTTGTTAGACACTTGTGACACGGCTGTAGAGACACTGATCCTCTTGTGACAGCGTCAAAATCTTTCTTTGTTATGACTGTTAGAGATGCTCCAGTGTCAAGTTGGAAGCTGATGCTCTTACCGTTGATATTAACTTGTACATTGATGGGAGCATGACTTATTGATTTAACAGAGAACAGGTTGAAATCCGGCTGCAAATCAATTTGAGCATTTTCACAGGTAGAGTGGTTCATTGGTTGGGTTAGGTAGTCTTGGTGAGAGTTAACATAGTGCTGCCCTTGGTTGCGGTACTGTCTTGACTGGCTAGATTTAGCAACAGACGAAGACTTTGCAAAGCAGGCCTTGGCAATGTGACCTTGCTTACCGCACTTATAACAAGTTGCAGACTTGAACTTGCACCGATGAGATGCATGGGGACCTTTGCATCGATGACATTTTTGATAATTATTACTAGATTTAGATCTAGGATTTGAACGAGCAGGCTGTTTAGCATAAGTTGGAATGCTCTGATGGGGTTGATGTTTATTGACTAACCTGCTGTTTACTGCATGGATCTCTGAAGGTGCTAAAGATCTCGCCGCATCTGATGACTGCTGGAATGACATTGCAAGTTGTATTGCTTTTTCCAATTTTAGATCTGACTCGAGCAGCAACTTTCTTTGAATATCAGGGCTGTTTACACCTGTCACAAACTTTTCACATAATCTGTCAGACAGCGTGTCTCCGAATTCACAGAATCTACTTAAATGACGTAAAGCAGCAACATATTCTGATATTGACTCGTTTGGTTGACGAGTCCTACTGTCAAATCTAGCTCTACATAGAAACTTTGATGGGGTAGGCGCATGGTGGTCTGTTAGCAATTTGCTCAGCTCGTTAAAGCTCTTGGTAGTTAGACTAGCTGGTGCGCATAAGTCTTTTAGTAGCCTAAATTGTTGAGGCCCTATGACTGTTAACAAAACAGCTCTCTTTTTGGCTTCTATCGCCACGTCGTTAGCTTCTAGGTAAAAGCTTAACCTCTCTAGGTAATCTTGAATGATTTCATCATTCGCATCAAATTCTTTTATTTGGCCATACAGCGCCATAATTCTAGAAATAATTAGCTAATAAGCTCTAGCAAACCTCTTTTTTGCGTAAGTAGGTGCTCTTTTTAGTAGATGTTTATCCTTCGTCGCCAGTTATAATAGATTGACGACAGAAGCCTGTGGTTGTATATAACACATTTATTGGGTCTAACTACATCACGATGGTAACACACCGAGAGGACGGAAGGAAGTACCAAGGGACATCACTCAAGATAACAATATTATAAATATAACTAATACAGAAGAGTGAGTTCCCTTGACCTCACAATTATTTCAATCTATTACAGTAATTATGTTAAAATTAAGATTAGTAGCATTTAATAGAATGTTCATAGTGGTTTTTTTTTTTAAATACCAACATTAAATTACCGTGAAATGGTAGTTCATCTGACTTGCTGCCCTCAACTCATGGCAACATTAGTTATGTTTAGTTCAACCACCTTTACTACCCACATTTAACATGCTCATTACATAACAAAACTTAGGATCAAAACAGAAAGCCGACAAGGTTCAAGGGCTGTCAACAACACAAAATATGTTCGGACAATGCCTACTGAGGAGAGGCCGACCAGAGAATAGCCTACGGCAAAATTTGCCTAATTTCTTTTTATAATTAACTTTTCTACCGTGTATTTAACTAAATACGTAACAAAAGTTGAGATTGTTGTATAAATTATCTTAGTGTATTTTTACTTACAATTGTTATAAACCATAATGCTTTTAACGTCTATAAATAATTTATGCTATAAAAAAATACAACCCACAACAATAAACATACAAAATTTCACAATTCTTAACAAATAAATAAAAATATTTCTAAAAAGATCTTTGTGACTTTTTTTCTGTGACTTTATTTCTGTGACTTTTTTTCCGATAAAAATTTTCCACTGTGACTTTTTTTCTGTGACTTTTTTTCCTAGCAAAAACTGTGACTTTTTTTCTGTGTTTTTTTTTCCTGTGACTTTTTTTCCGTTCACCATATATATATTTCAGCGACTCATCCATTGCAATTGAAAAATGGCGAAACTTGCATGCGTTTTTCACTGTTTGAGTCACAATGTTTTCATTAATGTCTGCAACACGGCGTGCAATGGTATTTGCACCCAAAGCTACATTATCAAATCGTTTTTAATTTTCTGGGCAAAGTTCCTCAGCCACCTCCAACAAGCATTTTTCCGTGGACAAAAATATCTCCGCGGGCCGGATGAGAGGACCTTGCGGGCCGCATCTGGCCCGCGGGCCGTAATTTGGAGACCCCTGGATTAGAGGTTGGACCTACTTGCTAAGGTAAGCGTAGCCATGGGCACAAAACAACTGTGTGTGGAACTCTTGGATGAACATTTTTCATGGGTCTTCGACTATTGTGTCAATAGAAGCGGACATTTGCCGAAACTAGACTGTTATTGAGGCCATAGTTATTTATTATATCCTTTTATATATACGAACTGCATATCAGTGTTTCGCTATTGTACGCCCAGATATGAATGTGTCAGAGCTGGAGAATGTGTTGCTGGTACTGGTAACTTCCTCGGACTTACGGTCATTCAAGCGAAGTTTGATCCAGAGTTTCAGCAGAGCCTGTTGAAATTACTTGTTCATGCGACTCATACCTGAGTGCGGAAGTTCAGAATAAGACAAGGGAGATATATATATATATATATATATATATATATATATATATATATATATATATATATATATATATATATATATATATATATATATATATATATATATACAGTGGCGTAGCGAGGTCGGGTGTCACCCGGTGCGGCACTTAATGGTGTCACCCACACAGAGGCGTAGCGACCCTTCCCGGGAACAAACTTACAAATTTTCGATTTGCACCCCCCCCCCCTCAAACTTTCGATTGCACCCCCCCCCCCTCAAGTTTTTCTCTATATATTTTGCTATTTTTTGCCTTGGTGTCACCCCCCTAAATGGTGTCACCCGATGCGGTCCGCACCCCCCCCCCCGACCCCCCCCCCCCTCGCTACGCCCCTGTATATATATATATATATATATATATATATATATACCTATTTATAATTTATTTATATACGCACAAACAATAAGTCAGACACAACAAAGTAGGAGCCGGATAACAGTTTACCAGCATCGATATTAGTACCTGCCTCAAGAAGATTGCTTCATTCTTGATAGATGCTTTTCGAGTCGCTGTCAAGCTTTTCAAAGCTAACACGCCGCTTCCTATGCGGTGTGTGTATAGTTTCTCTCATGCCTCTGCACTTAACATTATAGTGCCGTGATGATGTAGGAACACAATCAACCATCTGCTACTAAAGTAAGAATAGGGCTAATCCTGTCTGCAAACAATCAGCAAATGAGGTCTCTCTATATCTGGTGAGAACCACAACCACTACTCTCTGGTAGTTTTCAGGTCTCCAGTAGAAAAGTAATAAGTCAAGTACCCTTTTGAAACTAACGGCTCATGGGAGAGGTGAAGTGGAGTTCACCTGTTTCAGTTCCTTCGGCATAAGGAGGGTTCGTGTAGTCAGCCATAAATAAAGCCCAGCCGATTTTACTTTCCCGAACATGTCAGGTATTCATCAGTGCTGGATGGACTCAGGGACGTTCTACGAGATTCGAACTCGGGACTTTTAGAAAAGTAAAGAAGTAGATAGTAATAGTAACAGTTTTTATTTCTAAAACAGGCCGCCCAATTCCATCTTCTTCGGATGGACTAGGATGACTTAGTCCTTAAGATTATAATCATGTTCGTGCGTGAAGTAAGCCAATGTGACCGTGGTATTTGTAAAAATGCAATATACTATAGCTTGTAAATAGAAAATGTGTGTACTTTAAAAATGGAGGGGGGGGGGTTGGGTCTGCTGTCCTATCTGTCCCACTTCCCTTAATCCGCCACTGGACCTAATCAGAATTTGGCAGCAAGATGATGATGGAGATGGGCGGGGGGATGGTAGTCGACTTTAGTGGCATAGACTGCTACTCCAGAACTACAAAACTTGTTTAATTCTTCAATGCAACTGATGTTGCACCCTCTTAAACACTGTACCTTTAAGTATTCAATAGCTCATATTAGACAATACACATCAGCTCCGTTAAAAACAGCTTAAATCACACCGACGGAATGAAAAGTTTATACTCAATGCATGCCATAACTAATCTGATGATAATTTAAATTTCTATAACAGTAACAACAATCACACAGGTTGTAATATTTTTATTGGAATGTAAATAAACACGATTAATAACATGGATGATGACATTTTATTTTAATACACAGCGGAAGTATGTAGCTTGAGGTTACTATCTGAACCTAAAGCTGGTGACTCTAGTAGACTCCGGTGAATGCATCTAAACCAGCGCTCTACAGTGTTCATCCCTTCGTCTTTATTGAAAACCAAATAATTTTGGAGTCGATCTTTAAAAACATTGACTTCCTTCAAAATCAAGGTCTTATCTAGCCCCAAAAAGTATATTTTCTACCCAAATGTTTCTAGTTAATCGTAAAACTATGACCTAATTTATCTAAGCGTCAAAGAATCGAACAGCCTGTGGTGGAACTAAAGACAAAGAATGGAAATCACTGCAGACTTTGGGATAGGGGTAGTATAGCCGACCCATTGCAAATGTCCTTTTAAACCGTCTCCAAATACAAAACGTAATTCAAAAGTATTATCTAATATATAGATGTGTAGTTTTTTTTCCGTTTTTATATAGATTATATGTAGGTATCTGTAAAACTTTTTTCCTTAGCATTAGCCGGCGCATCCCGGATAAGAGACCACTGGTCTAGCCCCTTTTGTTTTATATGGAATCAAAACTTCTGAAATCTACATACACACTAAATGGCGATTTCATCAAGTTTCATAACTTAAATTAATTAAACTCAAAAACGTGTAACTTTTAGAAGTTAACCGTAAGCTGCATTTGTTTTGTTTATATTTTACTTCATTGGATAAAACTTGGAATGCACCTCCATCCATATATCTATATTCACAGGTAACTGCAACACCGTGCAGAGACAGATGTTAAACAGATACAGATGTTCAATAGTTTAAATAGTGTGACAGCTGCCACCAAAGATAATGAGTTTTTTGCCAGTCCATACAATCGTCATGAGAATGTAATGCTGTAAGGTGGTGTTAGCATCGGTTACGTCTATAATACAAGTAAGTCCCAGGTCTTAAAGGGCAATAAAGATCTTTTTGTGGAACAGCCAGTAGGACACGATGACCCAGATTGACGTGCCCCAGGTACATCTTAAGAGAAGCTTCCAGTGTTCGTGGTCCACCTCCCAGTTGACCGGAAATTGGTTGTGGAAAATGCCATGGAGACAGTAGATGAGGATACTATTCATTCCTAGACAGAGAAGGAAACAAATGCAATTAAAGTTGAGTTGTTTTCAGTAGTAACACCGGTACATTTTACTAACTTGATTGTTATTAAATAAACATAATATTTTACTAATTTTTTTATTCTCAGTGATTACAAAAAATATTTGGGTATATAATGAATATATGTATTATATACCCAAATATTTTTTCCATATTTAATGTGATTAAGTATTAATTCTATTGGATCTAGTACTGTTTGCTTGCCCACCAATATGGGGCAGCCGACCTACCCGCCCTTCCTTAGCTAAGCCTCTGCTTAAGTCTACCGAATATGTGTGTGTATGTGTGTATGAGTGTGAGTTTGTGTGTTTTAAAAACCATAGCAATTTAAAAATAAATAAAACTGAACAAATTAGTGAATTGAGTCTAGCAGAAGTTGACGAAATCCACTTCCGCCGGTTACCATCGTTACCTGGGTAAATAAATGGCTGTCCCTCCCAGATCCCCAAGATGTCGGTCAAGACGTAGAGCGCCGAGAGGAGAACGTAGCCAAACGACGCTGTGATCAGAGTGTACGACACAGACCTGCAAGAGATAAATCGCGTCATCTGATTCGTGTACTAAACACACGCCACATCAAGGTGGATTTGTCTTTCCACATCAAGGTGGATTTGTCTTTCCACATCAAGGTGGATTTGTCTTTACACATCAAGGTGGATTTGTCTTTACACATCAAGGTGGATTTGTCTTTCCACATCAAGGTGGATTTGTCTAAGTTTTGGGCGTGAAGCCGTACTTATACTAAATCTATATTTAATAACAGAAAATGAACGTAAAAAAAGTAGAATAAGGAACTTAAAATGTAAGCTTTCTAATGGGGCTGTGAAGCTGTGTGAGGCAAGGGTGTGCTTTATGCACATTTACACACTAACTAAGATGGGTTGTCTGACAATGTCAGTACATTTTGCAAAGTTCAGTCGGTTTCACCACCCCCTCCCGTGATAGCTTTAAACAGTGCATCGATAATGGTAACGATGTATATCTATAGTTTGTTATTACAGCTGCATGTATCTTTATTTTATTATTCTTTAGTTAGCAAATCTACGTCATGGTGTCACCCCCCCCCCCCAGTCATCTGGATTTGTACTTAAAGACTTTTTAGCTCTAATCAATCATTAATTAAACAGGAAAGAGCGGTTCTTTTAATACTTGTAGTCATCCCCTTAGATGGTGTCGCCCGGTAAGGGCGCTACCCCGATTCCCCCCTCCCTCGCGACGCCTCTGTGCTCTGTACGTTACCAAATATTTTTGTTGGCTGGAACCCAACCGTCGTCCTGGCTACACTTGGTCAAGATGGCGCCCAGAGTTCCCTGGAATAAATACAACAATAATTCAAATCACTCAAGATGGCGCCCAGAGTTCCCTGAAATACATATCACAATCATTGAAATCGATCAAGATAGCGCCCAGAGTTCCCTGAAATAAATACAACAATAATTCAAATCACTCAAGATGGCGCCCAGAGTTCCCTGGAATAAATACCATAACAATTCAAATCACTCAAGATGGCGCCCAGAGTTCCCTGGAATAAATACCATAACAATTCAAATCACTCAAGATGGCGCCCAGAGTTCCCTGGAATAAATACCATAACAATTCAAATCACTCAAGATGGCGCCCAGAGTTCCCTGAAATTAATACCATAACAATTCAAATCACTCAAGATCGCGCCCAGAGTTCCTGAAATAAATATTACGATCATTCAAATCACTCAAGATGGCGCCCAGAGTTCCCTGAAATAAATATTACAATCATTCAAATCACTCAAGATGGCGCCCAGAGTTCCCTGAAATAAATATTACAATCATTCAAATCACTCAAGATGGCGCCCAGAGTTCCCTGAAATAAATACCAAAACAATTCAAATCACTCAAGATGGCGCCCAGAGTTCCCTGAAATAAATACCATAACAATTCAAATCACTCAAGATAGCGCCCAGAGTTCCCTGAAATAAATATTACAATCATTCAAATCACTCAAGATGGCGCCCAGAGTTCCCTGAAATAAATATTACAATCATTCAAATCACTCAAGATGGCGCCCAGAGTTCCCTGAAATAAATATTACAATCATTCAAATCACTCAAGATGGCGCCCAGAGTTCCCTGAAATAAATACAACAACAATTCAAATCACTCAAGATGGCGCCCAGAGTTCCCTGAAATAAATACCATAACAATTCAAATCACTCAAGATGGCGCCCAGAGTACCCTGAAATAAATACAACAACAATTCAAATCACTCAAGATGGCGCCCAGAGTTCCCTGAAATAAATACCATAACAATTCAAATCACTCAAGATGGCGCCCAGAGTTCCCTGAAATAAATACCATAACAATTCAAATCACTCAAGATAGCGCCCAGAGTTCCCTGAAATAAATATTACAATCATTCAAATCACTCAAGATGGCTCCCAGAGTTCCCTGAAATAAATATTACAATCATTCAAATCACTCAAGATGGCGCCCAGAGTTCCCTGAAATAAATATTACAATCATTCAAATCACTCAAGATCGCGCCCAGAGTTCCCTGAAATAAATATTACAATCATTCAAATCACTCAAGATAGCGCCCAGAGTTCCCTGAAATAAATACCATAACAATTCAAATCACTCAAGATAGTGCCCAGAGTTCCCTGAAATAAATGCAACAATAATTCAAATCACTCAAGATAGCGCCCAGAATTCCCTGAAATAAATATTACAATCATTTAAATCACTCAAGATGGCGCCCACAATTCTCTGAAATAAATGTTACAATAATTCAAATAAAATTCAACTCATTCGCCCTGAAATGAATATCACAAACATAAGAATCACAAAAAAATTCTACTAATATCACTAAGTCATGAAAGACGTTTGAGAAAAATTCTTACCAAGATAAGAGCCCATATGACAAAACGTATCAATCGCTCCTTGTGAGTTTGATAGATGAGGATAATTCGTCCACACTGTAAATAGTAAACTTAATTTACACACTGTAAAGAGAGGATTCACAGCGCTCTATTCATAAGGAGTTATGAAAATACAGTATAACAGTGGACAGAAGATAAGGCACAAACCTGGATCCCCAGAAAGCAGAGGAAAACACAATTTAAAGTGGCCAGAAAACCTTCAGGGTCAAAAGGGACACTTGTCTGATACAGGACCTGATGGTGAAATTATAATATTCATATTAACATTATTTCAAATACATGCCGCCCTTATATATTGTTATAGCTAACAGATTCCCACGAATTTATAATTATATAATTGTATTACACCCATGTGTGTCCTCTTCACCCCAATGTCACAAAAGCATGAAGTACCCATGGTATAGGCCCCACACCACAGTCCCAAAAGCATGAATTACCTGTGGCTGTGGTATAGCCCCCCCCCCCCCCCACTGTCACAAAAGCATGCATTACCTGTGGTGTAGGCCACTGATACATGTGGTTCTTGCCCAGAAGAATAGAGTCGACATACTGTGTGGCGCCACCTGTACAGTTATGGTACTTGCCTCCTTCACTAAGTCCACCTGGACCAACGTAGCCACTGGCAGTCACCGAAACAAAAATTAAAGTTTTTAATACAAGTAAAATCCGATATTCCCGACTAAAATATAAAGCAAAATGTAACGTTTCCCGTAATTTATTACTGTAGTGAGTGACTTCCTTTTATCTATGTAGTTGGTGTTTCCTCGTTGTGAGTTACAGAAAAGTAAAGTAACGTTTCGAACGGTCCACGATGCAGGTGAAGTAGAATTCACCTTTTTAGTGACATTGGCATATGAAGAGATATTGTGGTCAAGTACCCATCAGAGCTGGATGGACTGACTCGAGCCCGGGCTTCGAACTCGAGTCTTTCGGTCAACGCTCTACGCCGTCCCATAACTGTAGTAATTGCTCCCTAAGAGTTCTTAATGTGGATTACTTCCCTTTAATCCATACTCCGTATGCACATTTACTGGGTTACTCCCCTTTATTTCATACTTCGTGAACTCTTCGTTTTACTTGCGTAATAAATGGTTAATTCCAGGTTTATATTAAAAACAAGCGCTGTAAGTCAGTACATATTTCTATTTAGTTTTTGCTACCCTGATTTCTGTTAGGGTAAGAGTATGGGTAAAAACTAGCGATGCCAACACAAAACACCTAACAAAAACCACAGCCCCTAGAACGAATGTGTGTCTTACGTTGGACACCCTGGCACGGGCAGGGCGTAGACCAGACCCAGATGCACCGCCAGCACGGAGAGGTTGGCCAGCCACTCGGGGACGTAGAGCACCAGGTCCCTGACCACCGCCCACTTCTTGTCCTGGGACCAAATGAAGGAAAACCAGGTCTGTCATGACGTCATATCTTGGGTTACGCCAGGTTACACCAGCACATGTCAGCATGGGATAATTATTGGCTACATCTCATTTAGTAACATGGGAGTTATGTTACAACTAACTATGTCAAGCATGTTACACTTCGAAATGTCACGCAAGTTACAATTAAGGGTCGCCGTCACTGAGTTTTTTGTACTTTTTCCATCCCCACCTGCAACGTGTTAACTTAGTCACTAAATACTTTGTCACCTAACTCTGAAACGACATCACTGAGCGCCCCCTCCCCCAAATAACCATAATGTGTGATTATAAAAATATGCTATTAGATAGATGTGATTAAAACCTATATCTTTTCAACACGTTGACCTTGTTTGATATTAAACCAACACCCCCCCCCCCCTTGCATATTGTCACTAAAACTTTTCTCGATGATATGCAGTGTTTCTTGTTTCTTCCAGACTTTTTTCTCCGGGGGGGGGGGGGGGGGGCACTTGAAATTTTCGGTGGGGGGGGGGGGGGCGGACACTGTTAAAATTATATATTTTCTATATAAATTTCATTTCGTTCTGGGGGAGTGGGTAGAGATACCTGGAAGAAACTCTGATCATATGTCGTCACTAAAAACGTTCTAGAGATCAGTGCGTCATTTATACATGTCTCTTGAGTTAGCGTCACTGGTACTACTTCGATGACATGACGTCACTAAACCGTACCTGGTGGGAATCAAACTTTCTGGAACAGCAAAAGTGTATGGCGGCTGATATTAAATAGGTCAAGGCCAACCTCTGTAAAACTCCTAACGCACGCACATTGTCCAAGTCGGCAGCTGCAGAATATTAAATTTTTTACCTGCCAATTCGCTAATTAAACTCTTACATGAAGCCACCCTATGTAATGTAGTGTACCTTGATAAAGTGTGCCCAACATGAAACCACCCTAATGTTGTGTACCTTGATAATGTGTGCCCAACATGAAACCACCCTATGTAATGTTGTGTACCTTGGTAATGTGTGCCCAACATGAAACCACCCTAATGTTGTGTACCTTGATAATGTATGCCCACCATGAAACCACCCTATGTAATGTTGTGTACCTTGATAATGTGTGCCCAACATGAAACCACCCTATGTAATGTTGTGTACCTTGATAATGTGTGCCCAACATGAAACCACCCTAATGTTGTGTACCTTGATAATGTGTGCCCAACATGAAACCACCCTATGTAATGTTGTGTACCTTGATAATGTGTGCCCAACATGAAACCACCCTAATGTAGTGTACCTTGATAACGTGTGCCCAACATGAAACCACCCTAATGTTGTGTACCTTGGTAATGTGTGCCCAACATGAAACCACCCTAATGTAGTGTACCTTGATAACGTGTGCCCAACATGAAACCACCCTAATGTAGTGTACCTTGATAACGTGTGCCCAACATGAAACCACCCTAATGTTGTGTACCTTGATAACGTGTGCCCAACATGAAACCACCCTAATGTAGTGTACCTTGATAACGTGTGCCCAACATGAAACCACCCTAATGTAGTGTACCTTGATAACGTGTGCCCAACATGAAACCACCCTAATGTTGTGTACCTTGATAATGTGTGCCCAACATGAAACCACCCTAATGTTGTGTACCTTGATAATGTGTGCCCAACATGAAACCACCCTAATGTTGTGTACCTTGGTAATGTGTGCCCAACATGAAACCACCCTAATGTAGTGTACCTAGATAATGTGTGCCCAACATGAAACCACCCTAATGTAGTGTACCTTGATAATGTGTGCCCAACATGAAACCACCCTAATGTTGTGTACCTTGATAACGTGTGCCCAACATGAAACCACCCTAATGTTGTGTACCTTGATAACGTGTGCCCAACATGAAACCACCCTAATGTTGTGTACCTTGATAATGTGTGCCTAACATGAAACCACCCTAATGTTGTGTACCTTGGTAATGTGTGCCCAACATGAAACCACCCTATGTAATGTTGTGTACTTATGTAATGCCCTATTGTGTACCTTGATAATGTGTGCCCAACATGAAACCACCTTAATATTGTGTACCTTGATAATGTGTGCCCAACATGAAACCAATAGCAAACAGCTGAGCAGCCCTCCAGACAATCTTCCATGAGATGCGGGCGACGCTCCACTCCTGTCGGAACATGCTCTTGAATGAAAAGTTCATGGACACGCCCATGATGAACACAAACCTGAATGGCAAATAGAAAAACAAAACTAGCTCGAGATAAAATTCGTCATTTAATGTAGAACACTTCAAAAACTTCAAATATTCATCAAAGAAAGAGTAAATTCGAAAAAATGTTGAATGAAAAATATTAAAATAACCAACCATGGAAAGACAAGATCTGCAACATAGATTCCATTCCACGGCGCATGCTCGAAAAACCAGTAACTTCCGCCTCCATAATTGACAAAGATCATCAGCACAAGGGTAACACTGGGGAGAAAGCGAAACATGTTTAATTTACTGTGAAGGTTATTTGGTGTATGCCATTCGTTTTCTATCTATCGACATGTTGGTCTTGTTCTCTTGGGTAATGTTTAATATCAGTCTTAGAATAGTGACAGGTCAGACCAAGATGCTGTTTTATGTTTGTTTCACCTCACTGAGATTGAAATAGTATGACAACTATGTGACCAAGACATTTATGCCTGAATGCAACAATTCTAACCATGTTTCATACCAACTTTATGAATTAGTTATTTCATTCCACTTTTCTTAGTGTCCAATCCTCCCTACATATTATTATGACAAATATGTTTTCCCCATCTGTCTGACCCTCTTGTAAAACCTCCCAACTTACCCCCGAAAAGTGTCCAGAGATTTGAGTCTGGCTTTCTTTGTACTTTCCTCTTTATCTGGTTTCTCTGTGCCTTCTTCAACGTCGCCCTCTTTATCCATGTTCCCGTTGCTCATACGCTGAAACAATACAACAGCTGATATAACTGGTTGTATAGCAACATGATACGTTCACGAGGTTTGTCATGCCAATTTAATAAATATTAAATTGTTTTCCTGCTGATGGGGAATTATAATGTTTATCCCAAGTCAAGCTTTGAAACTAATTTATGTAGTTTGTTACTCTGGCCACTGGTCTAAAGTCTGATTAAGTCTAATTTTTCTGGCCATGATGGGTCTAAACTCTGATTACTTGTAGTTATTCAGGCCATGATGGGTCTAAAGTCTTATTACGTCTAGCTTTTCTGGCCTTGATGGTTCTAAAGTCTTATTACGTCTAGCTTTTCTGGCCATGATAGGTCCAAAGTTTGATTACTAGTTATTCTGGTCCTGATGCTTGCCACGGGTATACCGTCTGATTACTTGTAGTAATTCTGGCCATGATGGGTCTAAAGTCTGATTACGTCTGGTAATTCTAACCACGGGTCTATTGTCTGTTCACGTCTTGTTATTCTGCCCATGATAGGTCCAAAGTTTGATTAAGTCTAGTTATTCTGGTCCTGATGCTAGTCATGGGTATACTGTCTGATTACTTGTAGTTATTCAGGCCATGGTGGGTCTCTGACTACGTCTAGTTATTCAGGCTATGGTGGGTCTAAAGTCTGATTACGGTTAGTTATTCAGGCCATGGTGGGTCTCTGACTACGTCTAGTTATTCAGGCCATGGTGGGTCTAAAGTCTGATTACGTCTAGTTATTCAGGCCATGGTGGGTCTAAAGTCTGATTACGTCTGCTAATTCTACCCGTGGGTCTATTGTCTGATTACGTCTAGTAATTCTAGCCATGATTACGTGTATTTTATTCTCAACACACCAATCCCGCCCCCAGCACACCCGCCACTGTGCCCCACAGTTGAAATGCTTGCCCTTTAAAACCAGAAACCAATTTACCAGAGCGTCCCCACCGTCCTGATCACTTGTGACGTCCATGCTGTCGTGTCTGTGTGCGGCCGCACGCCGGAAATAGCTGGAAAATTTGGGGAAATTAAATCGCGGGAAAATTTGGGGAAAATTATCCCGCGGATACAATTATGTAAAGTTTCAAACAAATAAGTCGCATAAACACTGTACAGAGGTCACACACAGGAAATAATTAAGTTTGACACAATAGAACGCAGTATAGTTACTCAGATATGACGTGGGTGAGAATTAGAGCGCACGATTACTAGCCTGAGCTGAACTCATGAAAATTTGACGCTCAAAGTCCACACAGTCTATAAAGTTTTCAGACTCAAGTTAGGGACATTACAACGGACCACACTGCTCTATTAGTGAACTCTACTTCATTTGACTGATGCACGCTCGCTTACTACTATATTCTTTATTATAAAAGTAGTTATCAAGCTATTTATAGCACACCACTATGAGAGTTATCTTGCTTACTACTATATTCTTTATTGTAAGAAGTCATCAATCTGTTTATAGCACACCACTATGAGAGTTACCTCGCTTACTTTATTGTAAGAAGTCATCAAGCTATTTATAGCATACAACTATACGAGTTACCTGTATGCGCGTTTGCCTACAGCATACATCATGGCGAGACTAATTAATCCAATGAGCAAATAAATAATTGCTGAAAGTAAATGAAAAAGTGATTAGTAATTAACTTTAACCAGGAACTAGACTACATGTACAACATTTCTCCCAGACATCACTCCCAAAATCTGAGCCAAATACATGTATATGCTTTATTTTGGGCAATTTAGAAATATAAAACAAATACTAAATAACAAAAGCATGTAGTGTCACTTGTCATTTCATGGGGTATGTAGTGTTTTTGTCAGTCATTGCCAGCCAGATATCACGTGGTGTCAGAGATTGGGATTGTGTGAATTGTAAAGTAAACTTTGCATACAAACATACCCATATACAGACACATAACATACTGCCTTTTTGCTATGTTCTTTGTAAGACCACCCGCATATCCAACTATCCACGAACACCAAATTCTCAAACCTACAATGTCACCGGAAGTTTAGTACACCATCACCCCAAACCTACAATGTCACCGGAAGTTTAGTACACTATCACCCCAAACCTACAATGTCACCGGAAGTTTAGTACACCATCACCTCAAACCTACAATGTCACCGGAAGTTTAGTACACTATCACCCCAAACCTACAATGTCACCGGAAGTTTAGTACACTATCACCCCAAACCTACAATGTCACCGTAAGTTTAGGACACCATCATCTCAAACTCCAAATGTCACCGGCAGTTCTGAGCACCATCACCCCCAACCTACAATCTCAACGTGCAAGGTTTCAGTCTAGTTGTGTGTAGTCGTACCGGTGAAACTGGTTGTATGTCACTGTGCTGGGGTCTATGACGCCATAGTGATCTGTAGGTCTACTTCTCTTCTTCGTCATGCAGGGGTGTGTAGTTTTGTCATCATAGAGTGTTTCTATGTCGTGTTGGGGTGTGTAGTTCTATGTTATCATAGAGTGTTTCTATGTCGTGTTAGGGTATGTAGTTTTGTCATCATGGAGTGTTTGTATGTCGTGATGGGGTATGTAGTTCTATGTCATCATAGAGTGTTTCTATGTCGTGTTGGGGTGTGTAGTTCTGTCATCATAGAGTGCTCCTATCTCGTGTTGGGGTATATAGTTTTATGTGGTCATACAGGGTCTGTATTCTAGTTCCATGTAGTCGTGCAGCCTCCCCCTCCTCACTCACTGACCATCAATGTGTTATAAAATCAAGCTGTCAACAACCATAATGACTTGGCACTGATGGCCCTCCAGCCAACATTCCTACACTGCTATCTCAGCTACATCCTCAAACAGTCCAGACACGGTAATCCATCTTGACCTCCCTGCTGGTATCGATACTATGCAAGCTGCAGCGATACCACAATCCCGAACGTTCAAGCAAACAAAGATGGCTGCGTGCAGGAAAATAAAAACATGATTTTATTTCCTTTTGCGTTGATCACAGGCCTCCGGCGTTTGCTCGCCATTTTGTCAGGCCGGCTGGCTGGGCAAATAGCAGGCCGAGAGGATTCTTTTGATGAGGGGATGCAACTGTTTCTCGTCTGAGCGCTGGTAAACCCAGACAAGCCTATCACGAAAGCCATAAATCGCTGCGCATCTCCAGAGATAACCGATTTTTAAGTGTGGCCAGGACAAAGTCGCGACGTGTTGCCAAACTTGGACGTAAAAATGGTGTTTAAACGATAAAAAGCAGATTTTAAGCACCAATTTTATAGATGAAAAATTTTAAAAAGTCAATAACTTTAAGGACTAATTTTTAATAGGCCAATAGGGCAATACAATTCCGGCGTTGTTTTTTTTTTTTTTTTGTTTAGCTGTACCTAAATGTCAAATATCTCCACACCTTTCAGACACTTAGCAGGAAGCTTCCTAATGTCAAGGCCACCTTGTCAGTGGCGTAGCCAGGATTATCTCAAGGTGGGGATTCCAATTTTTACCCGGGGACAAACTTTCGATTTGCACCCCCCCCCCCCTCAAACTTGCGATTTGCACCCCCCCCCCCCCCTCAAACTTGCGATTTGCACCCCCCCCGTCATACTTTTTATATATATATAGAGGGGTCTATGGGGGGTTATGACCACCCTAACCCCCTGTCTACGCCACTGCACCTTGTTAAGATTCACTTATTTGGTTACCGTGTTTTCTGATCTTGTTATGATTAAATAACGTGCCCAACAGCCATAACTGGCCTACATCAGGGTTATAAATCTTTTGGTGGAGATAATATATTGTCACGATAAGAATAGTAAATAGTGTTATTTCAAACAACGACCATAGCATAACAAGACGCAATACAGATATGATACAATATGATCAGTTAAAGATCGAGTAGATTTGTTGTATGCTTGAATCACTCTTTTCTAATGTTTCTTTGTTTTTATCTGACTAAAAAAAATTCCTCAAAACTAAAATAATTGTTTCGGGTTGCTGTTAGGTCTGCGAGTCAGTACTGGTCAAGGTGCTGTTAGGTCTGCAAGTCAGTACTGGTCAAGGTGCTGTTAGGTCTGTGAGTCAGTACTGGTCAAGGTGCTGTTAGGTCTGCAAGTCAGTACTGGTCAAGGTGCTGTTAGGTCTGCAAGTCAGTACTGGTCAAGGTGCTGTTAGGTCTGCAAGTCAGTACTGGTCAAGGTGCTGTTAGGTCTGCGAGTCAGTACTGGTCATGGTGCTGTTAGGTCTGCGAGTCAGTACTGGTCAAGGTGCTGTTAGGTGAGTCAGTATTGGTCAAGGTGCTGTTAGGTGAGTCAGTACTGGTCAAGGTGCTGTTAGGTCGAGTCAGTACTGGTCATGGTGCTGTTAGGTCGAGTCAGTACTGGTCGAGGTGATGTTAGGTCTACAAGTCAGTACTGGTCATGGTGTTGTTAGGTCGAGTCAGTACTGGTCAAGGTGCTGTTAGGTCTGCAAGTCAGTACTGGTCAAGGTGCTGTTAGGTGAGTCAGTACTGGTCATGGTGTTGTTAGGTCGAGTCAGTACTGGTCAAGGTGCTGTTAGGTCTGCAAGTCAGTACTGGTCAAGGTGCTGTTAGGTGAGTCAGTACTGGTCAAGGTGCTGTTAGGTCGAGTCAGTACTGGTCAAGGTGCTGTTAGGTCTGCGAGTCAGTACTGGTCAAGGTGCTGTTAGGTGAGTCAGTACTGGTCAAGGTGCTGTTAGGTCGAGTCAGTACTGGTCAAGGTGCTGTTAGGTGAGTCAGTACTGGTCAAGGTGCTGTTAGGTCGAGTCAGTACTGGTCATGGTGCTGTTAGGTGAGTCAGTACTGGTCAAGGTGCTGTTAGGTCTGCAAGTCAGTACTGGTCAAGGTGCTGTTAGGTCTGCGAGTCAGTACTGGTCAAGGTGCTGTTAGGTGAGTCAGTACTGGTCAAGGTGCTGTTAGGTGAGTCAGTACTGGTCAAGGTGCTGTTAGGTCGAGTCAGTACTGGTCGAGGTGATGTTAGGTCTGCAAGTCAGTACTGGTCGAGGTCCTGTCAGGTCTCTGGACATGACTTACGTAGCTCAGCTATACTAGGATCGTTGGCCAGAACAAATTTGCACGAGGACTCTTCCCCAGTAGCTGGGTAGTCGATAAATATCCAATAGTCGCCGTACTCCTGGAACTTCATCTGGAACCTGGTTGTGGGGTGGGGTGTGGGCAGCAGTCAGCTATGGCATTACAATGGGAGGACATACAGTCTAAATATAGAGTCATCATGTGACATAATACATGATCACATGATGTTTGACTTACAAAATACTGATATAATTACCTCACCAACTACTGCTAAGATAACTTACCCACACAACTGCTAAGATAACCTACCCACACAACTGCTAAGATGACCTACCCACACTACTGATATCATTACCTAACCAAACAACTGCTAAGATGACCTATCCACAAACCCTTAAAATGACCTACTCACAAACCTACTAGAATGACCTACCCACAAACCTACTAAGATGACCTACCAAGAAATCTGCTAAGATGACCTACCCACACAACTGCTAAGATGATCTACCCACACAACTGCTAAGATGATCTACCCACACAACTGCTAAGATGACCTACCCACACAACTGCTAAGATGACCTACCCACACAACTGCTAAGATGACCTACCCACACAACTGCTAAGATGACCTACCCACACAACTGCTAAGATGACCTACCCACACAACTGTTCTGGGTTACCCCCTGGGTGTTTCCTAACAAGTCGCAGGTCAGTTGCAAACGTCGCATTGACCACAATAGACCTAACGCTGGGACCTTGGACGCTTGTGATAAACATCAGGTCACACTGAAACAAGGAAAGAAACAGGTCGTAAACAGCAGGTAGACAGACAAAGTTCTATAGGTGGACCAATGTCTTACAGAAAACATAGTTAAGATAAAAACAAACAACATACCAAAAGCATTGTTAGGCGGACCACCGGACATGTGACAGAGAAACAAAAATCACAAACTTTGATTCCAGTTACGATTATAATATGAAACCACTTCTGTACTTTCAGTGACTATTTGTTCTTTTAATTTAAACATTTTCTCGTTAACAGTTCACTTAAAAAAATTATATTCCTCTAATAACAAACTACCAGCCTAGTACCTCACCCACCCACCTTGTAACATTGCTCCAGTACCTCACTCACCCACCTTGTAATATTGCTCCGACTGAGCCCGCCCACCTTGTAACATTGCTCCAGTACCTCACCCACCCAGCTTGTAATATTGCTCCGACTGAGCCCACCCACCTTGTAACATTGCTCCAGTACCTCACCCACCCACCTTGTAACATTGCTCCGACTGAGCCCACCCACCTTGTAATATTGCTCCGACGGAGCCTACCCACCTTGTAACATTGCTCCAGTACCTCACCCACCCACCGTGTAACACTGCTCCGACTGAGCCCACCCACCTTGTAACATTGCTCCGACTGAGCCCACCCACCTTGTAACATTGCTCCGACTGAGCCCATATCTCCACCACGTAGTTGACCGTCGTGTTGATGGTCAGCCAGGCCTGATCTAGCTCGAGCTCTCTCTTGCTGGCCACGCCCACCACATCCTCCTCCGTGTAGACGACAGCAGCGTTGTACCTCTCTATGTACGCCATAACTGGGTCGTCCTCCTCGTCCAACTCTGGCACCGTCGTCTCTGGCGTCCATTTCTCTGTGGTCACTGTGTCTACTGTTGGCGTGTCTGGCACCCTGGTGTCCTGAGTTACAACTGTCGTCTCTGTGAAGATCGTCACCGCCTCAGTGGGGAGGTCGGTGGAGTTCTCGGCTGAAGCTACTGCAGGAGAGTGTGTAAACATTGAACAAATACTGCATTACATTGACAACATAAACTATGGCAGCTGTGGCGCTGATATATCAGAAGAATAAAAACAAGCCTCTATGAGCTTACATAAAGTGTATATAAAACCTGAAGTTTGTGTAGCACAACTTTATAGATAGAGCATTATATTACGTACATGTTATGTAACAAGCAAGATCAATAAGATAGTACGTACATTTTATGTAACAAGCAAGATCAATAAATGAACAAAAGTAAAAAAATAAGCCCTAGAAAAATTATTTATTGGTGTCTAATCACTAGTTTGTAAGAAGAAATAATTGTTGTGTACTTAAAGTAACCAATATAGAAGATTGGTATTACAAGAACTGAATATAGAAATAGTTATATCCATAGTACAAATGTTGCTCAAAACAAATTCTTTATAAATCTAGTTCAAACTACAAGGTTTTTTTTTAGTATTACACTTTTTTTTAACTAAGCTAAGTTTGTTTGATTTAGGCAGAAATAATTGTACATCAAATCTCTTATGCTAATAATAATAAAATAATTTTCCAACGCTTGTATTGAGCTGGGCGCTATGCTTTAGTTTTGTCTAGCTTGTTGTATCATAAAACTTCCAACCCACTTTTGACATATCAAATTATCATTCGAACCACCAGGTTAACGACACGGTGTTTTAATTTACTGTTAAAAAATACCAACACTAAAGCTATCTTTATAAACATGGGCTAAGCATAAACGTATAAATCAAGCAATACAAAGTATATAAGAAAAACACTTCAGTATATTAAAGTGAAAAAAATAAATGTCAATGGTAAAATATTGTACAAAGATAAACGTTAACAATGTGTTGTAATGTTAGCCTTCACGATGTTATCAATCTCAGTTAATTTTTCTTTTGTTTTAGCAGCCGTTTATTATTGGAGTATTTTTAAATTAAATTATAATCACTGTTATAGGTTAAATATGGAGCTACATATCCCCCCCCCCTCCCCCCCCCTCCCCCCCCCCCCCGCGCTTTTTCCATTTTTATTTGGCAAACCTTCTATGTGCGTCTAATTATAGAATTAAAATAAAACCACAGACATAATTATTTTTTTTAAATCCTGCATGTATAGGCCTACTTAAATGATATGTAAGTAGTACATTCAATATGTAACAATTAAATGAACGTCAGTATTGTGGACCATTCTATGGGCCGACATTTTTTTCTCTGCGTATACCTACATACTACATAGCTTGTGTAGCCTTGACCGGTTTAATTATCTATCTAGATTTCATTCAGGTTTTACACAATCTGAACTGTTAAACTATCTACCTAGATTTTATTCAGGATTTATACAATCTGAACTGTTAAACTATCTACCTAGATTTTATTCAGGATTTATACAATCTGAACTGTTAAAGTATCTATCTAGATTTCATTCAGGTTTTACACAATCTGAAATGTTAAATTATCTACCTAGATTTTATTCGTGTTTTACACAATATTTTTTATTTACAAATAAATCGGACCTAAAGACAAAGTTTGAAGCTGTATCTACCTGACAAGATGAACAGGATGACCAACGTCCCCCACATCTTTGACTTGACCAGGTATTTAGTCCACACACCTGAGGAATGAAAGGTCCCAGCTTTACGACAGGTCGAAGAATGCAACATGCCGTTATTTGTGCAGGTAATGTATCTAAACACATGCACTAGGCTACTAGAAGGTATGACCAACTGTTGTTTCCTTGTAATTTGTTTAAACACATGCACTAGGCTACTAGACAAGTATGATCAACCTTTGTGTGTTTGTAATGTATCTAAACACATGCACGAATACAAGGTATGTTCAACTGTTAGTGGTTGCTTGTTTTCTGCTAATACAGACCTGTAGGATAGGTTGTATTATTTTCCTCACTGTAATATACATTTGAGCGATGAAGGCAAGTATACATACATTGAAAAATCTGTACACATAAGCATGCATCATATGTGTATGCGGGGTATAACTAGAGCCCTTCCATCAGGTAGAGTTTACCCCTCCCCCCATATATTCTTATCGTGAGAGGACATACCGTTTTAGGCAGACCCTCGCCCCCTCCCCTGTCCCCACAAAACTGGATCTTATCGAGTCGCTTTTATAATTTGTATGATATAGAATAGTTTACTCTAGGAATTTACAGTTCTCAAATACTTTTATTAAGCTGTAGGCCCATATATTACAAATGCTGTTTATTTTTTGACGTTTGTCTTCGCGAAGCTTATCATTACTGGCCCATACTGCCGTCAAATACCATTGTATTGGCCACTTGCTACTAGTCTATATTGCCGTCAAATATCATTGTATTGGCCACTTGCTACTAGTCTATACTGCCGTCAAATATCATTGTATTGGCCACTTGCTACTAGTCTATACTGCCGTCAAATATCATTGTATTGACCACTTGCTACTAGTCTATACTGCCGTCAAATATCATTGTATTGGCCACTTGCTACTAATCTATACTGCCGTCAAATATCATTGTATTGGCCACTTGCTACTAGTCTATATTGCCGTGAAATACCATTGTATTGGCCACTTGCTGCTAGTCTATATTGCCGTGAAATACCATTGTATTGGCCACTTGCTACTAGTCTATATTGCCGTCAAATATCATTGTATTGGCCACTTGCTACTAGTCTATACTTCCGTCAAATACCATTGTATTGGCCACTTGCTGCTAGTCTATACTGCCGTCAAATATCATTGTATTGGCCACTTGCTGGTAGTCTATATTGCCGTGAAATACCATTGTATTGGCCACTTGCTACTAGTCTATATTGCCGTCAAATATCATTGTATTGGCCACTTGCTACTAGTCTATACTGCCGTCAAATACCATTGTATTGGCCACTTGCTGCTAGTCTATACTGCCGTCAAATATCATTGTATTGGCCACTTGCTTCTAGTCTATACTGCCGTCAAATATCATTGTATTGGCCACTTGCACACATCATGTTTTAGTCCTCTTTACAGCTCAAATGTTTTCTAATGATAATCGGCGGGTTGCAGTATGCAAGTAAGGTGTAGGCCTATCTACATAACAAAAGGACTCAATGTTTTGTATGTGCATCAAGTTTTGAAATGTTTTCATTTGCTAAACGGTGGGTTAATATTCAAATAAGTAAGGTGTAGGCCTATATACATAACAAGTGGAACCAATTTTTTGTATATGTTTACATAACAGATCACAGCAAGTAATGAACAAAACATTGCTGTTATATATCAAGGCGTTCACTTTTTCGTCTTGTGAAAAAATGAACGAATAATCAAAGTTCATCATTTTGACATGCCTATATTTTTATGCTTAGCCCCCTCTTAAATTAACTGGTGCTTAACAGATTGTTATAGTGGTCTTCTTTCTTGTAGTACTTTAAAATATTTTCGTACGGAATCTTACATTATATGAAATTGAATTGAAATTTTAGATCTTAAAGCACAATTTAAAAATCTACAATCTAAAGCTGCAAACGAATATAATAAACATTTGAATTGTTTTTAAAATATTAGGAAGAAGCAATTTAAAAAGATATTTTTTCAGAAATTTCACAAATTGATGTATTACTCCAGTTCACGTGTATATATTCCAGCGCACATAATGTTAAAAATAATGGTGTTCTGTAAAATGCAAAATTTATAAGACGTGTTTATAAAGCAATATTTCATTAGAAAAATAGAAACGTACCTATAAAACAACGAAGGCCAAACGCTGACGTTCGTCTTATCAAGTGCTTGTAATCTAACCAGCAGTGAAGAAAAGTTTCAGATAAACTAACCCACGACTTCAGCTAACACAATTCATACATTTTTCGGTTACAAAAATAATTAACTTATTTTATGAAACAAAAAGACAAGTTCGAGATGAAGTACAATTGTAGAAATCTTTTCTTCCAATCACTGGCCTGTGTTGGTCAATGAAAAAATTGAAACAATTGACCAAGCGTCCAGCGCACAGGAGAGGGGAGAAAACTTTGGCTTGTTTTCAATAGCCAGTGAGTGGAGGGTGAGGGGGGGGGGGGCGTCTTTAACAAATACTGAGAAGTCGAAAACATGTGTTTTGGGGAGGGGGGCGGTTGGAAGGTGAATAGTTTTTCACATCTTTAACTGCGCAACCAGGGGATGTTTAGATCTTCAAAAGGGAGGTCAAGAGACAATTATTATGTCACATGACTTGATGAATATGATCGCTTTTGAAAGTGTCTTGACACCTTTTAAATTAGTAATAATTGTATTTAAAACAACGAGCACTTGTAATTGTGTGGCTTTGTTAATGGACTTTCATTCAGAGTATACTAGCTATCTTTAATTAATTTTTGTTGGTCAGGCAATTTAACTACTAAGTTATAATTCGTCTGTCAATTTAAAACATAAATACTCTGTTATATAAGTTTAAAACATAACTAACCTGTCCTTTAAAGCTACCATGTCTTTTAAAACTTAACTGCTCTGTCCTTTAAAACATAACTATCCTGTCAGTATAAATATAACTATCTTAATTGTTAAAACATGACAACCGTGCCTGTAAAAACATAACTATCCTGTCCTTTAAACATAACTATTGAGTCAATTTAAGACATAAATGCAGTATCTTGTTAGTATAAGACATGTTACCAGAGGCGTAGCGACCCTTCCCGGCGCCCGGGGACACACTTTCAATTTGGCGGCCCCCTCGGGAGCAAATTTTTAATTTGCACCCCCCTCAACTTTTCGATTTGCACCCCCCCCCCTCAAACTTTCTATTTGCAACCCCCCCCCCCCCCCCTCATACAGCAAAAATGCAGCTAAAATGACATTTTAATTTGTTTTTACAACCCATTTTGGCGCCCCCTAAGGTCGGCGCCCGGGGACATATGTCCCCCCCTGCCCCCCCCCCCCCCCCACATCGCTACGCCTCTGCATGTTACTGTTCTTTCAGTTTAATACATAAGAGCATTGCCCTGTCAGTTAAAAAACATGAGCTACAGTTGCCAAACGTGGTTCTAGCTGTTGTGCGCCATGTGTACGGTTAGGATGGGGAGGGGGGGGGGGGGTTGTTGACAAACAGCAAACAAAGCCCACATCTCTGCCAGATTTAGCTCGCCCAAGCTGCCGGGACTGCGTTGATTCTGTCACGGCTAAATCCGGTCTGTTGGCCGGCATAAGCTTGTCCAGGTCTTCAAACGGTCACCCAAGTATCCAACTTTTTACAGGCCCTCGCGCATTTTTTACTGCCGCAGGGCGCGCCTCGCATGCTTGCCGTCGTCAAAGGAAACGGACACGTTAGCTGAGCAACACGAACTGAGCAGTAAAAAATCTGGACTGTTTCACGGCTTCGATCAATCGCACCATTGTTTCAGGTTTCTCCTTTTAAGGCAAATGTATCAATCTTCAATTCTTATAACAACACCGTCTGTATGACCTTCACAATTTTGAAATTGAGAACACCAGTACTAGAGCCGATACTGTCAAGTATTGTAACACAACTGAGAATTTTGAAGTGAGTGAGGTTGGGGTTGCGGAGGGGTAAAAAGGGGCGGGGTGAACCCTACTAACAGATCCCGCAGACTATACTCTAGAAATTCTTTTTTTTTTACTGTAAGTTTCAAAACTTGTGATGCTATAACCTTGTTTATTGTTCTTGTTGTTGAAAGATCGTAATGTTGTTCATATGGGACTGTGTAGCCACTTAATGTTTCCTTTATTTTCAGGGGGGGGGGGGTGGGGGAACTTGAATTATTTTTTTTGGGGGGAGGGGGCGGACTCAATTTTCCGGGGGGTGGGGGCGCTCACTGGTAAAAGTATATATTTCTATATAAATTTCTACTTCCCCAAGAAATGCCTTAAAGAAAGAAACTTTTGATATCAAACAACGTTATTTATACGGCAGAAGGTTGACTACAAAAGTATGAGAGTCAGAGCTGATCTAACGGGCGCCAGTTAGCAGGAGACACCTTTGTCTTTGCATCACCAACATATTAACTACTACAGGAAACACCTTCGTCTTAACACCACCAACACATTCACTACCACAGGAAACACCTTCGTCTTAACACCACCAACACATTCACTACCACAGGAAACACCTTCATCTTAACACCACCAACACATTCACTACCACAGGAAACACCTTCGTCTTAACACCACCAACACATTCACTACCACAGGAGACACCTTCATCTTAACACCACCAACACATTCACTACCACAGGAAACACCTTCATCTTAACACCACCAACACATTCACTACCACAGGAAACACCTTCGTCTTAACACCACCAACACATTCACTACCACAGGAAACACCTTCATCTTAACACCACCAACACATTCACTACCACAGGAAACACCTTCGTCTTAACACCACCAACACATTCACTACCACAGGAAACACCTTCGTCTTAACACCACCAACACATTCACTACCACAGGAGACACCTTCATCTTAACACCACCAACACATTCACTACCACAGGAAACACCTTCATCTTAACACCACCAACACATTCACTACCACAGGAAACACCTTCGTCTTAACACCACCAACACATTCACTACCACAGGAAACACCTTCATCTTAACACCACCAACACATTCACTACCACAGGAAACACCTTCGTCTTAACACCACCAACACATTCACTACCACAGGAAACACCTTCATCTTAGCACCACCAACACTGTCAGTCACAGGAAACACCTTCGTCTTAACACCACCAACACATTCACTACCACAGGAAACACCTTCGTCTTAACACCACCAACACATTCACTACCACAGGAAACACCTTCATCTTAGCACCACCAACACTGTCAGTCACAGGAAACACCTTCGTCTTAACACCACCAACACATTCACTACCACAGGAAACACCTTCGTCTTAACACCACCAACACATTCACTACCACAGGAAACACCTTCATCTTAACACCACCAACACATTCACTACCACAGGAAACACCTTCGTCTTAACACCACCAACACATTCACTACCACAGGAAACACCTTCATCTTAACACCACCAACACATTCACTACCACAGGAAACACCTTCATCTTAACACCACCAACACATTCACTACCACAGGAAACACCTTCGTCTTAACACCACCAACACATTCACTACCACAGGAAACACCTTCATCTTAACACCACCAACACATTCACTACCACAGGAAACACCTTCATCTTAACACCACCAACACATTCACTACCACAGGAAACACCTTCATCTTAACACCACCAACACATTCACTACCACAGGATACACCTTCATCTTAACACCACCAACACATTCACTACCACAGGAAACACCTTCATCTTAACACCACCAACACATTCACTACCACAGGAAACACCATCGTCTTAGCACCACCAACATATTCACTACCACAGGAAACACCTTTGTCTTAGCATCACTACCACAGGATACACTTTCTTCTTAGCACCACCAGTACATACTCCCCACCACTGCTATTTGCCCACCGACCCTGGTCAGATAAGGTCTGTTGGACAATTGGCCTCAGTGTCTCCATCCACAAGTTGCCTGGGTAGAGCTCCCATTCCGCGAATTCTGAGACGGCAGACGACTGGCCTAGGACGGAGAGCTAACCAAGGGCTAGAAAATAATGAAGTATGTAGTCTCTATCTGAACGGTGTGTGTGTGTGTGTGTGTGGAGGAGGAGGAGGGGATTGGGAGGCAGGTGTGGGGGGGGGGTGGGCATCAATGCCAGAAGATAACATTGTGGTAAAAATTGAACTAGAGTACGTTTAAGTAGATATTCTACTCAAACAAGTATTTAGGCTACTCAAAATAAAAATTAACGTGTTGATTCTAGTCAGAATAGAATTATCCACTCTATTCTAGTTAAAATAAAATTGTTTTAGACTGAACACACCTTTGAAATTCATAGATTTATTCTCCTGTGTATATTTAAATGGGCTAAATGTACGTTTTTTTTTTTATCTCCTCGTACACAAGCTTAAAGGTCAAGGTCATATTTCTAAAACTGGCCGTTGATGAAAGTGTTCCAGTGAGTAAAGTATTTAACAACATCCGGTGCTGGCAGTTATCAACTTGTCAAGATAATTCAGGCTCCTGTTACTCTTCATGGGTAGACGGAGACCCGAGGGGAAGATAGATAACCCTGGTTATCTGCAGTAAGGGAAACTACTCCAGCTTTACAGTCGCCCCTTGCTTACAGAACTTGGAACACATAAATTAAATGGAGATTTTCGTTTTAACATTACTTGTGCTTACATTGCTGGTAAGTCTTTGATTAACGTATAAAATACGATTAGAGGTTTTAAGATTTAGTTGTAATCTCTAGAAAATTGCATATTGAATTAATTAGAGCAAATTTCTAATACCATTGTTTTATCCTAATAGCAACTTCAGTGCGTGCTAGTAAATAATATTTCTGCGTGATGATACAAAGCTATGTACAATTATAACAATTTTTTTAAATCTTTTTTTTTAAATAGCATTTTGTATCAAACTAAATTGGACCTTTAAAAATACAATATTTTTTATTAAAATAGTCAACTAAGTTGTCGCCCTTAGCAGATTCTTATGATTCTTATGATAAAGGAATATAAACAATAGACATTGTAGATGATCGCTCAAATCTAGTAAACTGGTTGAGAACTTGTTCAATATCAAATCTTTGTAGTTGATGTTTTTTTTCTAGTTTTTTTTTTATATTGATTTATATACAAGTATAGAACAAATACTTTCGGCTGAAGTCTGGATATATTACATTTTAAAGCTAACATTGTTTTCATCTGTCAGTAACTTACCATCACACGATGATTTTTAAACTTCGTTCTACATTGAAAGCACTGAATTTTAAAAATTAAAACACCTTTTTTTTTGTCTTTACAATAACACACCACCCTATAATTGGTAAATTTAAATTGTTTTCAAATACAAATCAGCCTGCAACTGGTGTGTTTCAATTGTTTGGGAAATAGCACGTCTTAGTGTTGATGTCAAACATGACACAGTTAATCTTTCTCTCATCAAACAGCCACTGTTGACCACAGGGGCGGTCACACAAACCGGACAATGCTACACCTTTAACGGCAACTCTTATCTGGACTTCTCGCCGGAAAATTTCAACAACAACAACAAGTTAGTACAGTTGTGGTTTCTAAAGCTAGTTGTCATACAGGGATCAGCTTTTATATAACACCATGCAGGGGCCAGGTTTTATATAACACCATGTAGGGGTCAGGTTTTTTATAACATCTTACAGGGGTCAGGTTTTATATAACATACAGGGGTCAGGTTTTATATAACACCATACAGGGGTCAGGTTTTATATAACACCATACAGGGGTCAGGTTTTATTTAACACCATACAGGGGTCAGGTTTTATATAACATCATGCAGGGGTCAGGTTTTATATAACACCATACAGGGGTCAGGTTTTATATAACATCATGCAGGGGTCAGGTTTTTTATAACACCACACAGGGGTCAGGTTTTATATAACACCATGTATGTAGGGGTCAGGTTTTTTATAACACCATACAGGGGTCAGGTTTTATATAACACCATGCATGTAGGGGTCAGGTTTTATATAACATCATACAGGGGTCAGGGTTTATAGAACATCATTTAGGGGTCAGGTTTTATATAACATCATGTAGGGGTCAGGTTTTTTATAACACCATACAGGGGTCAGGTTTTATATAACACCATGTATGTAGGGGTCAGGTTTTATATAACATCATGTAGGGGTCAGGTTTTATATAAAACCATACAGGGGTCAGGTTTTATAGAACATCATACAGGGGTCAGGTTTTATATAACATACAGGGGTCAGGTTTTATATAACACCATACAGGGGTCAGGTTTTATATAACATACAGGGATCAGGTTTTATATAACACCATGCAGGGGTCAGCTTTTACATAACATCATGTAGGGGTCAGGTTTTATATAACATCATGTAGGGGTCAGCTTTTATATAACATCATGTAGGGGTCAGGTTTTATATAACATCATGTAGGGGTCAGGTTTTATATAACATCATGTAGGGGTCAGGTTTTTTATAACACCATACAGGGGTCAGGTTTTATATAACATCATGTATGTAGGGGTCAGGTTTTATATAACACCATACAGGGGTCAGGTTTTATATAACACCATGTAGGGGTCAGGTTTTATAGAACATCATGTAGGGGTCAGGTTTTTTATAACACCATAAGGGGTTAGTATTTACATAACATGCAAGGGTTAGCAGTTATACAACATCATGCAAGGGTCAGCCTTTACATAACACCATGTAAGGCTCAGTGCTTACATAATACCATGCACTTTCATAACATTATGTATTGGATTAGTGCTTACATTACACCATGTAGGGATTAGTGCTTAACGCCATGGAGGATTTTAGCGCGCACATAATATTATAATACTATGTATTCGGTCCGTACTTACGAACAAGTATAAAATACGATGCAGGGTCAGTACTTACATAACACAATGCATGGGTCATGGCCACAACGACATAATATTCACCCTAACATCTACTGGTCTTCTGTCTACTTAACATTTACTACTTAACATTTACTGAGACTCTTGTCGTCTGTCCACTAGCGCCCAAACATTTACTGAGACCCTCGTCTTCTGTCCACTAGCGCTCAAACATTTACTGAGACCCTTGGCATCTGTCCACTAGCGCTCACTACTTAACATTTACTGACCCTCGTCTTCTGTCCACTAGCGCCCAAACATTTACTGAGACCCTTGGCTTCTGTCCACTAGCGCCCACTACTTAACATTTACTGAGACCCTTGGCTTCTGTCCACTAGCGCCCAAACATTTACTGAGACCCTTGGCTTCTGTCCACTAGCTCCCAAACATTTACTGAGACCCTTGGCTTCTGTCCACTAGCGCCCAAACATTTACTGAGACCCTTGGCTTCTGTCCACTAGCGCCCAAACATTTACTGAGACTCTTGCCTTCTGTCCACTAGCGCCCAAACATTTACTGAGACTCTTGCCTTCTGTCCACTAGCGACCAAACATTTACTGAGACCCTTGGCTTCTGTCCACTAGCGCCCACTACTTAACATTTACTGAGACTCTTGCCTTCTGTCCACTAGCGCCCAAACATTTACTGAGACTCTTGTCTTCTGTCCACTAGCGCCCAAATATTTACTGAGACTCTTGTCTTCTGTCCACTAGCGCCCAAACATTTACTGAGACCCTCGTCTTCTGTCCACTAGCGCCCAAATATTTACTGAGACTCTTGTCTTCTGTCCACTAGCGCCTACTACTTAACATTTACTGAGACCCTCGTCTTCTGTCCACTAGCGCCCAAACATTTACTGAGACTCTTGTCTTCTGTCCACTAGCGCCCAAACATTTACTGAGACCCTCGTCTTCTGTCCACTAGCGCCCAAATATTTACTGAGACTCTTGTCTTCTGTCCACTAGCGCCTACTACTTAACATTTACTGAGACCCTCGTCTTCTGTCCACTAGCGCCCAAACATTTACTGAGACTCTTGTCTTCTGTCCACTAGCGCCCAAACATTTACTGACCCTCGTCTTCTGTCCACTAGCGCCCACTACTCCTTCAAGTTTAAGACCACCCAAGCCAATGGCCTGCTGCTGTATGCTCGGGGCCCTCACGACGATGACGAGGCTGTGTTTCTCCGTAACGGCAAGCTGGTGTACCACCTGTTCAACACCTCACCCACGGGGATAGAAGGCTACTACGGCGGGCTGTATCAGGGGACAGAGGAGGTTAACATAGACGAATGGATTTCGGTTTGTTTACATTTATAAATCCTTTAGTGCGTGCAAAAACGGCATGGTCAGTCATCCATGAGTTTGTTAACTTTATTAGTTGCTTAGATCGTGGAACAACGTTATGGGGCGGTTAGTCGTCCCTGAGACAACTTAACACTGATTACCTCTCCACCTCACCCTATATGGTAGAAAAGTATATATAATTTATATAGTAAACATATACCTTACCCAATGTCCTTCCGCCCCCCTCCCCTTCAAAATTTCAAGTGCACACCGCTCCCACCGGAAGCTTCAAGAACCCCACCCCCACCCCCCTTTCATGTTAATAAGAAATATGATGATTTTCAGATTAAGAGAAATGCAACTTTTCTCTTTTTTGGCGGGGCGGGTGGCAGTGATTTGACTTTAACTGCAAAATCTCTTTGAGGGTGAAAGATTTATGACTTTTAGAAAATACGATAGTGTAGTTCAGTTTAAAAATCTGCTAAAAAAGCATGTTACCATTTAAGGATGATCCCTTTTAAAATTTCACAATTGTTTAAATATTATGTTCATGTTATTCACTAGGTAGATCTCTGCAGCTTATGTTTAGGTAGATGGTGATCTATCTTACTTTGGCTTGCTATATAGAGCCAAAAGCAAAATATAGGCTATTAAGCATTGATAGTATACTAGTAAAGAATATTGTTTGTCTTATGACTAAAGGGAAATAATAATCCCTGGGTAACGTTTATAAATATTGTTTCAGCATTGTTGCGGCTTGAGAAATTAATCATGTGATAATACTATTTATAGGTTGATTTTTTTTTGGGTTTATTGACGATTGTTTTACCATGTTGGAGCTAGAAAAATTATTCACGTGATGATTCTATTTATAGGTTGACATATTCCGGTCTTGGCAAACAACCAGTGCCGGTACCGGCTCTAGCGTCGACCGGCAAAAATCCCTGACCGGTCTGTGGTACGAGGTAGATGGCCGGACCTACAACAACACTGACGAGTTGGTCAGGACGGACATCGCCCTGTCTCCCACTGTCTACGTAGGTGGATATCGCTCTTCATTGGTAAGTTACAGTGGATGTGGGGCAATGTGGATTCATCCATTGGTAAATTCTGGTAAATTCTGGTGGGTAATGTGGATACATCCACTGGTAAATTCTGGTGGGTAATGTGGATACATACACTTGTAAATTCTGGTGGGTATTATGGATACATCCATTGGTAAATTCTGGTGGGTAATGTGGATACATCCACTGGTAAATTCTGGTGGGTAATGTGGATACATGCACTGGTAATTTCTGGTGGGTAATGTGGATACATACACTGGTAAATTCTGGTGGGTAATGTGGATACATGCACTGGTAAATTCTGGTGGGTAATGTGGATACATACACTGGTAAATTCTGGTGGGTAATGTGGATACATGCACTGGTAAATTCTGGTGGGTAATGTGGATACATACACTGGTAAATTCTGGTGGGTAATATGGATACATCCATGATAAGATAACATTGATGTTCTATACAAGCAGAATAGCAGTTCTGCTACATTTTTTGATACAGATCTATAATAAAGCAATATTAAAAGCATCGTTAAAATGTAAAACTTCCACATATTATATTCATAAATTCGATGCCATTTCTGATTCTTAAATTGTAATTTGATTAAATTTGTCCCTCTCCAATATGCTGTATACAGCAGAGGCGTAGCTAGGGAAGGTGGGAGGGTCAGTTCAGATCCTGTGGATGGGGGCGGCAAACTGGGTTTTTAAAAAAAATCTCATTTAGAGCTGATTTGCTGCATTATATACAGTCACAGTTAACAAAATAGACTGCTATGACAGGCTTATGCAGCATTTCAACATCAACTATGTGACACCAATATAATAACTGTTTAGTAACAATGACTGGTTAAAAGCGCCCCGAATTTTCGAACTTAGTGATGGGGTTGGGGGGGGGGGGGACATTTTTGTCAACTTGAATATTGAATAAGTATATTAATGGTTGGGGGCGCAAAATTGATAGTTCATCCCGGGCGCTTGAATAGATTGCTACCGCTATGCCCCCCCCCACCCCTCAGCTATTGAATGTAAACACAATTTATTCTGTGACCACAGAGCCAGACTGTTGGGAACTTCGAAGGCATCATAAGCGACCTCTACGAGGAGAAGAACCAATGGTCCTTTGAAGACCCATCCCACAATTTCATGAACGGGGTCGTGTATGGATGTGGCGGGGTCGCGCCACTGTAGACGAGCGTCACGTGTCTTAGGGCTGCAAATTCTGGAACTTTTTCGGCTTTGTTGAAGCAATATGTTAGCATTAAAAAAGTATAGTACTGAGTTCCAAGAAATGTGGCTTGACTAGACACCTCGACCAAAGGATTCATTGAACAATTCACAGAGTGTATATTTTATTTTTACAGCACAACAACTTTTTAATACATTTTTAAAATTTAATACACATAATATGAAAAATGACAAAAATAACGAAACTTGTAGCAAGAAATATGACATGTTTCCTGGTCTTTTATATCTGAACTCACACGACCTCTTGTCCTTGAACTTTACGCATACACAGGCCTGGCGTTCTGTTTCTTTTTTGGCCTTGTCCCATGTGACCTACTTTAACAGTATTATCAATGTCTATCAAAGTAAGCGTAATCAATATCGAATTTTTGTTTTTGATTCCTGATTGCCTTATTCTCATTAACATCGTCTATTTTTATCGTTACCTGTTTCTCATGATTAAAAACGCATGTGTGTGTGGGTGATGAGTTGAAACTGTAGACCTAGGGCTCCTTTTGTTACCAGATAAATATGCACTACTTCTCATGTTTTCACATTAAAGTGAATTAAAAACAGAAACAGAGTTCGCTTTTTAATCGATTTTTTACATGCTTAAATAAATGATTGTAATGTAGACATTGATGGTTAAAAAGATACAGAAAAATGTGCAATTTAAATTGCTTACCTATCACCCCAATAATATATACCACCCCCCCCCCCCATACACACACAGACACACACACATACGCCACACACACAAACACACACAAATTCCGATAAAAGTGTCTTTGATTTAACCCCTCTGTTTATTACCCTAATATTGAAAATACCTATTATTTATCATGTGAGAAACCTGGTAATTTATTTTGCGCTCTATAGAATTACTGAAATGGGCTAAGTATTCTATACGGAAACCAACATAGTGACAGGCAATCACCGAAACTTCCTTGTGGAAGGCCCAGTACTTTTTCTACCAGCTAGGAACTGAACATGGTGTTCTAAAACAAATGTATTACAGAAGAGGGTTTTAAAAAAAACTGCTCAAACTATCGTCAGTTGGCACCGAGGAAAAAGGCATAATCACAACTGACCGATGTACGGATACTGCTACTTTCGCAGAAATTGCACAGCCAAGTGCACAAGAAATCTCTCTGCAAGTGTTAAAACTACAAGCTACTATATATTTCTAAATGTTCTAAAGTTCATCTTGTTGTATAAATAAATGCAAAAAAATAATTCGATGTTTCTCTCATTTCATTTAATTAATAATAATTTAAATTAAGCGATAACTTTATGGTCATAACGGTGTAAAAACACCCAAAAATATACTCATCATGTTCTAAGGGGGTCGCCCATAAATGACGTCACATTCGTAGTAGGGAGGGGTCCGTAATTTAGTGACGATGTGTGCTGAGGGGGAGTAATGGAGATTCAAATAGTGTGACGTTACACTTTTGCAGAGGCGTAGCGACCCCTCCCGGCGCCCGGGGCGAACATTCAGTTTGGCGCCCCGCCATATATATATATATATATATATATATATATATATATATATATATATATATATATATATATATATATATATATATATATATATATATATATATATATATATATATATATATATATATATATATATATATATATATATATGTGTGTGTGTGTGTGTGTGTTTGTGTGTGTGTGTGTGTATGTATGTGCGACAGTCTTGAAAAAGTTAATAGTTACGCTGTATGATTGTCGTTCCCTAAAACATAACTCAACGTCAATTAAATTCCCCTTAAGATGCATTATCCTTTAAAGATGATGATTAGTAATGTCAGAAAAAAATATTGTAGCGGTGCTAATTCGTTTAGGACAGTCTTTTTATGTTTTATCTTTGGAACAGTCTCTTTTATGATATAGTATATATTTGGATTATAAGTTTGTCAGATTAAGGTCATACAATTGACATACAATAGCAAATTATTGTTCACATTGGAATACGATATGGGTATTTCGTTGAGTGGTTGATTGTATAATGGAACAAGCTAGAGGAAAAAACATTTCTTTTCTAAGTGTTAAAAGAGTTATCTAGTAACCGATCCAGCACAAATCCTGCGATTTTTGTTGGTGAAAAAGTGCCCCCCCCCCCCCACTTCCCCACCATCTTGGACAAAAATGGTAGACCGAATTTAAACGTCACTAACTCTTGTTTTTATGTTACACAATTGTAAAATACGCTTTAGTTCCATGGGTTCTGTTCTGAGTGATAAGGGTTATTTATTCCTTAATTCCAGTCACTGTTTCTTAAGGATATACCTTTTACGGTTACTCAATCAAGGTAGAAAACAGTTAAATCAGTGTGCAAAGGCTCTCAGTCGTTAAATTTCTTTACTTTGACTATTTATAATTCAAAACTGCAGCTTAAAATGAGCTTGTAATTTTTTTCTACCCCTTTTGGCGCCCCCTTAGGGTCGGCGCCCGGGGCGGCCGCCCTCCCCTAGCTACGCCTCTGCACTTTTGCAGTTAAAAAAGTAATGTTAGAACTGAAATTTAGACACTATTTCGCATTTTAGAATACTGTTGCAATAAATTATAATAGAAATAAAATACTCAACGTTGACCGAGTTCAGTCAATATTTTAGGAGTGTTTTTTATACTGCACTTTTGAGGGGGGGGGGGGTGTAGGCTGAGGTGTGGCCCAATCAACGAATACAAAGTGCTAAGATAGCTTCTCTGGAACTCTAGGCGCAAAACCCTGTGACAAAAATCGCACCCTCCAGAGTGCCGCCCATAAAAAAATTTAATTTAATGTTTCATAAAATCCTTCTCGGGAGTAATTTCACCACTTCCCCAAAGTTTCATAGCACTCGGATGAAAGGTGTCAGACCGCATCCGACATTTATTTTTTTAAATACCGTATATAGAGAAAAATAGATACATTTTCTGGTTTTTCATTTTAGCATAACCTTTGATAGGCCTACATTTCCACCCCATCTCCCTCCCCTATAAAAACTCAACACTTAATGGGAAGTGCCTTTTTAAAAATGCTTCAGATGTTAAATTATAAAAAAAAAATATTTAAAAAATAAATTAAAACAAGTTAATAAAAAGTCTAGTGACAATGTAAGCGCAATTTCCTTAATTAAATTTTTGTGACCGAACAAAAGGATATTTTTGAAAACTTTCTTCGGCAATTTTGTTCTAAATTATGGCAGGAATCGATTGGTAAATGTTTCAAGTCGCTAAGTGGTCTGGTTGCCGAGATATGGGCAAATAACTGCATTTTTTTCGAGGTTTTTTGGCTTTTTCGGGAAATCCAGGAAGGAATTCCGGGAATTTTTTTGGCCCACAATCATCCTCGGAACTTGCTTAACATATTTGCTTTTGAAACTAGTCCTCGATATTGCTTCGTTGAGGAGGAGATACGACGTAAAGCTGCGGACACACATCCACACATCCATCCAGAAATGACGAGTTAATAATCGCAATTCTCCAGTATGGAAATTGCGCTAAAAAACTAAGCGTAACCCTTTGAATTTGGGCTTTCAACTCTTTTTGCAAAGAAAACAGATTAAAGCGCTCGCCCACAATGCACTGAGGCAAAAGCGGCAAATTCAAGATGTCCTCCTAAAGATGTTTATATTTACTTTCACGCTTTTAAAAACTCAGTTTTAGTCAGTCCTAAACAAGTGTTTTAGTGTTGTTGTAATGGGATAGAAACAGTTAAAGTTAATAGATATTGGTTTCATCTTACTGTCTTACTTAAATAAATGCATTATTTGTTTGCTGTTCAATAACTACTAGATCTAGACTACTGTTTGAAGTGTTTGGCTTGGAATTTTAAAGAAAATTTTTCTAAATTTAAAAAGGTAAAAAATACATTACAAAATGTGGATCTATTTTTCTATTCTAAATCTGTAATCTACCCTAGATTTAGATCTAGATTCTCATTCTACTATTCCTATCTTATCTAGTTCTAGAACATTCGTTTTCATAATAAATACCTAAGTGGGATGAGGTAATCTATCGTTTTGGGTACGTAAAATCGCCCGCGGCTATTAATGTACGAAAACGTTACCTCATTGTCAAGGCTGTAATAGAAGTATATTGTGATATGTTTGTGTCAAATATTATAGATAAATGAATAATAAACCTAAATCAATGGCTAAATATATCAATATAGGCCAGAAATTAACTTTAAACAGCTGTGTCTGCAAGCAAGATTTGCTATATAAACAGCAGCCATTTGTCAAATAGATTGACTTCCGCCTGAATCTCGCGCTATATGTCTATAAAAATAAAACTTAAACAAGATGGCTGCTATAGTAAATGAGCGTGGTTGCATCTGTTGGAAACATCGCTGGTGTTCATTTATTACTGAAAAGTTTTAATTCAATTGTTTAAAAACAGGTACATAAATGAAACAAGGAAACATTTTTGTATTTTTCAAAACATAAATCCTCATCAAAATGTGAAATAATTATTAAAATGTAAGGAGTCACCTGTTTTTCACATTACTAGTTGCGGTCGATTTTACGTACCTAAAACGATAGATTACCGTGGGATGATTATTTTTACAAAGTGACTACTCAGAAAAAGATTTTTCGCCCCAGCATCTCCACCTGGTCGGCAAAAGATAGTTCTGCCGCACATGCGCAGTGACCTATGGCTAGGTTTAGGATAGGGTTCGGGCTAGGGCTCTGCGGTTGTAAATGTAAACACATGCATGCACAGTACCAACGAAAACATGGCCACGAATGCAAGTCGCATGCGAATCTTTTTCCGGCTAGAATTGGCCTTATTTTTATAACAGGGTTCGTGCGGCCTCCTGAAATTCCAGGAGGTCCTGGAAAACTCCTGGAATCTTAAAAAACGTAAAAACCTCCTGGAATTTAAAAAAATATAAAAATCTCCTGGAATTCTCCTGAAATTTTAAAAATTCTCCTGAAATCTCATGAAATTTTATTAACCCGCGGCGCAAAACCCGACCGAAATTATTTGATTTTGTTCAGCCAATAATTGAATAGTTGTTTTTAAATGGGACGAAAATAAAAATAAACGCATCGGCCGTCGTCCGACTGAATCGCACTGCCGTGATCTATACATCGTGTGGCACAGCCGAGTGTGTGGTCACGTGACGCTAGGCGATTGACCTGATTGGATGATACTATAAACAATTTCTAAAAATAGATAGGCCTACATGTGTTCCCGTGTTTGACTTGTCGGCTATTGGATTTTTAAAGTAGACAGGCATGTTTCATAACTTTGTCTTAAACTATTGAAACTGCAAAAAAGAAGTTGTAGTAGTATTTACGGCTCATGACTAATCGTCAAAATTAATCTTCTTTAGAAATATACCCGGATAGCAGTGACCCGATCAAACAATGCTGATTCGCTTAACGTTTCATTATTTTATTTTATACATTAATTTTTCGTAAAAATGGCTATAGAAGATAAATTAAATTTTTCCTGTGGCTCTTTTTTTCGGTTGACTAAAAATTGTTAATACGCTTAATACTAGCTTGCAAAATCGACCAAAATGGGATAGGGTGGGTAAGGGGAGTCACTGACCATCCTACACGGTATGTAACATCCAACGCAACACTCATCGCCTTACCCGCCCCCACTACTCCGTGATGCGACAAGCCGACGGTCGGCGCCTTTGATGTTGTGTAACACCCGTACGGTACCCGAGCAGCTCGTGGTGGTTTCATACCCCACCTCTCTTCCCCCTTCACTTTGTGGAGTTGATGTTACTAATCCTTGGGCATAGATCAAGAAATCTTGCCACTTTTGTCTCTGAAATTACATAATATTCGTCTGACACGTTCATCGGGTTGGCCGACTAGCCTAGCATCATTGGATTTGGCATCCAAAAATCAATAAAATATCACGAAATGATATTAATTGGTGAAGTCTGCTTGCATTTATACCTCTTTTATAGTAAAAAAAATTCTTAAAAATTTAGTCCATACCCTCCCAGTATTTTTCCTCTTTCATGGTCTATCCCGGTTGTCTGAAAAATCTGCTATTTTTTAATGACAAAAAAAAAATCATAACTTTTTTGTTTATGGTCAGATTTTGAAAATTCAAACTGGTCTGTAGTCAGATTGATAGCCTCTATCCTAATATGTAACTAATATATTGTTTTACTTTTACTGAAATTAAATTTTTGCATTGGCTTAGCTAATTAAATGTATTATTAAGTACGCTTTTTTTAAAATGTACAAATTGGGCTTCTTTTTTGTTTTTAAAATCTCCTTGAATTTTTTTAAAACTCCTGGAAAACCCTGTTATAACTTAGATCTACTATCATGCTAGATAGCCGTTGAAACAATTTATTAAAGGACAGTTTGATTTAGCTAGACTGCTGCTAGATCTAGGACTATCATCTGACCCACTACTGACGCTGTACTGGTTTTTTCTAGATCCAATATGTAGCGAGTAGGCGACCTGACTGAGTAGGGCCTACTTCTTAAACTTATGTAATAAATTAAAGTAAGCCTGCTTTCTTTCATTTTTTACTTGAATTCTATGCCCAAAATAAATAATAGAAACATCTCTTCTTTTTACATGTGTTGTGTACTCATGGTACTACACAATAAAGTCAGTGTAGTCTAGGCTACTTTAATGTGAGTTGGCGTACCCAGACTAGACTTAACTCTTAACTAAAATGAATCTAGAAGTAGATAAGTTAATAGGCCCTAGGCCTAAGTAATTTATTTACTATTTAGAGACTAGATCTAATAGTTAATAGTAGAATTCTACACTTTTCTACATGGGTGGGGGTACAATGCAAGAAAGGTGCAAAAACAATTGACTAGATTCTGCTAGATTTGACAACAGTCAATAAAATGTGCTTAACAAACCCTGAACAAAATTTCGAGTCCACCCTTTGTATCCCTGGCCTCAACCAACCAGCGGCCTTGTTGCATTGAGTTAAATATAAACTCAAAACAATAATATGCTAATCTCTTATTAGTTTAACATATTCATGATTCGTTTAGAAGGAATTTCTAAATATTTCGTTGTGTGGTAGTAATTTCTCACTTTTTAGACAAGAAGCAAAGTCATCCATACAATTATATAATAGACTAGTATATCAAACAATCAACTTTTGATTAAGCTACTTTTCTTTTCAGAATTAAACATGGATACCCCATCAGTAGATGCTGGGAAAAAAAGAAAGTTTAAAATAGTTGTTAAAAAACAAAAACATGCACTTCAACCCTCAGCTGCTAAAGTTTACCATAAGAAATTGAAATCTGCAATCAATGTCAGCTGTAAGTTTTTTGATACTTTTACAGTTTAATTAGCCCTATTTTCTTTTAAGCTTATAAATTAAATATTTTATGTGTAACTATGTCTTTTGTAAATTGTATATCTCACAGTGAATTCAACTAAAAATGTCCGTACACTTCAAGCAAATAATCGTTCATTAGCTGCAAGTTTGGAAAAATTGAGACAGAATTTACGTCAAGTCCATGATCACCATACCTATTTGTTGAAAAAGAATCATGAACTAAGTGAAAAGATATTAGTGCTAGAAAGGAACACAAACTTGTCACCATCTTATATTGAAGATGAAGTGGAAAAGAGATTTCAGGTTTCTAAATCTTTTGTAATAATGATATTATTGGCTTTGATTCTAACACCTGTATCTATACATTTCTCACATATTTAAAACTGTATTGGTGCATAAACCTAGAACATTTTTTAATTAGGTAAGAATGCAGGATATCAAGACCAAACTAAATGCTTATGTGGAGCTTCTGAAAGACCTTATTGAATCCTGCTCCTCATCAAGTGATGGCAACTGCACAGACTCCATGCTGCCTCTTAACTCCAGTCAGCTATTCTCTAGTGGTCAAGAAATAGCAGAGTATGTATCAGATTTTTTTTTACCAATTTCATTTAGTATTTATTACTTTAGTTTGTGTATATTGGATTTAAAATTGCTGCCATGAATAATGTATGATTAAATAGTTTGCATTTGTTTTTGTATGTTTATATATTTTAAATGAAAATTTCACCAGAAATACAAGTGTATTAGAAGATGACAATTTTAGTGAAGCGAGTAGCCCATCAATGAAAAAAGTGGCACATCAGATGTCCATGATCTTGGAACAATCCATGCTACACCTCCACCCAGACGATAATTTATTGTTTAGCCAACCTCTGACAACAGGTGACAGCCTTACTTTCAAAGTATTAGTTATTAGTTCCTGTTGGTTGTCTGTATCCACTTGAGCATGCAGTTGGCACGGCCAAGGTTTTATAAAATAGAGATACCGTCGCATCAGTTATCCAAACAGTATTATGTTGGAATGATTAACAAATAACTAACATTTTAGGTTACAAAAAGATTTTTTTAAACTATAAATTATCACCAGCCAGTATATAAATGTTAAGATAATGAATGGTTATCTACTAAGATTTATTTATTATATTCTAAGATTATATTTTTACTATTTTAACTTAGTGTCTGAAACGGTGCCATCTGTTCTGGAGAGGCCAGTTTTGTCCAAACTTCCAATGAGGATCTGTAGGCAGGCTAAAGAATCAGAAAATAAGATATCACCAAATATTGCAAATCCCAAGCCATTGAGAAGAGAAACATTTTATATCAAAAAGTCTTCCCCTGCAAAAAATGAATTCATTACTGAAACTGAGGTGCCCAACTTTCTTATTGATGATGCTGAAGATGAAATGAAAAATTACCAGAATGTCCTGCAGAGCATTTCTGATTTAGAAGCATCCCTACCACTGTCTCCTTCCAAAACAAAAAAGTCAACTCTGTCTTGTGATGCTGAGAAACCTGTCAAATCTAAATCCCCTAGGATATCAAAAAGGAAAGCAAAACCTGTAGAGAACACAAAGAAAGCAGTGGAGCCTGTCCCGGTTATTATCAATGAATTTGCTCTGATCAATGCTCACCAAGAAAGGATGAAGAAGCTAGATGAGCAGAGCAGTGTTGACCGGGCCTACAAGTCCCCTAACAAATGTGTTGAGTCTACTATTTGTGTTCCTACTGACATGGAGATAACCATTGGGGCTCTTGGCTACTTCTCTCCTGGCAAGCAGCAGCAGAAACTCTGTCAGCTAGATGAGGGCAACAAGGGGAAGCCAGCAGATTTTTCAACCAATGATTCGCTGCCAGAAAAAATCCCTGAAGCTGTCACTATGAGACTGGCCAAGCCTGGCAAGCTGGTCTATTCTGTATCAAGAAAAGAATCTGATGGAACTCGCAAAAGTGTCCCAATCAAGGCAAGATCCAAGTCAAAGAAGCAGATAGCTGAAATGATTGAAAACTTAGAGCACAAAGAGCCACAGTCTATATTTGATTTCCATGATAAAACTCCTTCATCTATGGTCAGTGATAAACAAAAAGCCATGTCAGTGTTCAGTATTTCAGGAGATGAATCCACACTGTCTCCGCTAGTTCGGCTTGCCAAACAAAGTAAACCACATAGCTTTGACAGTAAAGTGCAGTCTTTGTTAGGCAATGGTGCAACTTATGAACTTCCTCTCAAAGGTAGCCCCCAGGAGAAGAATGTTAAGACAATGTACAGATCCCGATCTCAGTCTAGTGGTAGGAAGTCTAAACTGGAGGTCAATGAGGTCAAGGCTCGTATTCAGGGCAAGAAAAGCCTTCCTAAGTTCAACAGTCCAGTTGGAAACAGCAGTCCTTTAACGACACGATCTAGGGGTAGGTCGATGAAGAAGATACTATCAGATAGTGACACGCACAGAGCCAGATCTGACAGTAGACACATGAGAGACAGTGGAGATGGGGATAAGGTTTTTTTCCTCTCACCAGCCTCACCTGCCCAACAACAGAAACTGGAGGCCAAGGAGACAGTGAAATCTACACCACCTGAGCTGAGAACCACTAGACACAGTGCACCAAAACGCCAGCTTGTTTCACCATCTCGTCTAAGTTCTCTGCCACAGGGTGGCTCTAAAGGCCAGACAACATCTCCAGCACGGAGTAAACAGAACCAAGCTAAGAAAATGAAATCCCCACCAACAATCACACAAGACATATTAAAGTTTGTCCCTGAGATCAGGCAGGATAGTTTGGATTTTAATGGACAAGTATCTGAGCTACCAGATAGTTTATCTAACGATGGCATGCTAGATGCAGATCAGGTGACTTTAAGCTCAGAATGTACATCCACAATTTCAGTTATAGGTTATGAAAGCCCTTCATTAAATCGTCCAGCAAGATCTATTAAACAGAAAACATCTTCCCAAGCAGTAGACAGACCTAAACTACTGGTGGCTCGGAGAAACAAAAAGAAAGGTGAAGAGGGAAGTAAGAGGAGTGAGGAGAGAAATTCTGAGTATGCCCAGGGTGGGGTTGCCAGTCTAGCAGAGACTAAAGACACTTCAGTGGCTAAAAAATGGACTGATCATTCTCCTAATGTTGATAAAGGAAAGCACAGAAGCAAAAACAAGTGTATGGTAAGTTTTAAGTTAGTAAAGCTGCCTAATTACTTTCTGATTTATTATTGAAGGGTCAGTGTAGATTATTCCTGGTATCTAATTGTTTGAATAATAAATAATGTATTATATGGTTTACATAGTTCTGTCATCTTCATTATTAATTGTTTTATTCTTTTAACTAACTAGCAGGATGATGTTGATAAAGAGTCAGAGCAACTGCTGGAGAGAGTAAAAAATTTAAAAACTCCTGCTTTGAGTGAGTTGGATGAGACTACTAGCTCTACAACTAAGACTCTTGAAGACAAATCAATAGACTCCAGAAAAAGGAGACCCCAGTTGTCATCAGCTGAAGAGGATAGTGTTTACTCATTAGGTTCACCCAAACCATCTAGAAGTACAATTTCACTGTTGATCGATGATTGTTCTTCTCAAAAGTTGGAGAAAAAACGTGATACTGAAACCAAAAGGTTAGCACAGAATGGTTCTGAATCAAACGGGTGTCTCAGGATAAGCTTTACAATTATTGTTATATAAGAAGCCCAGAATTTATTGTTTTTTGTACCCACGCTTCTTAAAGAGTAATTTCTATTCAAATACCACACTATATATTGCAAAGTTAATTGAGTGGTACAGGAAATTGTGTAAAAAGAAAATTTCATTTGAGAAAAGAAATAATTAAATGAAATCAAAAGTAAATTCATATTTTCTCCTGAAAATCTGAGTTAAGTATTAGACCAAGTACTATGTTTGGTTTATTAAGTTATTTTATGCACCAAGGCTGCAGCAGAATGATGTTAGAAAATAAAAAAAATGACTAGGGTTTTTTTTTTAATATAATTATATCATCATTTATTCAAAGAAAAGTAAACACAGCTTCAAATAACTGCTATAGCCATATTGTGCTCTAGGCTAATGATTAATACTTATTCATTCGAAAAAAAACAAAGGAATAAAGAAAAAAAACAGGAATAAATAGAACAAATTTTAGGGACCAATATGGGCATCATTCCAGGTTTAAAGAGTTGATATGATCACATTACACCTATTTTTAATTAAAAAAGCTTGTGTGCTGATTTTAATTTTATTGTTTTTTTTTCTTAAACTTGAAAGTAAAGTTATGGATCCCTTCCTGGATTGTGTGTTACATTAAGTATTTTTATCTCTTAGCCAATCACCTGAAATAAAACGAAGAAGAGCAGCTACCAAAGTAAACTATGCTGAACTACCCCTGAACTCGTAAGCTCTATATTAGTTTTATTTTATTTTAATAATATACTTAACAGCAGAAGCTTTTATTTATTTGCTATCATCTTGTTTGTTGTAAGCTCTAATTTCAGTACAAGACTTATCAATAGCTTACACCTAAATGTTGTTATTGATAAAACATTTAACTTTTGCAATATTTTTCAGTAAACTTAGGAGAGGAGACCCTCACACTTCACATTATTGCTCATCTGAAAAAATTGAGATATTTAAGTCTCCAAAACCTAAAGGTAATAATCGTTAGGTTAACATAGTACTCTAGTAAATTACTGGTCAAGTATTTAATTCTGTAAAGGGTTAACTTAATATAGTACTGTAGTTACTCACTGATAGTCATTGTAGAGCGTTCTTAGTTTTGAAAGCAGTAAAAAAATTGTTTCAGGTAAAAAGAAACCTACTGTACAGAGGGATGTCCTAGGATCCCTTCACAACAACAGCATCAAAGAAATGGATGAAAACTAACATTTTTAGCTGCCTTGGGTTGTTTGTTAGTAGGTTTTTACAAGTTTTAGGGGTTTTAATACTGTCCTATTTGTTAGGATTGATTGTTTTAAAATCATGTATTTATTTATTCATATTGTCTTAAATTTTAAATTTGTTTACACATTCACATGTGTACATTGTGCATATTGTATGCATCTTGCCCTTTCAGCAATCAATTAACCCTTAAAGCACATCAAGCCACGATCGTGGCTTTGCTGTTACATAACTTATACCACGTAAGGCCATGTGGCGTGCACTTTAAGGGTTAACAAATACTTTGCTGGTAGTAGGGGTGCCTGTTGGTAAAAATTGAGAGTAACAATAATTCTTTTTAATGCTGTTTTTCATTGACATAAAGAAATTTTAGTTTTATAATAAATGTAGTCCTAGAGATTTAATAAATCTGTTGTTAATCAAACGAGAGATAATCCTCTGCTAGAGATCATTTTTCTTTTGACCTCCAATTTGTGTTTAATCATGCATTAAACACAAATGTAAAAGTAAACACAATTGCAATTATGTTACACCTTTTTACAGCATTGGAAGGATATTTTTTCCCCATTGGTTATATAACCAATGTCCAAATTAAGGAATATATTATAAGAAAGTATTGTTCTGTCATTTAAAAAGTTTAGCTTAAAACAAAGGGAACAAAAGTATGATTGCTGTAGCTTTATTTAAATTTGTAAATAAATGTCACAGATGTCAATAACTATAACTTTTTTTAAAGATTGTGCTGTTATTGTTGTGAATGTGGTCTTGTTTGCTCTTGTCTTTTTCAAATCTCCTGACAATGTTTATCAGATTAAAATGCTTTACTAAGATGCTAACTGCACATCTTTTAATCCATGTGGACATCTAATGAATGTTTAAACTTAACATTGCTCTAGCTGCTGAAATTGTTTTGTTTGAACAAAAAATAAATCTTATCCCATATTGGTAGTGTTCCTTTGAATCTTCCTAAACTCATTCGTTGTTTAGCGTAAATCATTGTATTTGCATTTGAATTTTTTTCTCTAAATAGCAAATGATTAACTTTTATAGATAGTTTTAATGCTCATCGTTTTTATCAAACACATCAGTCTATTTTCATCATATTGTTTTTTTCCTAACATTAAAAAAAATGTATATAAAAAGATACCTACAGGATTGTATCCTATATTTTGTCATTAAACATGCACATTTTACAATTTTTTTTTCTGGCTTCTTTTTGGATTTAACAATCACCTTATCTCTCCTGTTATTCTCTTTCTCCCCTTTCACCTGGAGTAAGAATAGTGTAATAGCTTGAGATTAATCTGTAATATTTTTTTTTTCAAACATCAGTACAGCGATAGTACACTTAATTTGTATTATTGTCAACACTAAAACCCCATATTTTGGTATCTGTTGATCTAAGCCAGGGGTCTCCAAACTTTTCAGCCCGAGGGCCGCATTAGTTATAAAATATCAGTTCGGGGGCCAGAGTTTCTTCAATGCATGTCTTTTTGGGCTGGTAGACAATATATACAAATTTCAAGTGCCACCCCCCCCCCCCTCACCGGAGAAAAAATTCTGAAACAAACACTGTCGGGGGCCACAACACACTCGAGGTTCAAGTTTGCTCTCAAATTATTCTTCACGTATTTCAATCTTGAAAATGTTTGTTCACACAGTGTAGGGGGGGTGGAAGCAGGCGTTGTAACTGAAATAGCAATATTAACAGAGAGTGATATTTCAACGCCAAGGGTATGTTGTTCCAAAATTTGAAAGGTAGGCCTACTTTGATGCAAATGTTTTACTATTATGATAGTCTTCCTTGGGCAAAATCTTATTTAAAAAAAAAAGTATTTAAAAACTTCTTTGAACTTGTCTCTAAGGAGGTCATTCGCTTGCAATTCAATATCCTCCACCTGCAGTTCATCTTTGCAACTGGCCACATTTGCTTCAAATGGGTTTTGAAACAGTCTCACTTCTTCTGCCTTGGAATCCAAGTCAGAATACCGCTACTGAAACTGCAGCTGGAGGTCTTTGATGATCTTGCAAGCAAATGACGTGGGGAACTCAGTGGTTGCTTCAGCCTTAAAGACCTTGCACTGCTGAGAGTGCGTCAAGTTTTTGGCCTGTACTTGTTCCAAAAAACACGACAAGTTTGGATCTGAAGGCCTTTAGGTGGGTGTATAGATCAGATACTAGATTTGCCTCTCTTGTAGTTTTAGGTTCAGAAAATTAAAATGTCTAGTTATGTCTGCAGCAGAGGCCAATTTCTATACCCACTCTTCATCAGACATTAATGGCTGTAGCTTGCCTTTACCTCCCAGTAAGTCTCCTTTCTTAACTTAAATACTCTGCTCAGAACTTTCTCACAACTTAGCCATCTTACTGCTGTGTAATATGGTAAATATTGCGATTCTGTGCCTGTCTTTCAACATGTCTCTTAACTATGATTAAGCCCATGTGACCTTATTAAATTCACCATCGTGATTCAGTACACTGCTTGTGTCCACATATTTAGCACACAAATCTTACAGGTGAATAATACAGTGTAGGAACATTGGTTCTAGAATGTTTTTTCTCATTCGCTTGTTCAACCAAGCCTTTCTTCATGCCACACATCAAAAGTCAGGTAACAGAAGTTAGTCCAGTCCAAGTTATAATCAGCAAATGTTTTTTTTAACTCATTGAATATATCCTCTCCGGTAACAGTGCCAAACATGATATGTAGGGAAGCCTATTGTGTTCATGTCTTCATACACACCTCTAATAGTTGGGAGTTGGAACAGCGACTCATCCATTGCAATTTAAAAAATAATTTAAAAACCTGCTTGCGTTTTCCGCTAATTGAGTCACAGTGTTTTCACCAATGTCTGCAACATGGCGTGCATTGGTGTTTGCACCCAAAGCTACATTTTCAAATTGTTTTGAATTTTCGGGGCAAAGTTCCTCAGTCACCTCTAACAAACATTTTTTCCGTGGACACATAGATCTCCGCGGGCCGGATAAGAGGACCTCGCGGGCCGCATCCGGCCCGCGGGCCGTAGTTTGGAGACCCCTGATCTAAGCAATACTTCAGTTTAAGAAAAAAAAGTGCTAGACTTAATACCTTTACAACAACAAAAATAAACACCTTGTGGCATGTGTATATAAATAGATCCCTTTTATTTTTAAAATCATTGATTGGCTTGTTTAAGCTGCCTCGACTAGAACTCCCCATTTAAAAGAATGGTGTACTGCTTTTATGGCCGTCAGTTGGACATTTGCCCCTTGGTCAATCAGATGTCTTCCCTGGGTCAATCAATGCTTCGAATTGATTTGTAAAGCTTGGGCCATTTTGGCGAGTGCATATATTTTACTCCTGATATCATCATCTCAATGTTCAGTACTTGTATGTGTGTATTCATCTCAATCAATCTTATACAGTTTTGTCCTGAAACTAGCGGGGTCTTACAGGAGTCAATCTGATACAGTATTGTCCTCCAACTAGCAGGGTCTTACAGTAGCAGACCTGGACATGGCAGAGAAATCCATATTATCACATAAAATGTACACAAAACTTGTGTAACATTGTTTTCTCTCAATTGCTAGTCATATGCAGCTATATGGATGATGGAGTCATTAACTTTTTAAGCAGACGCACTATACGTCACAAGCACACGTCATACAGACTTACCTGCAACTAACCCTCACAATCGCACGTCATACAGACGTAGCTACACCTAAGAAGCACACCTCATACAGACGTACCTGCAACTACCCCTCCCTCACAATATCACGTCATACAGACGTACCTGCAACTACTAACAATCGCATGTCATACAGACTATTGCAGACGTAACTACACGTAACAAGCACACCTCATACAGACGTACCTGCAACACATGCAGTCATAAAGCTGGCACAGTGTCCTACGACCATAGAGCGCAAGATGTACTTGAAGATGACTTTCTTACGGTGGGGCATCAGCACGATGTAGCAGCCCATGATGATGCCGACACTGATGAAGTTGGCGAACCCACACAAGGCGTAGGTTGTGATCACCTCTGAACGTTCCTGAAGTCAAGCGGTTTTTTAAATAGAGCAGGCTATAGAAATGGTTTAACTAGGTATGAGGCTTGGCTAATTAATTAAGAGGCGACTTTGCTTATCACAGATGTAGTTTATAAGTGACGTCGTGCGTTTTGTCGATTATTTAATTCCATCACAAAAATAGCAGTTTCTATAGTATTCATTATTGTGGTCCACTTAGGTCCTTATATTTATCAAGGTTAGTTATAACAGTTTTTAAAGAAAAGAATCCTTTAAAATGCGAAATAACAGCTTAAGTTGAATAAGCCTACTGTTAAATTAGATTTCATTTTGTGTGGCGTCACAATTGTTCTAACCCCCCTACTGCAACTCCTAGTTAGTCGTCAGTTATGGAGATCTTAATTTACAAGTTTTGTCATTAATTAACGATTGGAGGAACAATTAGGCAAACTTAAATTTGAATATTACGTAGACTAGTGTTAATTTTTCTTCACCCCGAACTCCGTATTCGACTTCACCGCTGACCATGGTAATACGTACGGACAGGAACCCCCGGGTCAAGGTCATATTCCAGCCATGTAGAAAGACGTCTCCCGTGCCGGGGTCGAGCGTGTAGACAGTCAAGTTTTGTGACTGGTAGTCCTCATAGAGTTTGCGGTTTTTGCGGTAAACGCCCAGCTCGCTGTAGGCCACAAGTTCGTTGAGGAACACTTTGATGCCCAGCAGTTCAGCTACCTGTCTCCCGTCATCCACATCCACGCCCATGGATAGAGCCAGTGGATAAAAAAGGAAGGAGCAGATCCACTGTTGGATGAAAATATATCGTAGATAATAGCAGAAAGATCAGAAGAGAGTACCCTAGGAACGGTTCGAGTAAGAAGGACAGATGATATACTATTCTAGCCTACGCAGTAGCGTAGCCAGGATCGTCTCAAGGGGGGGGGGGGGGGGGGGGGGGGGGTTCCAATTTTTACCCGGGGACAAACTTTCGATTTGCAACCCCCCCCCCCTCAAATTTCGATTTGCACCCCGCTAAAACTTTCGATTTACACCCCCCCCCCTGCCTACGTCACTGAGCCTACGAGTAAAGACACCATACAGTATCGGCTCGTTAATTAATTAAATAAACCGGGAGTGATCTCCCCGAAACTTTCTCGAATATTCTTATATAACTTGAAATATAGACATGATTTTTAATTTCTTAAACTTTTAAAAATAGAATAGAATCTCGTAGAAAAAAGAATTGCGCACCAAGCGAACGCCAAAACAAAATGTGCATAATAGTGCGCAATATTATTAGTAATTTATAAATTTACATGCGTTTTTTGAAAAATCGAAAATAGCGTAAATTAGTACTTCCGGTAAACGGAAATTACTCAAAATTTGACAGAAGGTAGAGAATTAAATCTTTTACTTATATGTGAAATTTCATTTATCTATCTGAAATAGTACTCAAGTTATAGGCTTTTGAAAAATTCAAAGTAGAAAAAGTACCACTTCCGGTTATCGGAAATCGCTCAAAAGTTGATCAGGATCTACGATTTTGATAATATATATATATATATATATATATATATATATATATATATATATATATATATATATATATATATATATGAAATTTCATCAACCTAGCTGTAACGGTACTCAGGTTATCGTGTTTACACACAGTCAGACAGACACACAGACACACAGACATACGGACAAGATCAGTGTTTCTTCCAGACTTTTTTCTCCGGGGGGGCACTTGAAATCTTCGGGGGGGCGGTAAACTTTCTTCGGGGGGGCGGACACTGTTAAAAGTATATATTTTCTATATAAATTATATAAATTTCATTTCGTTCGGGGGGGGGGCGGTAAAAAATTTTCGGGGGGGGGGGGGGGGGCTTCGCCCCCCCGAAGAGATGCCTGGAAGAAACTCTGGACAAGATAGCAAAATTATGTTTTTCCGTATCAGTGAGGTGTAAAACGTCGAGATTTGTAAAATTCTCGATTTTCTTTTTTGCACGATTACAAGACTTTCTCTATACGAGAAAGTAACAAATGACTGCATATGGAACAGTGATATATATATATATATATATATATATATATATATATATATATATATATATATATATATATATATATATATATATATATATATATATATATTACACACACAGACACACACATTTATATATATATATATATATATATATATATATATATATATATATATATATATATATATATATATATATATATATATATATATATATATATATATATATACTTGAAGTTTTAGGACGGGGGGTGATTTAAATTTTCTGGGGAGGGGTCGGATACTGGTAAAAGTGTATTATATCTATATAAATTCTATTTCGTTGATTGGGACGGTAGACGTTCTTCGGGTTGGGAGGGACTGAGCCCACTCCCCATTCTCCACGTAGAGTCGCCTGAAAGAAACTCTAACTGCGACTTTTGTCATGTTTGAGTTTTGGTGCAAGGTTTAGGGGTATGGCAACGACTATATTTATTATCAATGTGCAGTAACTACATGTAGATCAAGGTTAAATTCGATAAAAATACCGATTCTGGATAAAAATCAGTTTTCTACGTAATTTTTTGTTTCTGGATTAATTTGAAGTTAAGGTGGTGATTTCGGTTTCGGCTTAGAGAAAAGAGACAACACTATCAATTAGCACCCATTGTATCTTTCCGCAACGGGTCATTCATCTCGTGTCTATATAACATTAACAACGAGATATTACGATTTCACAACTGTTCTAGCATTGTCCAGTGGCTAGTGGGCCCAACACAAACAACAGTGCCCTACTTGTAGTGTTAGATTCTTGATTCCCACCAGCTGTCCCAACCAGCCTAGTGTTGAGTTGATCATCTTCATAAAGCTGACCACGGCTGTCGAGTTGGCCAGTATAGATGCAGCGAGAGTAGTGGCACTGACCGCGCCACTAGAGGCCGCGTCGATCACACTTCGGTACCTGACGCAAGAAAGGATCAAATACACACCAATATCCATTTTATGTCAGCTATCATACAACAACGGAACAAGTACACACCAAGTACACTACCTAACTTTTGCGTTGTTTCTCCACTATATCGCGATTTGTCCTTAGCTGATCTTATCTCTGTAATAATAATACCTTTTGTAGCCACGCTTATCTTTTATTCTCGTTTACCTATGGAGTAATGCTTACCCTTGTTGCCAAGCTGACCATACCTTCTTGTAAAAACCAGCTCCTGGCCACCCATCCGAGCCTTACGTATGCTGGTTTCTGGGACTGCCAGGTTGGCCAAAGATAAAGCTGCTGGAGCTGACATCACAGAGGCTGCCAGGAGATGATCCGCAGATATCTAATCAATAATATAATGGGGATTATCCATATCTTTCACATATCTGTAGATATCTAATAATTTTTTTAGGTAGTATCCCTACTTTTACTTATTCGCATATTCTAATCAATAATTGAATAGGGATTATCCCTTTTTCACACAACTGCAGATATCTAATCAATATGCTAATCGAATGGGTATTATCCATCTTTCACATATACCACTACTACAGTTATCACAACGAAACAACGCTTTAAGCTTGATATCCCAATGATACTGATAATGAATAAGTAGATATGTTTTAATCGAGTCGTCCACCCCCCCCCCCTCCACAAAACAATTTTTCAAGAGTCACAGCTCACCCCAAACGCGATGTATAAACCAATGATGCTTCCCGTTACTGTGGACATGGCGCTAGACATAAAGCAATGGAGCTCTGAGGAAGTCAGATATTTTAAATATGGCCTCACAACCAGAACAGAATCCAGCTGAAAAAATATCACAATCAGTCTACATATTGCTTTAAAAATTATGCTTAAGTTAAAATTATTTACTTAAACTAATACATTCTAAGTAATGAATTTTTAAAAAAATCAGCCGTAACATCAGTAACTAATTAATTAAATCTTACTGGCCCCATGAAGATGTTGGCCGAGGCATTGAGTGACTCAGCGGGTGACGCGCCTGTGCAGAACGCCAGAAACTTGCCCAATATCTTCAGCAGGACGTGAAGCACCCCCAGTTGTTCAAGGACAGATAAAAAGGCGATGACGAAAATGATGAGAGGGATTAGCTAAAGAGGAAAAAGATTACAAGTTCCCACATTTTTGGTCCAATTAGTAGGCCTAAAAAGAAGAAATACATTGCAAGTATCCAGATTGTTCAGTTTGTAGGTTTAACTTTTACATTAAGTTTGAGTATAACCTTTCCTAACATTATTGAAAGAACCTCTTGATATTTACTTACATGAAAAACGAATCCGTTGGATTTGAGATCAGTCCCAAACAAAAACTGCCCGCCTTCTTTGGAGAACGAGACCAGAGTAGTGACAACCTCCCCCACCCACCGGAATATCTGGTGCACCCCGGGAACTCGCAGAACAGCCAAGGCAAACACGTACTGCATCAACAGACCAGTGACCACTGGTCGCCATATTATCTGGGCAAAACAAACACAAGTAGTAATTTTCGAAACCTGACGACCAACGGGGCAGATGAAGTTTACCTGTTTCTGTGACCTCGGCATTCGAAGGGATAACATAGTCACCACTATGCCCAGGTGCCAATCAGAGTTGGATGGACTGAAGGACATACTATGACTCTAGCCAGGGACCCGGTTTAGCTGTCGAACGCTATACGATTCGACCACCTCGTCCCATTATTATCTGGGTAGGATATGAATATTCCTTCGATACTCCCTTTCATTTTTATTTCCCGAATTTTACAGCCCCAGAGACCACACCATCTCGACATACCAGCAACTCACTCAACCACCAAACATCAAATATCCAAGCACTAGCTTCTTACACTGTAAGCTAACGGATACATACACGTACACAGACGCACTGACAATCACAATCACAAACACATAAACTTAATCTCAGACACCGACATAAACAGACACAGAAAGACAACCAGACTTAGTATTTACTTTATGAGGATGTGAGGATGTGATGAAAAACGTCAGCAACATGGCGGCCATGCCGGTGAGAGAGACGAGGTTTTTAGGACGGACCATGATAACTTCTGTCACCAATGTAGCCACTGTCGCCACAACACAGGCCAAAGCTGTACTTCTGGAAATTCAAATGTTTGTTCATTTGATCTTCAAACAAATGTGTTTCGTTTTAAGAACTCAATAACTTCATAAAACGGGCTTTTTAAAAAGACGTTTTCAGTTGGAAATTATGCTAGTGTATTTATTTTCCTTTGGTAATTTTCTAGCTCTTGTTATTTTAATATTTAAAAAAAAAAATGACTGGATGTCATTTTATAATGCTAATCGTAAAAGGAAGTTGAAAATGATATATTAAAAATATTAGATGATTAGTACCGTTTGAAGCGTTTTAGAGCTACAGGGTGCTTGGAAAACAACTTGCGTATCTTTGACGTCACACGATCGACATGCAGGTAACGATAGGACAAGGCAAGGACCAGGACAGCTGTCAGGACAATAAGTCCTGTAGATGTGCCGTCACTGTGGTGAAGGTACATAGCGTACACAAAGTAGGAGATGTACAAGAGCAGACAAGTCACGTGACGTGCCTTCTTTAGAGCTGAGCCTCTCTCTCGGCACAGCTTGAAGCATCGGCTTCTTGCAGCGTAAACTTGAAAGGTCAAAGTTCGTGTTTTTTCCGTTTCAACGTCCGTCTCACTCTCGCTGCTAGAGTCCTCCATCTGCTCCCCTCCTGCTATCTGTAACATTTCTATCTTCACTAATTCGTGGCTGGCTTTAGAAAGTTTAGGACTTTCTTGAAGTTTCTGACTTATGTCGTGAATTTCAGTCGGAGACTCCAAATTACAGACATCGACTTTTTGATGTCCGGCTAAAGACCGTTCATCTGGGATCTGTTGTTGATGTCCCTCTAAATACCGTTCATCTGGGATCTGTTGTTGATGTCCGGCTAAAGACCGTTCATCTGGGATCTGTTGTTGATGTCCCTCTAAAGACCGTTCATCTGGGATCTGTTGTTGATGTCCGACTGAAGACTGTCCATCTGGGATCTGTTGTTGATGTCCGGCTAAAGACTGTCCATCCAAGATGGGATGTTGACGCCCAGTGAAAGACGGCCCATCAGCACTAGTCTGTTGATTGCTGACCAAATTCCGCACTTCTAAATCTGGGTGCTCCGCGTGTCGATTTTCTGTTTTGAGGTCAAATGCCCGCAGACCGCCTCCATGTTCGTCGTTTTGAGCCATAGCGAGGTTCAAAAGCTGACTAGATCCATGAACATAAAACTGTCTTTAAGAAAAGGCGAAAAAGTATTAATAAAAACTCAAAATCATTGGCAAGTTTTGCCCAAAACAAAGAAACTATCAAGTTTTGAGTCTGGCATAAGACACCCCAATTATGTTTTCAATTGCTTATCAATGAAACGATGAAAATATCAAATGAATTTTTACCTCTGAGATGCATTGTCGTACCCATGGTGGATGGAGTGAGAAGAAGGGTGTCCCTGGCAACGGCGGTAAAGTTAGGATTTTTTTGGCCCTGTATAAATAAAATTCATTTTAAAAATTGCATTACAATATGGTAGAAAGCATGCATCTATTAAGAATTATTTGATGAATATACCTACAATTTGGTTATTATGAAGATTCAATAAGAGACTTTCAATACCTTCATGATATTATTGAAAAGTCCTTTTTAGTTTCTTCATGTATCATAATTGTTCTCAAAGGGTGGGTTTCTTGTTATGTATTACGGCGGGTGGTTAATTTAACGGTTAATCGTGAGAATAAAAGCTACATTGTTATGTTATACAATATGTACACAACCCCGAGACGAGTGTCTGTTGGTCTCAAACAGCAGGATTAAACGTATGTCTATTGCTGGCGTTTGTAATTAAAGATGGAGGTTGAATCTCGAATAAATCGTAACAAGACAGAATGTAATGCCTACCTGTCTTACAGCAGCATTTACGTTATTTTCTTCGTTGCTAAACAGCTTCACCATTTATCGCAAGTGTGTCTGGACACGCGATTACTACGAGGCTAAGTTCCATTGTTTTTCACTAGAACACAATTGCGTACAAGTCACGTGACCCGCTTGATTCCCCGAGGGTGGACGTTTCCAGGTCGTCACAGTTACAGAAAGTTAACGAAATTATAATGTTCATTTACTTTATTCCAATCTGGCAAGCCAGGCGACATGACGTATCAGCGTAGCAAATCGTTGGCCAGGTGCTGAAGGCATCAACCTGTCAGTTGCTGACAGGAAAATTAATCTTCGGTGGATCTTGGCCAGTGTAAATGCTAATGTCCAAACAATATTTTTCTAGGGCAACCATTATGGGCTATTATATTATAAAAATGATTGTATATGTCAAGACATTTGCTATATATATCAGAATAGGGCCTAGGCCTAATGGCGTCACCAGGTCGGGTGTCAACCGGTGCGGTGATTGAGGGTGTCACCATCCTCGTAATATTTTGAATTTTTCCCTATTGTTATATAACCGATAAATAAATTAAGGAATCTATAATATAACGCTAGTGGTAGTGTGTCAGTCCTTCCGTCATGTCAATAGATTTTAGAACCATAAAAGTAAACACACCACATGTCGTGCTTTTTACTTGCATTGCAGTGTCTTATAATTAAAAAAAATAGGAAGGGTTTATTTATATAAGGACTAAAATTTGTTGTATAGGTGGCACCGTTTTTATTATTTCGCATAACGTAAATAAAATATTAAATAAACACAAATTGCTAAAACATATTAAACGGATCAATGTCAAATAATATTTACGATTAGGTTACTTGAAAATCGGATATATTTTAATAACAAATTATTAAAATATTTTTTCATTTTGCAAGGGGAGGTAATTAAAAAAAATTCAACTCACGCTAATAACAAAATTTGAATGCAAATTCTGCGGAAGTGTAAGAAGACATTATTGTTAAAATATTATAATTAGTATGGATTGATAAAATGAGCCGTGGTAGGTAAAACACGGATATTTTAAATATTGCCTTTTGTTTTCTAAGTTTAATCAGGCGCTTAAGCCGGCGCAACGGCCTGGTGCGATTTAGTACCCCGGGCTAGAATGTGAGCACCGCGTGTTTACGCCTCCATTTAAATTGTGTTTATGTTATGTGTTTGCGTTTTCGTTCGTGTTTTTTTGCGTTTGCATTTGTGATTGCATTGTGTTTGTGTTTATTTTTTCTTTTGTGTTTGCCTGTTGCTTTTATGTTTTTGTTTATGCTATTTTCGCGTTTGCATTTGTGTTGTGTTTGTGTTTTCGTTTGTGTTCGTGTTTGTGTTGTGTTGTGTTGTGTTTGTGTTGTGTTTGTGTTGTGTTTATGTTGTATTTGTGTTGTGTTTGTGTTGTGTTGTGTTTGTGTTGTATTTGTGTTTGTGTTTGTGTTGTGTTTGTTTTGTGTTTGTGTTGTATTTGTGTTGTGTTTGTGTTTGTCTTGTGTTTGTCTTGTGTTTGTCTTGTGTTGTGTTTGTGTTGTGTTTGTGTTGTGTTTGTGTTGTGTTGTGTTTGTGTTGTGTTGTGTTGTGTTTGTGTTGTGTTGTGTTGTGTTTGGGTTGTGTTGTGTTTGGGTTGTGTTTGTGTTGGGTTTGTGTTTGCGTTGTGTTTTGTTTTCTTTTGTGTTTGTGTTTAGTTTTGTTCCATCCCAAGTTGGTACATTTATAAAAGATTCACCGTGGCGGAGCACGGGTATGCAGCTAGTCTATAATATAAGCGGGCTTGTAGTGTGTCAGTCCTTCCATCATTGCTATAAATTTTGGAACCATAAAAGTAAACTCCTCACATGTCGTGCTTTTTTACTAGCATTGCAGTGTCTTATAATATAAAGTTGGGTTTGTTTATATAACCACTTAAATTTATTTTATAGTTGCTACAGTTTTACTCTTTCGTATAACGTGAAAAAAATATTAAATACACGCAAATTGCTAAAACATATTAAACGGATCAATGTCAAATATTTTTAGCGCAATTTCCATTCTGGAGAATTGCGTTTATTAACCCGTCATTTCTGGATGTATGGATGTATGAATGGATGTGTGTCCGCAGCTTTAAGTCGCATCTCCTCCCCAACGAAGCAGTATCGAGGACTAGTTTCAAAGCAATTATGTTAAGCAAGTTACGAGGATGAACATAGGCCAAAAAAATTCCGGGTTTCTTTCATGGATTTCCCGGAAAAGCAAAAAACCTCGAAAAAATGCAGTTTTTGGCCCATATCTCGACAACCAGACCACTTAGCGACTTGAAACGTTTGCCAATCGATTCCTGCCATAATTTAGAACAATATTGCCGAAGAAAGTTTTCAAAAATATCCTTTCGTTCGGTCACAAAATTTTTTTTGAATTAATTAAAATTTGGACCGAATTAGTAGGCATTTTTATCCAACCACACCACACGCGTCATCACGTTCAACAGCTGCGCCATCACGTTCAATGGCTGCGTCATCACGTTCAGTAGCTAGGCGCGCAATGGTTTTTAGTCATGTAACTCTATTGTAAATAAAACATGTAAAATACTGAATTTTTTTAAAATAAAAAACGTTTTAATAACTGAGCAATGGTTTTACTAACCCTGCTCTTGATTTACGCTACGACAGAGCTATTTTTAGATAACATAAGGAAATTGCGCTTAAATGTCACTAGACTTTTTAATTAACTTGTTTTCGTTTAGATTCCTAGAAAAAGTGGATACCTTTTAATAATAGGAGGGTCTTAAAATCTAATTTATTAAACTGTTTTGTAATTTTGCCAAAGGAGGTAATTTAAAAATACATTCAACTCATGCTAATAAAAAAATGTGAATGCAAAATCTCCAAGAGGGAATTATTGTTAGAATATTATAATTAGCAAAATGTGAATGCAAATCTGCAGAGGACATTATTATAAGAGTTCATTATTGTTGGAATATTATAATTAGCATGGATTGATAAAAGGCTATCTTTTATTTATGTTATTCACTAAACATACTGTCTACTAATTATAATTTTTAATTAACTATTTCGCGTTCATTAGGCGCGCCATGTTTTTAGTCATGAAACTCTTTTGTAAATTTTTAAAATTTAATGTACTGAAAAAATGCAAGAATTGATAAAGTGCAATATGGTAGGTAAAACACGGATATTTTAAATACTGCCTTTTATTTATTTTATACACTGAACGTACTGTTTACTAATTATTATTCTATCTTTCCGTATCTGGACAAGCTGGTTTTTTATAGTCATTCATTGAATCTGGCGCTTCCGTATGCGCTCGGACAGGGTGCAATTTGGCGCCACGGGCTAGACTGAGCACTATCCGTTTATGTTTGCATTGAAGTTGTGTTTTTTTTTTCGTTTGTGTTTTTTTTTTTGCGTTTGCATTTGTGTTTGCATTGTATTTGTGTTTTCATTTGTGTTTTTCTTTGCGTTTTTTTTTGTGTTTGTGTGTTGCGTTTGTGTTTTCGTTCGTTTTTGCATTGTATTTGTGTTTTCTTTTGTGTTTGTGTTGTATTTGTGTTTTCTTTTGTGTTTGTGTTGCGTTTGTTTTTTCTTTTTGTGTTTATGTGTTGAGTTTGTGTTTGCATTGTGTTTGTTTGCATTGTGTTTTCTGTGTGTTTGTCTGTGTGTTTGTGTTTTCTTTTAATCCATGTGGACATCTGAATGAATGTACAAACTTAACATTGCTCTAGCGGCTGAAGTTGTTTTGTTTGAATAAAAATAAATCTTAACCCATATTGGTAGTGTTCCTTTGAATCTTTGTAAACACATTCGTTGATTACTGTAAATCCTTGTATTTGCATTTGTTTGTATTTTCAAACATCCATACAACGACATTAACTTAATTTGTATATTATCAAGACATTATGGTATCTGTTGATCTAAGCAATAGGCCTACTTAGGTTTAAGAAAAAAGGTCCTAGACTTAATACCTTTGCAATAACAAAAAATAAACACCTTGTGGCATGTGTATATAAATAAATCCCTTTTATTTTTAAAATCATTGATTGGCTTGTTTAAGCTGCCTCGACTAGAACTCCCCATTTAAAAGAACGGTGTACTGCTTTTATGGCCGTCAGTTGGACATTTACCCCTTGGTCAATCAGATGTCTTCCCTGGGCCAATCAATGCTTCGAATTGATTTGTAAAGCATGGGCCATTTTGGTGAGTGCATATATTTTACTCCTGATATCACCATCTCAATGTTCAGGGCTTGTGCACACACTTGCATGCGTGCGTTCATCTCAATCTGATACAGTATTGTCCTCAAATTAGCAGGGTCTTACAGGAGCAGACCTGGACATGGCAGAGAAATCCATATTATCACATAAAATGTACACAAAACTTGTGTAAGATTGTTTTCTCTCAATTGCTAGTCATATGCACACACACAACACCCCACAATCGCAAGCCATACAGACGTAGCTACACGTCACAAACGCACGTCATACAGACGTACCTGCAACTACACCTCACAATCGCACGTTATTTAGACGTAGCTACACATAGCATACCTGCAACACACGCAGTCATAAAGCTGGCACAGTGTCCTACGACCATAGAGCGTAGGATGTACTTGAAGATGACTTTCTTACGGTGGGGCATCAGCACGATGTAGCAGCCCATGATGATGCCGACACTGATGAAGTTGGCGAACCCACACAAGGCGTAGGTTGTGATCACCTCTGATCGTTCCTGTAGTCAAACGGTTTTTTATACTGTGTGTACGACAGAAATGGTATAACTAGGTAGGAGGCTTGTCTAATTAATTAGTGAGGCGACGTTGCTTATCACAAGGGTCGTTTATAAATTACGTCGCACTTTTAACCGAATTAATCCCCTTCCCTTCATCAAAATAAAATAAGTTTTTAAGTGTATTAATTAGAGTGGTCCAGGTTGTGCCTTACTCCTACATCTGGTCGTAGAATTCAAATCTCCCCTCTCTCAGGAGTAGGCGTCATTTGTTGAGGTTTCAAGTATAAATTATGTTATAATTAACTATTTGAGGAATAATAAGGCCTACCAACTTTATTATTATTAGGCCTACTAGTGTTAATTTTCTTTCACTCCAGGCTCCCATTAAATGAGTAACCTACTTCAACGCTGATCATGAGACAGTGATACATACGGACAGGAACCCCCGGGTCAAGGTCATATTCCAGCCATGTAGAAAGACGTCTCCCGTGCCGGGGTCGAGCGTGTAGTCAGTCAAGTTTTGTGACATGTAGTCCTCATAGAGTTTGCGGTTTTTGCGGTAAACGCCCAGTTCGCTGTAGGCCACAAGTTCGTTGATGAACACTTTGATGCCCAGCAGTTCAGCAACTTGTCTCCCGTCATCCACATCCACGCCCATGGATAGAGCCAGTGGATAAAAAAGGTAGGAGCAGATCCACTGTTGGATGAAAAAATATCGTGGATATAGCAGAAGGATCAGAGGAGAGTACCCTAGGAACGGTTCGTGTAAGAAGGACAGATGGTATAGTATTAGCCTACGAGTAAAGACACCTTACAGCGTGGGCATTTTGAATATCTTGAAAACGAATTGCGGCGTTATTTCCCTGAGCTAAAAGAAGAAGAAACTGCGCTGACCGGTAATCTACTCTCTGCTTCCCTTGATGTTGCCAGCATTTTCGATGAATCACTAAATTAACTCTTGGAATTATTCTGCGGTGATACCGTGTATAACGAAAAGTATATGAGGGTCGCGGTCACTTAGTTTCTATAAAAGGGTGTCGCTACTCGAAAAAGATTGGGAACCCATGCCCTACAGTATCGGCCCGTTACTTAACATTAAAAAAATGATGCACATTCAGCAGTGACTCAACTAAAAATATTACGTATATATATATATATATATATATATATATATATATATATATATATGCCTATAAGTATATATAGTGTTTATATGTCTATATAACGACGATACATAAAGATTTTGCAACTGCTCTAGCATTGTCTTGTTCGCCCAACACAAACAACAATGTCATACTTGTAGTGTTAGACTCTTGATGCCCACCAGCTGCCCCAACCAGCTTAGTGTAGTGTTGATCATCTTCATAAAGCTGAACACGGCTGTCGCGTTGGCCACTATAGATGCAATGAGAGTAGTGGCACTGACCGCGCCACTAGAGGCCGCGTCGATCACACTTCGGAACCTGACACAAGAAAGGGTCAAGTACACACCAATTTACAGTGTATGTCAGCTATCATACAAGAACGGAACAAGTACACAATTATATCCAGTGTATGTCAGCTATGATACAAGAACGTATCAAGTACACAACTATGCCTAGTGTATGTCAGTTATCGTACATGAAAGGATCAAGTACACACCAATTTACAGTGTATGTCAGTTATCGTATATACACTACCGAAATATCGTATGATTAATCTTCGCCAACTTTTGTTATTTCTCAACTATATCAAGTATTGCCACTCATTTTCACACTTACCATTATATCCACACTTACCTATGTAGCAAACGTAACGATGTAGACAAGCTCACCTTTGTATCCAATGGAACAGACCTTACCAATGGAACAGACCTTACGTTTGTAGCCAATTTTAACTTTGTATCCACGTTTACCTTTGTATCTACGCTTATCTTTATATCCAACGCTTACCTTTGTATCTACTCTTATCTTTGTATCCAACGCTTACCTTTGTATCTACTCTTATCTTTGTATCCTATGCTTACATATGGACTAATGATTACCTTTGTTGCCAAGCTGACCATACCTTCTTGTAAAAACCAGCTCCTGGCCAGCCCCTAGAGCCTTACGTCTGCTTGTTTCTGGGACTGCCAGGTTGGCCAAAGATAAAGCAGCAGGAGCTGACATCACAGAGGCTGCCAGGAGATGATCCGCAGATATCTGATCAATAATTTAATGATGATTATCCCTATTTTTACAAACCTCAGATATTTAATCTATATCTGTATGCGAATCATCCATCTTTCACATATCTACTGACATCTAATCAATAAATTAATAGGGATTATTCCCATTTTTACAAACTTTTATTTAACGCACTGTCTCTGTCTGTCTGTCTAGTTCAAAACGCCCGAGCGTAATTTCTAACTGACAGATACGGTTTGTAGTTGGTACATGGGTCAAGACATAAAGACAATGCAACATGACATTTCATTTGACTTAATTTGTTGCCTAATTATTTTTTTATGAATTAATTAAAACTGTATCCATATTAGTAGGCTGTCTTATCAAACTATTCCGGACTATTATACACGCGTCTTCAAGTTTATTATGTGCGCAATGGTTTTTAATCATGCAACTCTATTGTAAATTTAAAACATTTAAAACTGAAAAATAATAATAAAAAACGTTTAAATAACAAGCTTTTATGTAATAATGCACTAAAAAGTAGAAAATAATTTACACACTACTATTTAAATAACTATAAAGAAAAGCGTATGTTACTTTAATATTTATTGGATACCTTTACTCACATTTAGGAACCCACGCTTTTCTTCATAGTTATTTAAATTATAGTGTATAATTTATTTTCTACTTTTTAGTGCATTATTACATAAAAGCTTGTTATTAAAACTTTTTTTTAATTCATTTTTTACATGTTTTATTTAACTCACTGTCTCTGTCGCCAGTCGTCAGTCTAGATCGAAACGCCTGAGCGAAATTAAGGGCACTTCTAACTGACAGATAAGGTTCAAAGTTAGCACGTGGGCCAAGACATGAAGACGATGCAACATTACATTAAACTTGACTTAATTGGTTGCATAATTAATTTTATGAATTAATGAAAATTTGCACAAATTAGTTGGCTGTCTCATCAAACTCTTCACGCGTCATCACATTCATTAGGTGCGCAATGGTTTTTAGTCATGCAACTCTATTGTAAATTAAAAATATTTTCAGTACTGAAAAAAATTCATAAACAAGTTTTAATAACAAGCTTTTATGTAATAATGCACTAAAAGTAAAAAAATAAATTATTACTATTCAAATAACTATAAAGAAAAGCTTTGGTCTCTTTTTAAATATTAGTAAAGGTATCCGATAGATACTAAAGTGACCCATGCTTTTCCTTATAGTTATTTAAAAAGTAGTGTATAATTTATTTTCTCCTGTTTAGAGCATTATCACATAAAAACTTGTTATTAACACTTTTTAAATGATTTTTTTCACTTATATTATTTCATGGGAACTATCCTTATATTTCATATATTATCTAAATCTTCCACCAATACCACTTCTACAGTCATCACAACTAAACAACGCGTTACGCTACATTAAAAGTGATATCTTTATTATACTGATAATGAATTAGTAGGTATTTTTTTTAATCCACCCACCCACATTTTTCAAAGAATCACAGCTCACCCCAAATGCGATGTATAAACCAATGGCGCTTCCCATTACTGTGGACATGGCGCTAGACATAAAGCAATGGATCTCTGATGGTGTCAGGTATTTTAAATATGGCCTCAAAACTAGAACAGAATCCAGCTGAAAAAAAATATCACAATCAGCTTACACGTTGATTAAAAAAATATGCTTAAGTTATGTGTTTCTTCCAGACTTTTTTTTTCTGGGGGGACACGTCGTCGTCCGCCGTCCCCCTTTCCTCGAAGAGATGCATGGTAGAAACACTGCTTACGTTGAAATAATTTATTTCAAATAGTACATTCTAAGTACATTCTAAGTAATAAATTTCTAAAAAATTCAGCCGTTACACGAGTAACTGATTAATTAAATCTTACTGGTCCCATGAAGATGTTGGCCGAGGCATTGAGTGATTCAGCGGGTGACGCGCCTGTGCAGAACGCCAGAAACTTGCCCAGTATCTTCAGCAGGACGTGAAGCACCCCCAGTTGTTCAAGGACAGATAAAAAGGCCATGATGAAAATGATGAGAGGGATCAGCTAAGGAGGAAAAACATTGCATTTACCAAAATTGTTGTTCCAATTAGTAGGCCTAAAAAGAAGAAAAAACATTACAAGTACCAAATTGTTGGTCCAATTAGTGGGCCTAAATAGAAGAAATACATTGCAAGTACACAAAATGTTCAGTTTGTAGGCCTACATTTTACATTATGTTTCTGTATAAATAGTATAATCAGTCTTTCCTAATATTATTGAAAGTGACTCTGGGTCGTTACTTACATAAAAAACGAATCCGTTGGATTTGAGATCAGTCCCAAACAAAAACTGCCCGCCTTCATTGGAGAACGAGACCAGAGTGGTGACAACCTCCCCCACCCACCGGAATATCTGCTGCACCTCGGGGACTCGCAGAACAGCCAGGGCAAACACGTACTGCATCAACAGACCAGTGACCACTGGCCGCCATATTATCTGGGCAAAACAAACAAAAAGTAGTAATTTTTTAAACTTGACGACCAACGGGGCTGCTGAAGTAGAGTTCACCTGTTTCTGTGTCCTAGGCATATGAAGGGATAACGTAGCCAGCACAATCTTAGAATCACCCTTGTGTCCAGCACTCTCGACATACGAACAACTCATTCAACCACCAAACATCCAACAACCAGCTTCCTACACGGTGGACTAACGGATACATACACGTTCACAGACGCACCGACAATCATAAACACATAAACTAGAAGTCAGACATCGACATAAACAGACATAGAGACAAACAGACACAGACGCATATTGCTTAGTATTTACTTTATGAGGATGTGAGGAAGTGATGAAAAACGTCAGCAACATGGCGGCCATGCCGATGAGAGAGACGAGGTTTTTGGGACGGACCATGACAACTTCTGTCACCAATGTAGCCACTGTCGCCACAACACATGCCAAAGCTGTACATCTGAATATTCAAATGTTTTTTCCTTTAATCTTCAAACAAGTGTGTTTCTTTTTAAGAAACCAATTCCTTTATAAAACGGGCTTTTGAAAAAGAGGCATTATACATTTTTAGTTGGAATTTATGCTAGTGTATTTATTTTGCTTTCGTAAATTTTCTATGTCTTGTTTTTTTTAAAAAAAAAGACTGAATGTCATTTTATCTAGTATAGGGCTTACTACTAAAACTCAACTTTGTTTACATGCTTGAATATTTATTTGTTTTTTTTTTGTTTGTCTGATTGAATACTGGAGAGAATCGGCGCTAGGTGGAGAGCTTTAAAATAGTATGTAGGTAGAGAACAATTTTTGTTTTCAGACAGACTGTTAATCACACATTTATTTAAAGACGTCAATTAATTTATTGATTTATTCATTGGTAGATTAACCACATTAATTTTAAATTTTTCAAACAATGGCTATACCTTGACTGAATAGTGACGTCACATGATTTGTTTATTTTTTAGTACAATAAGATGGCGGCTTCCATCACAGACTTTGTAACCCATTTAAAAGTTTAACGCGTTTGAAAGCTAATGTTCTGTCGGCCATAACTTTAACAATACATCCGTTTGCTGTTTTTATTACGTTCCAACAGTTATATAAATTTTCAACTGTCTTTTTCATTTAGTTTTTCAATAAATTTCTCTAGCTCTACAATCTGTCCAAGAAAGTTATCTATTTATTTCTAGATCTAAATATCAGGTGGCCAAGAAAGTTATTTATATATCTAGATCTAGAATCTAGGTCAAACCAAAGATTAATTAGATACAAACCAAAGATTAATTAGATGAAAATACAATCCATTTTATAATCATAATACATTTTTTAGTCCTTAAATGTTTGATATAAATCTTTGTGATTTATCTATCTAGATCTAGATTTATCTAGCTAGAATAGGTCTAATGATTAGAATCTAGAAACTAGATCTAGCAAGAGTTACGCGAAAAATAGACTCAAGACTCAAGCAAACGAGTCGTAGAATCTAGATCTAGATAATTCTATCTAGATCTAGATAATTTCAGACCTTCATTATTTTATATAAATCTTTGTTTGTTTAGCTATGTAATTGGCTAATTTAAGATAAAATTTAATTTGAAAGTTAGTACTACTAGACTTAGATCTAGATCTATGCGCGTAAATCAAGTTGTATAAGGAGACTCAAAGTATTAAACTATACTATAAAAAAAAACATAAGTGACGTCACGAGTTAAATAGCTAAGTTGTTAGTGTAATCGGCTTTCATGCTGGTGGCACGGGTTCTAGACAAATACGCCAATGTTACATTTTTATTTTTCAATTTTTCAATTTTTTTTTAGATGTGAATGATAAAGCTGCCTATCTGAACTTGGCGGGATACAGAGCAGGTGAAGTAGAGTTCACCTGTTTCTTTGTCCTAAGCATATGAAGGGATAGTGTGTTCAGAGACATGCTCGGCTGAAATCGTTTATTTAAACGATAAAATCATGTTGTCTGAGACTTGGCGGGACACTGGGCAGGTGAAGTAGAGTTGATTAGGTCACCTGTGACATCAGTATATGAAGGGATAGTCCGAAATAGGTGTTTTTAAAAGATAAAAAACATCTTTTTGAATGTAGGGTCTGGTTTTTTGTGACGATAAGTGACAGACGTAATGTTTTTTTATGGATGACCCCCGAAACCAACAGTTATCCAAGGGATGACGGGTAGTCTAGTATTAATTAAAAGAAAGCTGAAAAAAATATAATCTTTTTTGTTTTAGTTAAAAAGCTAAGTTGTGATTGCTAACTTAATTAAAGTGTTTAAATACTAAAAATTCTAGATAATTAGTACCGTCTGAAGCGTTTTAGAGCTACAGGGTGCTTGGAAAACAACTTGCATATCTTTGACGTCACACGATCGACAGGCAGGTAACGATAGGACAAGGCAAGGACCAGGATAGCTGTCAGGACAATAAGTCCTGTGGATGTGCTGTCGCTGTGGTGGAGGTACATAGCGTACACAAAGTAGGAGATGTACAAGAGCAGACAAATCACGTGACGTGCCTTCTTCAGGGCCGAGCCTCTCTCTCGGCACAGCTTGAAGCATCGGCTTCTGGCAGCGTAAACATGAAAGGTCAAAGTTCGTGTTTTTTCCGTCTCAATGTCCGTCTCACTCTCGCTGCTAGAGTCCTCCATCTGCTCCCCTTCTGCTATCTGTAACATTTCTATCTCCACTAATTCGTAGCTGGCATTAGATGGCTTCGGACTTTCATGAAGTTTCTGACTCATGTCGTGAATTTCAGTCGGAGACTCCAAATTACAGCCAGCGACTTTTTGATGTTCTGCTAAAGACTGTCCATCTAGGATCTGTTGTTGATGTCCGGCTAAAGACTGTCCATCTGGGATCTGTTGTTGATGTCCGGCTAAAGACAGTTCATCTGAGATCTGTTGTTGATGTCCGGCTAAAGACAGTTCATCTGGGGTCTTTTGTTGATGTCCGGCTAAAGACCGTCCATATAGGATCTGTTGTTGATTTCCGTCTAAATCTAAATACCGTCCATCTGGGATCTGTTGTTGATGTCCGGCTAAAGACTGTCCATCCAAGATGGGATGTTGAAGCCCAGTGAAAGACGGCCCATAAGTACTAGTCTGTTGATTGCCGACCAAAGTCCGCACTTCTAAATCTGGATACTCCACTTGTCGATTTTCTGTTTTGAGATCAAATGCCCGCAGTCCATCTCCATGGTAGTCGTTTTGAGGCATATCGAGGTTCAAAAGCTGACTAGATCTATGAACATAAAATTGTCTAGAAAAAAAAAGGCGAAATAATATTAATAAAAACTCAAAATGATATGCATATTTTGCCAAAACAAAGAAAATATCAAGTTTTGAGTCAGGCATAAGGACAACACAATTGAGTATTCAATTGCTTATCAATGAGAGGATGAAAATATCAAACGAATTCTTTACCTCTATGATGCAGTGTCGCACCCGTGGTTGGTGGAGTAAGAGAAAGGTGCCCCTGGCAAGAGAGGAAAAGTTAGGATTTTTGTCCCTATCTAATCTTTGTTAATACTCTTATTTTCCAATAAAAAAATTACAACATATTTACAGTAACAAAATTTACATACAAGTGATAGGTTAAAAAAAATTACAAAATGGCAAATATGTGATGGATTTAAACTTGATAAATAAAAAAACCAAAGGAAAAACCCAAAGGGGGAATTATCATAAGCTGTTGAATACAACAAAAAAACCATAAATTACAAAGCAGTAGCAGAAATGGATTACTATACAACCAAAGTTCAATAATAACCTAAAGATGTTAGATTACCTCTTCCCTGCGTAGTAATGTTTATCTTAAATGCCTTGCATTTTAATAAGGTGATACTTATCCAAACATCTGATGTATCAAATAAAAGGACTATATGTCATGGCTAGCAGCGTCTATACTTAATGCAATTACACAGACCCGTGCCGTTCTGCCATAGTGTTACACTGGGGTCATGGGATATAGGTTGAAAGGGGGTGGGTGCAATGGGCCAGACATGAGGAGAGATGTTACGTGACTTTTCGTGTCACAATTGAGCTGGGGCGAGTTGTACTGGTGTGTTTAAGTCGTAGGACTGAGTTAAAAAAAAAGTTTAGTACCGCCCGGTTAGGGGTGGATAGGTATGTAGCTATCAAGGGGTGTGGGGTTACAGTGGAGTTTTCTTTTAGAGGTCAAAATTTTGTTAGAAGTGTCCTCATGAGAGAGTTCCAGTGAGGTTATACATAGTATTAAATTTAAAAAAATAAAAGGGGGGAGGGAGTAGGTAAAGTTAGGATTTTGGCTCCTATCTAATAAAGTTCAATTCTGTAGGTTTGTGTGTAACCTGGGATTACAAAGGAATATAAGAAAAAAATAAGACTGTTATGTAGTCATAGTGTTATATGTATAAAGTACTCATCGTCTAAATTCATGATTTAAAAAATTAATATTGAAGGTGAAAAAATAATTACCTAATTAGCGGGGATTGATAAAGGGCAATGTTGTAGGTATTTTGAATACAGTTTTTAAAAAAAATAATTGTACACTGAACGTAGTGTTTACCAATTATTTTTAAAATCAATAACAGTTAAGAAGCCAGCTCCTAAATGTCCTCTTTGTTTACTTCTTTCCGTTTGTTGATAAGCTTGGGGTGTTGTAATTGTTCACAATATTGAAACAGGCGCGTCCGCCGGCGCCCCGTAAGGGTCCTATTTGGCGTCCTAGGCTATCCTGTGAGAGCTATGGTGCATACTTTTGTTTTAAACAGTGCGGTAGACTATGGATAACAAATGTTGCTATAGTCTATAACGGAATCGAATCCGGGCGTCCTATGACTCGCCGACAGGATGCTATATGGCGCCCCGGGCTAGACTGTGAGCACTTTGCGTGTATGTTTGCGTTTTCTTTGTTTGAGTTTGGGTTTGTGGTTGGGTTTGTGTTTGCGTTTGTATTTGAGTTTGTTTTTGTTTGCTTTTTTGCGTTTTTGTTTGTTTTCTTTGTGTTTGTTGTTGGGTTTGTGTTTGTTGTTTTGGGTTTTCGTTTGTATTTGTATTTGTGTTTGTGTTATATTTGCGTTTTTTGTTTGTTTTTGTTTTAGTTGGTTGTGGTTAGGGTGGACAATGCCTGGTATGATGACGCTAGTTTAGGTTAAAGGTCAAGTAGATGATCGAAACAGAGTATAGCTTAATTAGTTAAACAGACCAATGGAAATACAGGAGCTCAACAGTCACGTGTGACGGTCAGCTGACCATTGAAGCGTGAGCTAGCAGACTGTGATAGGTAGCGGATAAAGATGGCTGAGGACATGTAGAGCTAGGGAACAGTAAGATATAAGTAGTAGACAGTACATAGTATAGACTAGTTAGATAGAAGTATGATGTTGACTTGTGTGTGGTGATTTCAAAAAACTATACCAGGCCGTTTTTTTCGTCACCCCCACCCTCATACCGGGTATATGCTGATTACTTAACAAACAAGTCATGGTCCTCTACAGATAGGTTTTAAAAATTGCATTACAATATGATGAAAATGCCTACACTTCGGATATTATGAATATTCAATAACAGACCTTCAATACCATGATGGTAATTATGAAAAGTCCTTTTTTTAGTATCTTTATGTATCATAGTTTTTTTTTAAAAGGGTGGGTTTCTTGTTATATATTATGAGGGGTTGGCGTGGTCGAGTTGGTCGAGTCGGTAAACCGAAAAGTCTCGAATTCGAACCCCTCGGGCAGATAAGGCTCGTTAGCTGGGGACAGCTACTCTTCTAGCAGAGACAACTTCAAAATCAAACAACTGCTGCCTTGTAGTTTGTTCTTGGTTGGACAAAGGCTATGGAAGCAAATCCAAAAAGAAAAGCAGGCTGAAATCGGAGTCAATGGCCGTAATGGCACATAACCAGTTCACACGTATCCTTAATTGTGAAGGCGTGGTCGAGTCGGCAAAAGCTCATGGTTGATAAATTCGCATTGTGTCAGAGAGGGATCCCTTTCAACACTAAAATAAAGAACAAAGAAGAAGAAAAAGAAGAAGAAGAGGAAGAGGAAGAAGAAGAAGAAGAAACAGCAGGATCAAACAGCAGGATCAAACAGCAGGATCAAACAGTAGGATCAAACCGTAGGATCAAACAGCAGGATCAAACAGCAGGATCAAACAGCAGGATCAAACAGCAGGATCAAACAGTAGGATCAAACCGTAGGATCAAACAGCAGGATCAAACAGCAGGATCAAACAGCAGGATCAAACAGCAGGATCAAACAGCAGGATCAAACAGCAGGATCAAACAGCAGGATCAAACAGTAGGATCAAACCGTAGGATCAAACAGCAGGATCAAACAGCAAGATCAAACAGCAGGATTAAACAGCTGGATCAAACAGCAGGATCAAACAGCAGGATCTAACCGCAGGACTAAACAGCTGGATCAAACAGCTGGATCAAACAGCAGATCTAACAGCAGGATCAAACAGCTGTATCAAATCTATCTATCTATCTATCTATCTATCTATCTATCTATCTATCTATCTATATGCTACTAAAACTCAAGTTTGTTTACATGTTTGAATATTTATTTGTTGGTCTGATTTGGTACTGTAAGGAAACTGCTCTATATGGGGGGGGGGGGGGGGGGGTTGTAGAATAGTATGTAGGTAGATAATAATTTTTGATTGCAGACAGACTGTTAATCACACATTTATTTAAAGACGTTAATTAATTTATTAATTTATTCATAGGTAGATTAACCACATTAATTTTAAAGTTTTAGAACAATGGCTAAACTTTGACTGTATAGAGACGTTTGATAACTCATTTAAAAAAAAACTTATTTGTTATTAAGGAGAATCTGCATTATATATAGAGCTGTAAAATAGGATTTTGGGTGGTAAATATTGTTCCTTCTTAAACACACTGTTAATTACAAACTAATCGTGCACAAAAATAACATGAAATTTTGACAGTTTTTACCGTTTTACTCCTCAGTCCTTCATCACATCCGGAGTATAGAGGACTTATTTTAATCAGGCAAAAATTATAAATACAAATATATAAACGTTTTGGCGTTTTATGCGTTATCGAGTTGTAAAAACTGGACTTTGCAATTCTGTCCGTATGTCTGTGTGTCTGTCTGTGTGTAAACACGATAACTTGAATACCGTTACAGTTATGTTGATGAAATTTCATATATAAGTATTTTATCAAAATCGTAGATCCTGATCAACTTTTGAGCAATTTCCGATAACCGGAAGTGGTACTTTTTCTACTTTGAATTTTTCAAAAGCTTATAAGTTGCGTACTATTTTAGATAGATGCATGAAATTTCACACGTAAGTGAAAGATCTAATCATCTATCTTCAGTCAAATTTTGAGTAATTTCCGTTGACCGGAAGTACTAATTTACGCTATTTCCGATTTCTCAAAAAAAAAAAAACGCATGTAAATTTATAAAGTACTAATAATATTTCTATGAGATTCTATTTTATTTTTAAAAGTTTAAGTAATTAAAAATCATGTCTATATTCCAAGTTATATAAGAATATTCGAGAAAGTTTAGGGGATATCACTCCCGGTTTATTTGTTTTGTGTTTTTGGTTTTGGTTGCTTGTGGTTAGGGTTAGTTTAATAATCCAGCAAGATCTATTAAACAGAAAACATATTCCCAAGCAACAGACAGACCTAAGCTACTGGTGCCTCGGAGAAACAAAAAGAAAGGTGGAGAGGGAAGTAAGAGGAAAGAGGAGAGCAGCTCTAGGTATGCCCAGAGTGGGGTTGACAGTCTAGCAGAGACTAAAGACATTTCATTCTCTTAATTTTGATACAGGAAAGCACAGAAGCAAAAATAATTTGATGGTAAGTTTTAAGTTAGTAAAGCTGACTAATTACTTTCTGATTTATTAGAGAAGGGTCAGTGTAGATTATTCCTGGTATCTAATGTTGCTCTATTGTTTGAATAATAAATAATGTGTTATACGGTTTACATAGTTCTGTCATCTTCATTAGTAATTGTTTTACTCTTTTAACTAACTAGCAGGATGATGTGGATAAAGAGTCTGAGCAAATTTTGTAAAAAGTTAACTTAAAATCTTTTCCCCGGCGACTGGATGTAATTCACCCGAAGACGCTGTATTTTGCTCATATCTAGAGTCTCGTTTTATACATTTTTCTGAGCCTCATTCCCGTCTATAAGGTGGTTGGTATGAACACATTGGGGGGTTGTAAATTTAAATAATTTGCGTAAAACATTTTTTTATCGGGGTTTGAACATTTTTCCGGTCCCTGGCAACTGGATGAACACACCCGTACACAATTTTGAATGGACAAAATATTTATAGATTATAAACTGGCTTCTAAATATTTGTTTTTACTCATTGTTGGTTAGTTAATTGTGTTTGATTTTTAAAGTTTAACTTTAAATTAACAGGATTAAAGTAATCACGTTTTAATAATTTACTCATCAGACATAACAGTTGTTAGATAAAATTAAAATAACTAGACATTTCCTTTTGCTGTCAAGGAACTTTAATTTTCTTTGACAAAATATGGGAACCTTTTTAGTGAAGTTACATGAGTCACATGTCCAAAATACCTTAAGTCCTTACTTATTGGAGTTGCTTGGTATTGATTCGATAAATTTACTCCCACCTCTAAAATCTACCAGTTGCCCAATTAGTTACGATCTCTCCAGAAACATAACTCCTTGCTAAATTCTTTTTCTTCCCCACCCCCTTTCACCTAGAGTAAGAAAAATGTAATAACTTGAGAAAAATCTGTAATCCGTACAGCGACAGTACACTTAATTTGTATTATTGTCAAGACTAAAATCTCACATTAGGGTATCTGTTGATCTAAACAACACTTAAGGTTTAAGAAAAAAATTGCTAGGCGTAATACCTTTGCAACAACCAAAATAAACACCTTGTGAAATGTGTATATTCCTTTATTTTTCAAATCATTGATTGGCTTGTTGAAGCTGCCTCAACTTTTTCAGGACGTGTTGCATGTATGTGTTCATCTCAATCTTATTCAGTATTGTCCTCAAATTAGCAGGGTCTTACAGTAGCAGACCTGGACATGGCAGAGAAATCCATATTATCACATAAAATGTACACAAAACTTGTACCTGCAACTACACCCTACAAGCACACGTCATACAGACGTACCTGCAAGCACACGTCATACAGACGTACCTGCAAGCACACGTCATACAGACGTACCTGCAAGCACACGTCATACAGACGTACCTACAAGCACACGTCATACAGACGTACCTGCAAGCACACGTCATACAGACGTACCTACAAGCACACGTCATACAGACGTACCTACAAGCACACGACATACAGACGTACCTGCAAGCACACGTCATACAGACGTACCTGCAAGCACACGTCATACAGACGTACCTGCAAGCACACGTCATACAGACGTGCCTGCAAGCACACCTCATACAGACGTACCTGCAACACACGCAGTCATAAAGCTGGCACAGTGTCCTACGACCATAGAGCGCAGGATGTACTTGAAGATGACTTTCTTACGGTGGGGCATCAGCACGATGTAGAGGCCAATGATGATGCCGGCAGTGATGAAGTTAGCGAACCCACACAAGGCGTAGGTTGTGATCACCTCTGATCTTTCCTGTAGTCAAACGTTTTTTTTAAATAGAGCAGGCTATAGAAATGGTTTAACTAGGTAGGAGGCTTGGCTAATTAATTAGTGAGGCGACGTTACTTATCACAAGGGTCGTTTATAAATGACGTCGCACTTTTAGCCGATTTATCCCCTTCCCGTCATCACAAAAAATATCAGTTTTTAGAGTATTAATAAGAGTGGTCCAGGTTGTGCCCTACTCCAACATCTGGTCGTAGAAGTCCAATCTCCCTTTTCACAGTATTGGGTGTCATTTGTGGAGGTCCCAATCATAGGTTAAGTCGTAAGTTAACCATTTGAGCAATAATAAGGCATACTAACGTTTTTATTATTATTAGGCCTACTAGTGTTAATTTCCTATCACTCCAGGCTCCCATTAAATGAGTAACCTACTTCAACGCTGATCATGAGACAGTGATACATACGGACAGGAACCCCCGGGTCAAGGTCATATTCCAGCCATGTAGAAAGACGTCTCCCGTGCCAGGGTCGAGCGTGTAGTCAGTCAAGTTTTGTGACTGGTAGTCCTCGTAGAGTTTGCGGTTTTTGCGGTAAACGCCCAGATCGCTGTAGGCCACAAGTTCGTAGAGGAACACTTTGATGCCCAGCAGTTCAGCAACCTTCCTCCCGTCATCCACATCCACGCCCATGGATAGAGCCAGTGGATAAAAAAGATAGGAGCAGATCCACTGTTGGATGAAAAGATATCGTGGATAAAGCAGAAGGTTCAGAGGAGAGTACCCTAGGAACGGTTCGTGTAAGAAGAGCAGATACTATTGTACTAGCCTACGAGTAAAGACACCCTACAACAGTGGCGTAGCGAGGTCAGGTGTCACCCGGTGCGGCACTTAAAAATTA